TATAGCCACTTTTTTTTACAATGTAAGTCAATGGAACCAGACTTTTTTCGAAGTAATTTTGGGCCATTTCTTTTGGTCCGTTCATCATGAAATTTACACACAATGTAAAGATCAACAGGCATTTTCAAATTATGATAAAAACTGAAAAATGATGCCAATGAGAGAAAACTGGTTTCATGTTTTTTGACTGCATCTTCGAAGTACATCATCAGAAAGGGGATTTTCTAGTCTTTAACCCTTTAAATGGCCAGGGAGGCCACCAGCAGGCCAGATGGTACTACACTCTTCTATAACTTAAGAATAGCTCAGCCAGTTTGCATTAAAGCCCCTGTAGTTGCTGAATAATAAGCCTTAATCTGTAATAAGTCTGAGATTTTAAGGGTTTAAGCCAGAAAGACTTGGTCTTGTGCTACTGTGGCACCAATTTAGGAGATAAGTCGGCATGTTTACAACAGAAGTAGTGAAGGTTTACATTTGTCTCTTTAATGTCTCTTTAAGAACCCAACACAGTTTATGTCATCTACACACTTAAAAAAGATGGTTCTTCAAGGGTTCTTTAGTACAGAAAATTGTTCTGTATAGAACAATGAACACTCAAGCAACCCTTTTCATGTTTAAAAGGTCCTTTGCATGGTGAACGTGTTCTTCAAATTGATGGAAATCACTGTGCTGTAGATGGTTCTATATAGGTGGTTCTTAAGCTTGATGGAAAATGTGCTGTATATAGAAACGTTTTGAAAAGGGTTCTCTACAGCACCAAAAAGGGTTCTTCTATTGTTATGATGTCAAGCTTGTAACAATAGAGGAACCCTTTTGGTGCTAAACAGAACCCTTTTCAAAACGTTTCTATATACAGCACATTTTCCATCAATCTTAAGAACCATTTCACCATGCAAAGAACCTTTTAATCATGGAAAGGGTTGCTTGAGTATTCATTGCTTAATATAGAACCATTATCTTTACTAAAGAACCCTTGAAGAACCATCTGTTTTAAGTGTGTAGGCATGCACTTAGCACTTTGCTAATTGGTGGGGTATAAACGTCTATGCTACTTGTTAGCTACATTAGCTTCATAGCTCCAAAGAAGCAAACTTTGAACACCAAACATGTCTTGGCTGATTGCATGCAGTCGAGAGGGAAAGCTGGACATTTAATTTGGCCAAACTGTTGCAAACTCTTAGGACCCGAAGCAAAACCATAGGTAGATTCTAGTCTTCATAACATCAGAACGGTTTAAGCTACAGACATGATACACATATCAGGACATTCAGCGAACCCGCCCCTATCTAGCATGATGTAATCGAGCTGTGACATCAGCATCAGTGAGTAATTTGGCTCCGAATATCACCCAAAATCCTGTTATTATTGCTCTGCTTTTTGGCCTAAAACAGCGACATGATTCACACATGAGATCACTCATCAGACTCTGTCCTCACAAACCAGCATGATTTCATCCACCTGTGACCGTCCATCAGCCAGCAATCCAGCTCCAAAATTACCCAAACCCCACTCGCTACTGTTATATTACATCTCTGCTTTCAGCCTTCATATTACAAACAAGGGGTTAAAAATAGCGACATAATTCACACACCAGAACACTCAGAGGAACCTGCCATCACTAGCCAGAGTGAGAGAAACCAGCTCTAACATCCCACAACCCAGAAATACAGCACAAACACACAGCCAGATCACTGTAAAACCTGCTATTAGCTCTCTGCTTGTCTTCATATGGCAACAAAAGGGTTAAGCAGTTTTATGCGACTGTGAAAAAGTCAACTCAGCTTCCTTATTGCAACTAAAATGGATTAACAACTAATGATTAATGAGAGTAACTCAGCTGAATTCTCAGCTTCTCTGAAGCAGCGTAATCTCACTCTGTTCAGAACAGAATGACTCTGTGTTCATCCTGTGTCGTCTGATATCTGATTAGGGCGTGGTTATCACACTGCGTGCTTGGACTTCATGATTGCCTTTTATATCTAATGAACAACTGGTTAATGCTAAGAAAGCCTTTTAACTAAAGTTTGATCATCATTCGCAGCAAATCTAGCTTTAGAAGCGCCACTGGCTGGCAGTGTTTTGTTACTGGAATAGAAAAACCTTGTATCTTTGAAATGGTAACTTTATAGGAGATGGAAAAAATGCTCTTTAATAAACTGTATTGAACATTAACATATTGAGCTTTTATTCCAAGTTATTTTGGTCTTTAATTGTCATAAAGTGCTCATGAAATAAAAAGTCATTTTGGTGTACAAATGAAAAAAAAAAAAGCGAGTTCTGTATTCTCCATTTGGCAGCATGTGTTTCCTTATAGGCTGATAGGGTTTATATGCTGGTTGCCAGAGAGGGAGTCAGCAGAGGTGATAAGAGATTCAGAGTCAGCATAAGATGGCAGTCTGCTCTTTATTTCCCTCCTAAACTGATGATCAGACAGTCCTTATCAATAATAACTGATTAATCAGCTGAACTCGTTTAGCCTTAAGACTGTGATAATAAATTTGGCATCACAGAAGTGAGTGAAGAACAAGGAGTTTTCCTTTTAGCCTCTTAAATCCTAGGCTTATTATTCAGTTATTAATCTTAATCTATATTAATCTTAGTCTATTATTATTTTTATTGTTATACTTATCTACTCTAGACTATTATTCAGTATCTACTGTGAATTTATTTAGTAACCACTACGAAGTATTCAGTACTCACTATGAATTATTCAATTTCTACTATTATTTATTCAGTATCCTCTATGAATTATTCAGCACCTATTATGAATTATTCAATATGTACTATGACTTATTCAGTATCTACTATGAATTATTCAGTATCCACTATAAATTATTCATTATCTACTATGACTTATTCTGTATTTCCTATGAATTCTTCAGTATCCACTATGAATTATTTGGTATCTAATATAAATTATTCAGTATCCACTACGATTTATTCAGGATCTACTGTAAATTATTCAGTATCTACTATGAATTATTTGTTATCTACTATGAATTATAAAGTATCCACTATGAACTATTCAGTATCTATATATATATATATATATATATATATATATATATATATATATATATATATATGTACAAGCATACATATCCACTTGTCAACCACTTCATTAGAAACATCTGCCTTGTACTTTTTCTGCTCCTTATCTTTCAGTGTAACTGCTATCTAATCAGACCTCTGCATCACTGCTTTATCAATAATAACCGTCTATCAGCTGAGCTCTCTTATCCTGTGACTGTGAAAATAAACGCAGCACCACAAAACTGAGTAAAGAGTTCACTGCTCTCTGTTAAGTTTATCATAAACAGCATCTATAAATAGAATAGGGGTTCTTCTCTAGAAACATTATATAATCACATGTTCATATGTAATAACCCTCTACATAAACAGAACCTCCCCTAGACTTCCATCTCCTTGTCAGTGATATCCCTCATATAGGAGCGTAACTCACTTCTGCTTCGATTACTCTTTAATTATTTATAATTCTGTAGATTGTGTTTTAAGTTGGTGTGTTTGGTGTGCAAGTACAGCGCTTAAGCGACATCTCTGTAGAGTTTTCATGGTTTCGTGAGGTTTTGAGTGATCACCTTTGCTTCACCTTCGGCATTCTTTCCTTGCTTGGTGGTGTGATCACACTTCCAGGGGTGAGATCCTGGAATGTGACCACATACTCACCCTGTAGCCCCCTAAGAAAATGAAATTAGTTGTGATGTGTTAATTGTTAATGTGTTCCAAAGTGTAAATGTAGTCCATTCTAAAATTTCTTCATCAGTAACTCACTGTAACATTATTATATTACTATATATTCTATGTTCATGCCAAATAAACATGTACACTTTTAAAAAAGATGGTTCTTCAAGAGCCGTTTAGCAAAGGAAATGGTTCTCTATAGAATCATGAGTTCTAGATAGAACCATTTCATGCTTAAACGGTTCTTCAGATTGATGGAGAATGTGTTGTATATGATTTTATATAGATCTTTTTTGAAAAGGGTTCTATGTCACACCAAAAAGGGTTCTTCTATTCTACACGTGCTTGACATTGTAATAATAGAAGAACGTTTTTTGGTGCTATATAAAACCCTTTTCAAAAAGCTTCTATATAAAACCATGTGCACATTTTCTATCAATCTGAAGAACCCTCTCATGATGCAAAGACGCAAAGGGTTCTTTGAGTGTTCATGGATCTACCTAGAATCATTGTCTTTGCCAAAGAACTGTTGAAGAACCATCATTTTTAAGAGTGTACTGTATGTAATGGAACGTTTTCTTGAATTATATACACACTTAAAACAATGGTTCTTCAAGATTTCTTTAGTAAAGAAAATGGTTCTATATAGAACCAGGAACACTAAAAGAATATACAGTGTATATTATAATAAATGTGCTATACAGAGCCCTTTTCAAAAAGGTTCTATAAAGGTTCTACAGCACATTCTCCATTAATCTGATGAACAATTTCATGATGGAAAGAACCCTTAAAGCATCCAAATAGATCTTTGAGTGTGTCTTTACTACAGAACTCTTGAAGAACCATCTTTTTTAAGAGGGTGTATATTTAGTTCTATATTGTTGAGTTATATATATACACACACACACACACACACACACACACATATATATATATATATATATATATGTGTGTGTATAAATATGTATAAAGTTCTGTATTACAGCATATTTCTTTTCTGCCATTCTGATCTGATATATTAATCATGCTGTGATGATTGTGACTGTGATGTTCATGTGTTTTAAGATACTCTGTCATTCCTGCATGATTAAGTACACAATGTCAGTCTGCCTCATGACGTCTGACCACTCTGTGTGGACTGTACATGCAGTCCAAGCCGGCTAAATCACACAGACTCTTCCTGACCGATACGCATGTGTTCAAAACACCTGGCTGAAAGCTTTCTCTTTTTTTTTCTTCTCAGAAATCGCACGGCTCTCCTAAATGTAACAGAATCCATCAAAAATGACACGTGAAAGTTTGAGACACGTGAGCTCAGCCAGGAGGGGCCCTGCGATATGGACTGTGGTCGAGAAGACTCAGGACACGGCACACACTCTCAGCTGCCACACCTTCACACACGGCCTGATCTGCTCTCCAACAGTCCAGGTAAGAAATCTTAGTTTAATAAGATGGGCTCCTTAATTCTTTCCTTATTTGATAAATCTGTTTTTGCTCTTTTAAGCCAACGACTTAAAACATAAGGATTCACGACTGCTGGACAATTTATATCGGACAATTTACTGGAAAGAAGTGATGCACTGAATTCAGCTGATTCAAATACATCAGTTCTGCATTAATAACATGTTAAATCAGCAGTTATTCTCTTTCAGTTTGCTCACTTTTGCCAACAATAGTGTTGATGTAGAAATGATGTAGATATTTGAATCAAGTAAACCCACTGCTTATTCACTTTTTCTGGTGTTTGATTTACATTCAGTGTAATTATTCTTACACGGTTACATAAAAATTTCATGTAATTGTTTTTGTCAAACATGCAAATTGAGATTTAAAGCCAGTTTGAACATTTGGCTCGAATGAGGTGTGGAACGACAGTATGACAGTGCTCCTCTGTGATAATAATTAGTTAATAATAACAAAACTACAGCCTTTTCCAGATACATTTCGCACATAACATGCTTTGTTGATTTATTAAGTGTAAATTAGTGAACACATCCTCTACAGAGAGCACGTGTCTGCACACTTTAATACAAAATTACTGTTTATTTGCAACATATTGGGGGGAAGAAAACACAAAACGTGCCACAACAGGTCACACTTTATGTTTTATTATGTCTTATTTTTTTCCCAAAAATGTTAAATGAAAAAAAACTGTAATTTTGTATTAAAATGTGCAGAAGTGTGTTCTCTGTAGAGGATGAGTAACTTATTTACACTTAAAAATCAATAAAACATAACTTGACCAGGGGCGACTTTTGCTTATCGATGTTGTTGGAAGAAAATCTTGATCTCCAAAATGGTAACCTTACAGGAAAAGGAAAAAACCTACTTTACTTTTAATGTAAGTCAATGGAACCAGACTTTTCCCCCCAAGTCATTTTGAGCCGTTTCTTTTGGTCCATTCATCATGAAATTTACACACAATATAAAGGACAGTAGGTATTTTCAAATTATGTCAAAAACTGAAATATTACAAAAATGAAGATACACGGTTTTCTACCGAAAACAGCGACATGACAGTGCTTTTTATCTTCAGCATTAGTGCATTAATTTGGAAATCTTTCAGAACGATGAGGATCCGGTGTAATCTCTGATATGGCAGTCTTTGACCTTCTAATCTAAAGTCTCTTGATCCTGAGTGCCAGTGATTGCGTAGAGATCATAAATAGATAACAATTAAACCATTAAACACTTACAGTCTCAAGCAAGTGGGATGAAAAGTGTTAGTCATTAAGATGTAAGATTTTAATTTGGGTGCAGAACTGAGATCTACCCAATCAACATCTGCCCACAGCGTCTCTAGCTAATGATGTTAAGACATGATGCTAATACTGACATGATTAACTAATGAGAGAAAGTATGAATGGACATATCGTGATATCAAACAGCTCATTTCAATAAAGAAAGAAAGTGAAAAAGAAGGAAAGAAAGAATGTAAAAAGGAGGGAAGAAGGGGAGAAGCATGATAAGTCCATTTATATATTCTTCCTATATTTATATTCTATATGGACAAAAGTATTGAAACACTCCTCCTAATTATTGAGTTTAGGTGTTTCAGCCACACCCATTGATAACAGGTGGATAAAATTAAGCACACAGCCATGCAGTCTCCAAAGGCAAACACCGGCAGTTGAATGGGTCGTACTGAAGAGCTCAGTGACTTTAAACATGGCACTATCATAGGATGCCACCTTTACCACAAGTCAGTTTGTGAAATTTCTGTCCTGCTAGATCTGCCCCGGACAACTGATAGTGCTATTATTGTGAAATGGAAGCATCTAGGAGCAACAACAGCTCAGCCACGAAGTGGTAGACCATGCAGACTCACAGAGTGCTGAAACACACAGTGCCTATCCTCTGTTGAATCACTCACTAAAGAGTTCCAAATTGGCTCTGGAAGCAACATCAGCAGAAGAACTGCACATTAGGAGCTTCACAAAATGGGTTTCCATGGGCGAGCAGCCTAAGATCAAAATGCACAATGCCAAACTTTAGGGGGTGTAAAGCACGTCACCACTGGACTCTGGAGCAGTGGAAATGCATTCTATAGAGTGATGAATCATGTTTCTCTATCTGGCGGTCTGATGGACGAGTCTGGGTTTGGTGAATGGCAGGAGAACGTTACCTGTCTGACTGCATTGTGCCAACTGTAAGTTTGGTGGAGGAGGGATGATGATACGGGGTTGTTTTTCAGGGGTTGGCCTAGACCCCTTAGTTCCAGTGAAGGGGAATCTTAATGCTTCAGCAGACCAAGACATTTTGGACAATTGTACACTTGAATGTGTGTATGACTGAGCCTCAGTGTACAAAGCAAGCTCCATAAAGGCCTGGCTGGGTGAGCTGAACTTGACTGGCCCACACAGAGCCCTGACTTTAACCCCATCAAACATTTTTGGGATGAACTAGAACAGAGATTGTGAGCCAGGCCCTCTCGTCCAACATCAGTGTCTGACCTCTCCGACATCTTGTAGAAAACTTCTCAGAAGAGTGGAAGCTGTTAGAGCAGCAAAGGGGGAACAACTCCATATTAATGCCTATAGGTTTAGGATGGGATGTCATAAAAGCTCCTGTAGGTGTGATGTGTATGTGTGTGTAGTTATATTGGTAGTATAAATTAGCACAAGGCAACTTAATAAAGGAAACCGGTAAATAAATAAGATATAATCAATAGACAATAGAACATCAGTATAGTAAATAAAGTAAGAATACAATCAAGGGCATTTCATAATGAACAGATCAATAAAAAACATCACTAGATAAAGAGTTCCTTTTTTCTTCCTTCTTCTATTTTGGAGATATGACATTTTGCTACGACAGCAAATATATACTTTTTAGCCTAGATTAGTCTAGAAATTGCTTCTTAAAAGGGAACTCTGCCAAATGTATTTACAATTTCAGCATAAGTCTATATTGATAGCAAAAACGAGAGAGATTCAGAGTGGTTTGGTGTGAAATGGTTCAGATTTCTTTACAGTGGTGGTGATAGAAACCAGGGGTTGCCATGACTACAACACATATATAGACATTTTATTTACTATCTAAAACTACCAGTGAACCAGTGAAATGTTGCTGATAGTATAAAGTATTGTGTAGATGCTGTGAATGATTTGATTCATGCCTCTCCTCTGCGTTTTCCCACTCCCAGGATGCCTTCTGGCAGTGTGCTGTCCTTTGTCAAGAGCCTGTCTAGGCGGAAGCCTCTGGAGCCGGATGGTGAACAGTCTGACTTTAAGCGATGTTTAACCACGCTGGACCTGGTAGCCCTGGGAGTGGGCAGTACGCTCGGAGCTGGTGTCTATGTCCTGTCAGGTGAAGTGGCCCGAACTGTGGCCGGCCCCAGCATCATCGTTTCCTTCTTCATCGCGGCCGTGGCCTCCGTCTTCGCAGGGCTGTGTTACGCAGAGTTCGGTGCCCGTGTCCCCAAAACAGGCTCGGCGTATCTCTACAGCTACGTCACTGTGGGGGAAATATGGGCTTTCATTACAGGGTGGAACCTCCTGCTCTCCTACATCATAGGCAAGCATGAGAAAACACTGTGGAGACACATTGACCCCTTAAACCATAATGTGGTCAACACTTCAGTTCCTCACTCTCATACATGCATAAAAATAAAGGAGGCTAAAAGCATTTTTGGAGGGATGTCCTAAAAGAACCACTTTTGGTTCTCTAATGGTTCTTTCAAGAGCCATTTTTGTATATCCCCCATAAAGTAAAGGTTCTATGCCAAGATTTTTTCTTAGAACTGTACGTCCATGCCAGGAACCATTTAGGAACTCTTTAGTTTTAAGAGTGTAGCTACATGCCTTACATACAAGTTTCACAATAGTTAATCAGTAACTCATAGTAGATACTGAATAATTCACACTAGATACTGAATAGTTCATAGTAGTTACCGAATAATTCATTGTAGTTACTAAATAATTCATAGTTGTTACTAAATAATTCATAGTAGATGCTGAATAATTTATAGTAGATAGTCAATAATTTATAGTATATAGTGAATAATTCATAGTAGATAGTGAATAATTCATAGTAGATAATAATTTATAGTAGATATTGAATAATTCATAGTAGATACTGAATAATTCATAGTAGCTACTGAATAATTTATAGTACTGAATAATTTATAGTACTGAATAATTTATAGTAGATACTGAATAATTCATAGTAGATACTGAATCATTTATAGTAGCTACCGAATAGTAAGTCTTTAAAGATTTATAAGGGTTCAAAGGATTAGATTTCCCTTATATCTTATTTACAAATGCTTGAATTGCTGTCATATGAATTAGGTTTTAGTGTTAGGTTTAGGTTTAAGTGTATGGTGAGAATGAGTGTTAGGCTTTCTTATGAAAAACTTACGGTGATATCAATGTTAAGATAATAGATATTAAGGTAAATGTAAGGCAAAGTCAAGGTGGGCTTATACAAAGCAGCGACAATGGAACATCAACATGAAGTTATAGCAAAAATCCTTTTTACCCCAGGACTAGACTCACTCTGTGTTTATTATATCAGCTTTCTTATATACACATAGCCATGTGCATATCACATCATGCATTATTCTCCTCCCCAATAGTGAAGGTGATTATTTGCTTAGATGCAATTCTCAGTTGAGTTCTTGCTCAGCTGAATGAGTCCGTGACCAAAGCTCAGGCTCAGTCAGATGTTTCCTGAGACAAAGCTGAATCATTAACAAATGTTAATGTACACCTAAATGATACACCATAAATATGCAGTAATAAGAGACATTATCAGTGTAACAATAACTCCATAGCTGATAAGTCTGAATGATTTTATGACTTACTGCAATCATGCAGGTACTTCCAGTGTCGCCAGAGCCTGGAGTGGCACCTTTGATGACCTAATCGGGAATGTTATTGCTAATTATTTGAGCGAGCACGCAGCCATGAACTTACCTGGACTCGCCCCTTACCCAGACTTCTTTGCAGCTGCCCTTATTATGCTTTTAGCAGGTAAAATCAATGCACATACACATTGTTGTTCTTATTATTAATGCGAAAATTATATACATTAATGTGTACATGTATTTTAATATGAATTCCTTAGGTATCCTTGCTTTTGGAGTGAAGGAATCAGCAATCGTCAACAAGATCTTCACTGCGGTAAACATAGTGGTGTTGTTGTTTGTCATCATCTCTGGATTCATCAAAGGTAATATCGGAAACTGGCAGCTGACTGAGGAGGACATCATCAATGCCTCAGTACCCGTGTAAGCGTCTTTATTGTCTTAGAAAACAAATAATACTCAAAACTGTGTGACTTTGTAGTGTTTTTACTCATTCATAGCATGTGTTCTCATCTTCCCACAGAAATGGCTCGGCCATAAACAGCACTGTTCTAGGAAACTACGGAGCTGGAGGATTTTTCCCGTTTGGATTTGAAGGAACAATAGCTGGAGCCGCCACCTGCTTCTATGCATTTGTGGGATTTGACTGCATTGCTACCACAGGTGTGTCTGACTAATAGGTTACAGTGACACAGAACATGCTCATGTTAGGAGGATGTTCATCTGCGCTCCGACTAACTTTGATATTTGAGTATTTGCAAGAGTTATAAATGGAACTTTTAGGCGATAGCTCTAGTGTTAAGAGGCTAAAACGATCAGTAGCACAAAAAATGTAGCAGCAGCTGTAGGAATACATTTAAAATGTTTTATCATTCAAAAAAAGCAAAGAGAAATTGGTGGCTTTCATGTCAGATGAGTAATCAAGGCTGCCTCTTCAAATGACCCAAAACTACAGCTAACCGGTACCACACTGGATGCTAATGAGGACTCATCTCTTTACACAAGGTCTTTTTTTCAGTGGACGATGCCAGCATGCTATTTGTGAGAGAAATACTGTATGTTTCCACTATTTCCACTTCCCCAATTTAGCGATGAAGCCACGCTAAATCTGCCTTCTCAGTCAAGTCCTTACCAACCTGCTCACATTTAGTCACTCTAAATGTAACTAATTTATAGTGGAACAAACTAATGAATACGAAACGGAAACTTACTAAAACATTCCAAAAAAAAATCAAATTCTACAATTCATGACTCTTATCAAATAAAACAATAAACATTTCATGCTGCGTACTTATTTCCTGGTACATCTACTAGGCTTGAAATTTTTTCCCAGTCAAAAGCTGCTGTGGGTAAACAAATGTATCATGCTCTTTTATATATTATTTATGTTCATCATGCCCTTTTACAGTATAATTTGTTGAGCAAATTAACCGATTTGACTATTCATTTAGAAAAAAAAGGTCTTTTATACTTGCATGCTGCACCATTCCTCAGCACCAACAGCTGTATGCAAAAGTTTGAAAACCTCGGTCAAAAGACATTTTTAGTTGATTTTCCAACTGAAAATAAGTTAACACATCCTTGACAGGGTCTGGCATTAAACATGCCATTTTCTTTTAATTTTATTGCACAATTTCTATATATTTGCTGTTAAAATATAAGTAAAATATATAAAATGTAAAATGTGCCATCATTTTGCCACATTTAATGAATCAAATTCAGCAAATAAACAATAAGTGTGCATTAAAATGTGCAGACGTGTGTCCTATATAGAGGATTTTACATAGAAAATCAAGAAAACGCCATTTATGCAAATTTTGCACACCACTGTATGTGTGGAACAGGCCTCAAGGTAAAACCTTCCCCTAAATATGCCCAAAGTTCATTTTCAGTTCAGTCCAGTCTTGCTGTGTGGCTAATGAACCTAAAAATGATAGTTCTTCAAGGGTTCTTTAGTATTTTGCATGATTGAAGGGTTCTTTGCATTGTGAAGTGTTCTTCAGATTGATGGAGAGTGTGCTTTATATGGTTCTATATAGAACCTTTTCAAAAAGAGTTCTATATAGCACCTAAAAGGGTTCTTCTATCTTTATGATGACAAGCTTGTCATAAAAGAAGCCCCCCTTATTGGTGCCTTATAGAACTCTTTTCAAAAAGGTTCTATATAGAACCATTTACAGCACACTCTCCATCAATCTGAGGAACGCTTTCACAGTGCAAAGAACCCTTTAATAATGCAAAGGGTTCTTTGAGTGTTCATGGTTCATTGTCTTTACTAAAGAACCTTCGAAGATTTTAAGTCTGTAGTCAAAAAACAAAGCAAGAGATGCTTTGTGTAATGTTAACTTGCCTTCATTTGATATCAATGTTAGCATTTTTTGGTTGAAGATATTTCTTTAATTCACTGTATTCATTTGTGTATGTATTTGCTGACCTAACTTTGGGTCAGATTTCCCAAAAGCATCTCTGTTTAAAGCAGTATTGAAATGGACCTCTCTTCTGTTTCAATGCTATTTATGCTAAGATGCTAATTTGTTGGATCTCTTTCCATCCTGAAGGTGAGGAGGTTCAGAACCCCCAGAAGTCCATCCCTGTGGGTATCGTGGCGTCTCTCCTCATTTGCTTCCTGGCTTACTTTGGCGTGTCGGCCGCTCTCACCCTTATGATGCCGTACTACCAGCTGAGCGTACAGAGCCCTCTCCCAGTGGCCTTCACTTACGTGGGCTGGGAGCCGGCGAAGTACGTCGTTGCTGTAGGGTCTCTGTGTGCCCTCTCCACAAGGTACAGTGCATCTAAAGACCCCCTGAACTCAAAAACAGTCAACCTAAATCTGTGTTTTCTTTCTGAGTAGGTTAATCTTGTTCTAACAGGCAAACAATAAACATACCCTTTAAATAATGTCCCAATGACCAATAAATGATTGATATAGTTTTTCTCCACATTTTTCACCTCTTGATGTAAACTGGCCAGTCCTAATCTTGGCTAATGCCTCTGTTTGTATTCCCCTGACCAATCACAAGGCTGATGTCTTTTGACACACCCACACTGAACAGCTTCAGAGTCAGAGAAGCTTAGCAAGCTACAGCTAATTCAGCATAACCAAAAGCTAACAAGCTAGACAACCTGTCTTTAGCTGCCTGTCGCCCGTTCATTCGTTTTTCCACACCAACATTGTTCGTTAGTTCATTCCTTCATTAACACATTGCTTTGTCTGTCCATCCATCTGCTCGTCTGTTCATCTGTGATGTCTAGTTACCCTCACATAAACGCTGGATAATGATTTTAGTACTGTATTGGGGCGGAGCAGGATAGGAGCATTAGACAAAGAAAAAACTGTCAATCAAGCTGCTCATTAGCCACACCCACACAATTCTCAGATAGGTCTGATCAGCGTTTTTAATCTGTATTTTATCTTATATTTTTCATTTAAGCTTTGCTAGATGTTTAACATTACACTCAAGTTTAGTATCAACAAATCTTGATATTTTTCTGTTGCTTCCTGGGACTTTAAATGGTTAACAGTGTGTAGTATTTATATTCCACATGTATCTAATAAACTATCAAATATAGTGTGAATTAAGGCAGGTAGCCGTAGCTTAACGTGCTTTATAAACCACTGTCCTTATTAGCGCCAGAGGCTAACAGTAGCCAAAAAAGTAGCTCCACAGCAAAAGGTTCAGATTCGGCTCACTGAGGCTTCATTTATGCACCTTTTGGGGCTAAAGAGTCAAATGCGTAGTGGTGATTTGTATTTTGTGTGTTAAGCAGTTAGCTATGCTAATCATGTTCAGACTATGCAGACTAATACAGTATCATGTACCACAACATAGGTTTGACACCCACATGCTTTAAGAGTAAAGACTCAAATCTGAGCGAGTGAAGACAAGTGGCCGGTGTTGGAGGGACACAAAGACAGAATCTAACCCGTTCTGTGAAGTTTCTATTAGCATGCTAGGCTAACACTAGCAAAATTGGCATTACTGCGTTCCTTAGCACTGTTCAACATTTAGTTATTATTGTTCAGTTTACCTAGACAGCTGGTTCTGGCTTTCATACATGGTCATACTTGGTCAACTTCTGGGCAGATATTAGGCATGTGGTCCAGAACTTGACTTGAATGTATGTTTAAGGGCTATTTCTGGCATGTATGTTGTGGCCCAACAGTGTGGTTGAAGGAAGATGGCCACAGCACAGTTACGCTGCATGTTTGGTTGATTTACTCAATACTTTTAGTTCTAGTCTGGCATGTCATAAGTGGACCATTACTGAAGTAATAGGAAAACAGCCGACTCTCTCTGTTTAAGGGTTAAAACCTCATTTAACAGATGGTTTAACATTTAATGGGTGACGATTTAAAGATGTCCATAGTTTATTTCCTAATTATTCATTATGGGAGCTTATTTTTGTCTCTGTTGTGCTCCGTCTGATTTGCTCAGTCTGTTCAAATACAGAGGGCATCAAATTTATTATTTATTTTTTAATATTAAATGTTATTTAATATTAAATTTATTAATTATTTATTATTTGTGCTGCAGATGTTAAACATTTACTAGTCTGGATTTACAGGGTGGGTAATGACAGTCTTCAAAAAGAATTTTGTTATGGGTAATGCAGTCCTGGGCGGCACGGTGGTCTAGTGTTGTCACAGCAAGGAGAGTTCAATCCCCTGGCCAGGCGATCAGGGTTCTTTCTGTGTGGAGTTTGCATGTTCTCTTCGTGTCTGTGTGAATTTCCTCTGTATGCTCTGGTTTCCTCCCACAGTCCAAAGACATGTAGATAGATGAACTGGAGATGCTAAATTGCCCAAAGGTGTGAATCTATATGTCTGTGTGTCTGCCCTGTGATGGACTGGCGACCTGTTCAGGGTGTTTCCTGCCTTCTGCTCAATGAGTGGAGAGGCCTTTTTTCTGATTTTATGCTTCTCAACTGTGGAACTTTTACAATGAGGCAGTCAAGTATGGTTTGCGCCTCTAGGAAACATCTGAAAACATACCTCATTTGGTCTAGTTTGTTTACTTAATTTTATACTTATAACTATATTTTCTATTTCTATTTTAATCCTATTTTTATTATTTTGTTTTTATTTTTTTGTGATGTGGCAACAGAATACAGACGCTCGCGGATGTAAAAACGACAAGTTTTAATATAATCGAGCAAACAAAGCAAAAAGGGCAGAGCTGAAGTCAGGGTCAAAAACAGGCAGTAAGGTTCAAAACACGGGTCAGTCCAAATCAGGCAACAGTACAAAGGGATCAGGCAAAAGACTAAGTCAAGAAGAACAAAATGTAGGTCAGCAAAACAGAATACAGGCAGTAAGAAAACAAACGCTCAGTAGGTCGTAACGATACAATACTTCGCAGTGAACCTAACTCAAGCCCGGGCTTATAAAGGAGACTAACTAGTCATATGATCAAGTTCACAGGTGTTCTCAGTTAGTACTCTGGGGAGTTTGAGCGCTGATTGGAGCACGGGCGAGAGTCAGGAGTCATGTGATCTCCCCTAGAATTGTGGGCAATGGAGTCCATGTCTGCATCCGAGTCGGAAGGAAGTTGCTCGGTCACGTGACTTCCCTGAGGATTCTGGGAAATGGAGTCCGTCTCCATGTCAAAGTTTGCTGAATGCGTGACATTTTTTAAATTTATTTTTAATTGAAAAGCACTTTGAGCTGCTACATATATGAATATGATAACTATAAATAACAATAATATTAACCTCTTAAAAGGCCAGGGCCCAAAGTTTTATTATACACTTCTATAATCTAAGAATAGCTCTGCCAGTTTGCATTGAAGTCCCTGTAGTTACAAAATAATAAGCCTTAGTATGTAGTAAGCCTGGGATTTTAAGGGGTTAATGCTTCTGTTCCATTCCATGAAGTGAAATGAAAGCCACCCCAGTTTTGAGATATTGACAGATTCGAGAATCAATGTACTGATCAATAATCAGATTAATGTGAGCCATGTTTGTTTTCGTTGCAGTCTGTTGGGCTCGATGTTCCCCATGCCCCGTGTCCTGTTTGCCATGGCCAGAGATGGACTGCTCTTCAAACCGCTGAGTAACATCAGCTCAAGGCAAAGTCCTGTAATAGCCACTCTCTCTTCGGGAGTGGTGGCAGGTAACACACCTGAGGAACTCGCCTGAAACACCTCACTCAACTGTTCAGCATATTGCAGTTGTCACACAAACACTCTTCATCTCCGTCATTTTGTTGTCATTTTTAGTTTTTTGCATAGTCTGAAAACTCTTTACATTGTGTCCACATTTCATGATGAACGGAGCAACATAATTAGTCCAAAATTACCTGGTTACATTAACTTTTCATTACAAGTTAAGAATGATTTTTTCTTCTCCTGTAAAGTTTCCATTTTGGAAATATAAGGTTTTGTTCCAACAGCGACGATACTCAACATATTAAATATTAAATAATATATTAGACCACAGTGTTCAGCTTGATTCACACACTTAAAATTATGGTTCTTCAAGGGTTCTTTAGTAAAGAAAATGGTTCTGTATAGAACCTTTTTGAAAAGGGTTCTATATAGCACCCAAAAAGTGTTCTTCTATTGTAACAAGCCTGACATCGTAACAATATGAGCCCTTTTCAAAAAGGTTCTATATAGAACCATTTACAGCACATTCTCCATCAATCTGAAGAACGCTTTCATGATGCAAAAAACACTTTAATCATGCTACTATAGAACCTTCTTTACTGTAGAACCCTCTTTAATATAGAACCATCATTTTAAGTGTGCAGCTCCTGAATTTGATTAATGAAACAGGCTGACTTAGTCAGAATGTGTATTTCCTTAGTGAACAAACTGTGTTCTGTTTTCCAGCCATTATGGCCCTCGTGTTTGACCTGAAGGCCCTGGTGGACATGATGTCCATTGGCACTTTGTTTGCCTACACTCTGGTAGCCATCTGTATCCTCATCCTCAGGTAGGTCTCACACTCCTGTGTGTGGATAATATAAATGATTATATTCTGTGTAAAATAAAATACTGTTTATATTTCTTATTTTAGCGCAGTTTTTTTTTACCAGTTTTCTCAGGCATGAATTAAGTTTAGTCTTAAAACTGCGACGCAGATGCTGATACACCATTGACAAAGCGTAGTCTTGATCTAGAAAGGCATGCAAGTTATGAATCTCTGGGCATTCCAGCCGACACCTATCGTTTAATAAGTTATTTGTTGTGTTCTGTAGTGCAGAACTGCATCCATCAGCCTCATTAGTTTGACAAAATTCATGATTTTGTATTGATTTCATATTTTTTCCATCACTGTTCTCTTGGTATGATACCCACAGGGTTGGGTAGAACTTTAAAAAAAGCAGTGATGGCTGAATAATGAATACACGGTCCTGAATGCATTAAGTAACATATTCCATTACAATACATAAAAAACTAAGATAATCAAAATACATTTACAATAAATTACAATACATCTGGATAAGGCGCATCAGAAATACTCTGCTGTTCTAACTTTTATTTAATTCAGAGAAAAAATTCACTTATTTTGGTGATGTTACAAAATTCTCAATATTATTTTGGCTCTCAATGTCTGCATTAGTCCACTCCCACTCTCATAATCCCACTGCTGTCTCAGGAACTAAACAAACAATTTATGACCCCCCTAAAACAAGACCTTGTAAATTTGACTATAATTTGACAAGCTGTGATTTTCAGTTAATGGCATGTATGTAACAAAACGCATGCGTGAGTCCAGAACAACACCAATACTAAGCTTATCACTCGTGAACACGTCCACTACTGAGGAGTCTGTTCAGTTCCATTAACCTTCAAAAGAGCTCAGTAATGCTGAGATTGATAAGTAGCTCATCACACTGATTTATCAGTCAGAGGACTTGTCCACTAATCAGAGGGTGTGTTTGTGGCTTGTCCACCAATCAGAGGCTGTGTTCCTAACTTGTCTACCAACCAGAGACTGTGTTTCTGACTTGTTAAAATGCATTCAAATTATCAAAAAAATACAAACAAAACATTTCAGCTTACAAATGTTCAGATTTTAAACTTAAACTGTATTGTGGACCTAATTTATACACAGTACTAAAAGATGCGAGTTAGAAGAACTTTTGACTAAACTAAGCTGATGGTCAAAATTTTTCATTTTGGCGAGTGTTCAAGGAGATTTCATCTGTTTATAATGTACAGTCTGAAACATGCAGAATCACTGACTTTCAAGTTGCAATGCAGTTCAATAAACTGCAAATACCAAAGAAAAAGGCCCAACCTGGACATTCAACAGCCCTGTCCTACTTTGTGTCCATGCAGATACCAAACAGATTCAGATGAAATGAATGACAAGCAGAAGTGGAATCTTCTACGACCACCTTCTTCACCCACTCCGACAAGCTCAAAGGTTGTGTCCTACCTGACCATTTTCACAAGTAAGTCTTGTTCATTTGCTGATTTGTTTAATTTGTTTAAATCATTTTTGTCCCAAATTTTCTTATTTATTTTATAACTTTACATGCACTATATAGACAAAAGTATTGGGAAACATCTCTTAATCAATGAATTCAGGGTTTTATTCAGTCCCATTGAAACAAGTGTATAAAATGAAGCACCTAGCCATGCAGTCTGTCTTTATAAACATTTGTGAAGGAATGGGTCGTTCTAAAGAGCTCAATGAATTCAAGTGTGGTACTGTAATAGGATGCCACCATTGCACCATTGCAAAAGTCAGTTTGTGAAATTTCTTCCCACATTTTCCACGATCAACTGTGAGTGGTATTACTGAGAAGTGGAAGTGTTTAGGAACCACAGCAACTCAGCCACGAAGTGTCAGACCACAGAAAGTTACAGAGCGGGCTGCCGAGTGCTGAGGCGTACAGTGCATTAAAGGGTCCAATGCTCTGCTGACTCAGTAACTGCAGTGTTCCAAACCTCCTCTGGCATTATGCAAGCCTTACGCACCAAGCACAATGCAGAGCATTGAATGGAGTGGTGTTAAACACATCGCCACTGGACTCTGGAGCAGTGGAAACATATTCTGTGCAGTGACGAATCACGCTTATCTATCTGGCAGTCTGATGGTTGAGTCTGGGTTTGGTGAATGCCAGGAGAACGTTACCTGCCTGACTGCATTGTGCCAAGGAGGAGGGATGATGCTATGGGGTTGTTTTTCAGGGGTTGGCCTAGACCCCTTAGTTCCAGTGAAGGGAAATCTTAATGCTTCAGCAGACCAAGACATTTTGGACAACTGTATGCTTCCAACTTTATGGGAACAGTTTGGGGAAGAACCTTTTCTGTTCCAGCGTGACTGAGCCCCAGTGCACAAAACAAGCTCCATAAAGGCCTGGCTGGGTGAGTTTGGTGTGGAAAAACTTGACTGGTCCTCACAGAGCCCTGACCTCAACCCCATCAAACACCTTTGGGCTTTAGAGCTGCAAAGGGGGACCAACTCCATATTAATGTTTATGGATTTAACATAGGATGTCATAAAAGCTCCTGTAGGTGTGATGTGTAGGTTTCTCAATACTTTTGTACATATAGTGTATGTGTACAGTAACTTACCATTTGATCAGTTACAGAGTGCTTTGATTGTACTTCTGATTGTACAAGATACTTGTGTATCTTCATGCTGTCCACCACCGGTGGACCTCTTTGATAAATTTTGCTGTTGTGTTTTTCAGTTGTACTCGCAGTGGTTCTGAGCGTGATTCTGACCAAGGGAATAGAGTTAGTGAAGGAGTGGTGGATGATTCTCATCATCACTCTAGCTCTGCTGTTCTTGCTAACCACTGTCATCATCATCTGGAGGCAGCCACAGAGCAGCGTCAAAGCTGCCTTTATGGTGAGACTCTGCATGTTCTCATGCATTTTGTGTGAAATCACAATCCATCTTAGAATATGAGTGATTTAAAAAGATCTACATGGTATATTTACTGAGATCTAAAAGATGAAGAATGATCCAAACTTAGTACCATGACAAATTGACAAACTTGTAAATTTCTATATTTCAAAAGTTGAGGGGTGTTTTACAAATACACTCATAGATTGGTAGGCTATGTAGAGCCATCTACAGCACATTCTGAAGAACGCTTTCACGATACAAAGAACCCTTTAATAATGCAAAGGTTTACCTGAGTGTTCATGGTCATTTTAGAACCAGTCTCTTCTCTAAAGAACCCTTAAAGAACCATCTTTTTTAAAAGTGTACTTACTGTTTCACTCTGCATATTATAGATTCTTAATAAGGTCTAATGTTTATTTTAGTGAGCTTTTAGCCAAAATCCAGCTCGGTTACCGATAACTTTGCAGTACAAAACCAGAGGCCCTCCCCCAAGTCTGATATGTTTGGCTTACATCTTACGAGGTCTGATCTGATTAACCGAATGTTATGTTAGTCAATCTCTGGTAGCACAGCAGAGGCAGCGCCCCCTATGTTGCGCCCTGCTATTATACTACATCGCGAATGTGAATGAACTATAGATGATTTGGACAAGTAATGCGCATTTACTTGGGAAGTGGAGGGCTGGATAACATTTACGCAGGGCTAAAGGCCCCCCTAAAACTGGTCTAGTGACACCCATGCTTAATATCTATAAAGAGTGGCTAGGTTATGATCCAAAAGGTAGCTCTACAGTGCTAACTAGTCATACTAAAAGCTGCAATTTTTGCTTGCAGGTTCCTCTTCTGCCAGTGCTCCCAATTCTTAGCACTTTTGTCAATGTCTATCTCATGGTCCAACTGGGAGGAGATACATGGATCCGCTACGCAGTTTGGATGGCAATAGGTAAGCTGGTACTCCTACATTTTTGGTTCATAATGCTTCTTGTCAGGATGAAGTGACTGCTAATATGAAGATTGCTGCTATTGTCAAATAAACAGTGCACACTAGCACTCAGCATTGATGCAAAAGCAAGGGTGGATTTAGTGATTCTGGGGATCCAGGCAAAAGACAAGAACGGGGCCTCCTAGATGACCGTTTCTAAATTAGAAGAGGATCCCAAGTGAAGCAACTGTTTGCACAGGAAAGAGTGACAACACATTCTCCATCAGTGTTTCATGATGCAAAGTAGCCTTTATTCATGCACAGGGCTCTTAGAGTGTTCATGGTTGTATATAGAACAATTTTCCTTACTAAAGAAGCCCTGAAGAGCCATTTTTTTTTTTCATAAGAGTGGATGTGGTTCTATATAAACCCTTTTTGACAATAGTTCTATATAGCACCAAAAGGGTTCTTCTAGTGTTACAAGCTTGACTTCCTAACAGTAGCAGAACCCTTTTTGGTGCTATATAAAACCATATACAGGACATTCTCCATCAACCTGAAGAACAGTTTCACCATGCAACAAACCAGTTCAGCATGAAATGGTTCTAGAACTCAAGGTTCTAAACAGAACCACCGCCTTTATTAAAAAACTTTCAAGAACCATCTTTAAGAGCGTAGGTTACCGCTTAAGTGTCTTTTTTATACCAGTCTGTCTTCACACAGTTGTGTCATCACATAACTTGGAATAGTCCATTATAACCATGTCCGGGTGGTGGAGCTGCATGAAAATGAATTAAAAAAAAAAACTACAATTTCAATTTTATTTTTTTAATAAATGTATGTGACCAAAAGAGTGCAAGGCAATGCTCTGAGATAGGTTTGCACCACAGATTTTTTATTTATATATTTTTTATAAAATGAGATGAAACAAGGACGTGTCTCTCAAAATAAAAACACCAATATACCTTTCAAAAAGACAAAAACTGATTAAAGCAAAGGACATAAAATATCTTTCTTCAAGCTTAAAATTTCCACAACACAATTTGTCCTGCTTTAAACATCAAAAGTGGAAAGGTATAACCTTATAAAAGAGTAGAATCAAGTTTATTCCTTTATTTAAAAAAAAAACAAAAAAAAACACTATAACCAGCATTAACCAAGAGGAAGACTCAAGTGTTGGTCGATAAAGTTATGCAGTCAACTTTATCAACTAGATAAAGTTATGCAGTCCGTATACAACCTCAAAATAAACACTTAGAACCTTAAAACAATAGAAAATGGAAAAAAAGAAAAAAAAAAGAAAAAAAAAAACAGGCAAAAACAGCAGGATGACTTGAGACCCTGTCTTTGGACAAAAAGAAAAATCATACTACAAAATTATTTTACACAAAATAAAAATTACTTTCATTTAACGATTACCCTTACGATGGGAGTTCCCTTATTCAGTTGGAAACAGCAGCTCCGAACCCTCAAAATCCCTTATCTTTGCAGCTTCAGGAGGCCAATGAAAATTACAAAAGGCACCAATAAAACTAAAGAAGATTCAAAACCACAAACCTACCTCTTGTAGGATAAGATTAGGGCCTACAGAATAAAGAGGAAAGGAGTAACACCTCACTACTCAATGACTGCAACAGATACCAAAACTTCAGTCAGATCCAACCATCTATTGAACTAAAACCACAGCCAAGGCTGTCCACAGCACCAACAGAAATGCCAAGAGATCCAACTGCTGTCTTAGCAGGCCACAACAAACAGCACCAAAGAACAAAGAAATGTTGTTCAAGGACTCAGACACCTGTGACCAATTAATAGGGGGAGAACTATTGGAAATAGGAAGACTACCACAATAAAAGCCTCCAAAGGAATATTGCACCTATCATAATAAAAGGCATCCAAATACTTCGTCCTGCCACATGTATATATTTTGGAGTAGGTTATTTCACATCAACATGTACAGTGTGTCTAATTTTAATTTCATGGGGCCCTTGGCCTTTGTCTAGTGCAGGGGTCGTAAGCCAAATGTTAAGATGAGCCATTTTGTCCTTTCAACAAAAATTAATCCACCTTGAGAGCCACAACATTTTCTGTCTGTTTTACCATCTTGGCTGTAAATATGTCTCAGTATGTGTTAATGTCCTAGTATAGGCTAAAAATATAATATAAATGAAAAACACAGACTTTTCTCGCATCTCCAGCAGGAAACTTTTTAAAATTAGAACAGTTTCTTGTAAAATGTCTCTCAATGTTAAATTTTTTACGAGGCTGAAGTCACTTCACATTCTTCAGCTTCTAGTTCAAATTTTTACATTCCACCTTAAATGGTGCCTGAGGCGCCAGAGTGTGACTGCACCATTTAAGGTGGAACAGGACAATTCAAACAAGAAGCTGGCAAACGAGAAACTGACTTCAGCTTTGCGACTTTTTAGTGTTTGACAGTTTCTCGTTGCAGATTAAACATATAAGGAAATAAAAAAAGTCTATTCGTCTCCAAATTCTCAATGTTCGTCTTAATCTCTCTTTTTGCCTTTTTGTTAGCTACTAGCTAAGCGAGAGTGACCAGCAGTCTGCGCGTCAACCTTCAGGGTTAAGGGTGAACTAGCAGTTCTACATTAACTCCAGTGTTTAAGACCATTTAGTGTTAAAACTGTGTTGGAACGATCAGCAAAGCTTTATTTTACTGCGAAGGAGAAAACATTTATTTTTACCTAAAAATCTAATTCTGCTGTGGAGCCACAACAGAGCAGCTTGTTTCTGACCCCTGGCCTAATGCAAAGACCACCTCTGCTTCCCCAGCATCTGTTTGCTTTCTATTACAACTTTGTTCACAGAAAGCTGTTTTTTCTCTTTCCCTGCAGGCTTATTGATCTATTTTGCCTACGGAGTGTGGCACAGCGTCCAGAAGAAACGAGAACAAACACCTCACAGTGTCCAAGTTAAAACTGTCGGTGCTCAACTAGAGAAGGCCAACAAAGACGGCTCCTTCCCACCGCTGCGTCAAACCAAGTTGTAACCAGTGGTGCGGCTAACAGACTCAGACTCTGCCTTAATAGCTTGATCTGAAATGAAAACGTAAAGATTCATATTGGATCAGCATCTGTGCATTATTGAGAATCTGTATTCTGAACACCTGAAATGTTTCCCAGACCGGGATTAAGACTAGTCCATTCAGAATGCTGTGTAGTCCAGGGCTGGGCTTATTCTCATTCTGGGAAACCCGCTTAATGGCCTCTTTTCCAATGTCAAGCCAAATGGTTCTCAGGGCTGTACTGGGCCGTTCCGTGCTGGTCTGGACTCGCGAGACTGGTTATGGTTTCTTTTTCCATCTGTTGTTCCACTAAATTAGAACTAGGAAATACTGAAGAAAATTGCACAAATGAGTTGCTAACTGCTAACAGGCTAACTTTTACAAGCATTCCTTCTGTCACTCCAACACCAGTCTCTCATGTGCTCTCATCTTCTTTATCATTTAAACAGGTGGTATTTAAGCATCTGTTACTGAAACAGCCTGGACTGTGTTGGGCTTCATCTGTAACGTTAGCTGGCTAACTACACTAGCATTGGCGTCGCCCAGCAGGACCAGCACCACAGAGCAATTATAATTTTTATCCTTCTGTCACTTCAACTGCAGACATTTGAATTTGTGATCTCAGATACAAGTCTTGATCATCGGCTTGATCATCGGATCAGCGAGTACTACTGGAGGGAGGCACCGTACACTTGCATTAGCTTAGCCTAGCTGTCTACAGCTTAAAGTACTACAGAACGGGCCTGATTTTGGCTTTCTGTCACTCCACTGCCAATCAGTCGACTTCACTCTCGCTGTCATAAGTTTTTATCGCCTATACTTGTGATAGGAGAGCAGTTAGACGAAACAAACCTGCACTGGGGTGTCTGGATCTTTTTAGCTAAATTAGCTAGGAGAGAAGAGCCAGCTAGCATTAGCTTAGCCAGGAGGCTCCAGCTCCAGATACCAGAGAACAGGTTTAATTTCGGCTTCCTGTCCCTCTTACATCAACTTCGCTTCTTTAGATTTGAGCCATTAACATCTAGCTAAACGTGTGTCCTTAAAGCTTTTGCTTGTCAGAATCAAACCTGTTCTGTTGTGAGCAGATCTGGCAGCACGCTAGCCAAGCTAACGCTAACCAGCTACTCTCTCCTGGTTAGCAGCACCATTTAACATTTAGAAATTGATGTTTATTGAATGGTGAATTTAAAATCGTGCTCTGATTTCATTTATTTTATTTGGTTTCTGTTTGAGCGAACTGAAAGTGTTTGTTTTTAAGTTTGAAATTGTATTTCAGGATGCTGTGGCGCAGTTTTTAAGCGTTCCGTGTTGAACCGTGTCCGTATGGAAGTGCCACTGGAACGGTTACCCTCCGTGCTCAGAACAGTTTGGCCCTGCTGTGGAAAAGAGGCCTTTGTAAATTAGTAAAAGGCCTTCATTAGTATACAGTCATATGTAAAAGTTTGCACTGTAAAGGATATGTTCACTTATTTACACTCAGAACATCAACAACAGCATGTCATTTGACCAGGTGTGTTCAAACTTTTGCATATGACTATATGAATGTTATACTATATATTAATATATATTTATATTTTAGCAATGGTTAAAGTATTTAAATTGGCAGTGATGTTATCTCAGTGTGGTCAAGCTTAAAATTACTTTTTGACCGCCGTGTTTCTTTGTATGGTTGTCGTTGAAGAAAACAGTATTTTGGTTACATAACTTATAGTTAAAGTCATGCTTAAAAGAATTGTTTGAGGGGCAAATATTGTCCATCATTTGATCCTCTGTTTTGCCATGTAAAACTAATCATTTTTAAAGGGGAAGATTATATAAGCAACTTCAATTATGTAAAATGGAAAGATTATAGAAGCAATGCTTGGTAATAGTCACCAAGTATTAAAATACAATTTTTGTATACATTTTTTGCAATCGTGCCAGGCACAGATGTTTTATTTTATTTATCATTTTTTAGAATGATAATAAAACTTGAACATATGTTTCTGTGATTATTTGTGGTTACATAATGTTTATACATAATTTCAACCATTTTCTTACCGTATAACAACAACATTGATTCAATTTTTGCCCTCAGGATTAAAGGAATGGTTTGGTGAAAAATCACAATCACTATTTTCCACTTTCTCCCAGTGTAGTCGATCAGCCAAGATGTTTGGTGTCCAAGCCAACTAGGCTAATATTGCTAACAAACACTAGAAATCAATACTCACCCAAATCCCTGTAAATACATCCCTCTCAATTCTCTCAAAACCCACTCAAACTGCATCCAGGCACATTAAGGTGGCTTGTCAGTGTGGTTTAGGACACAGTATGACTTACTGAACTACAAAAAAAGAACAAAACTTCAGTGTTCAAGCTCCGGGGTCGGCAAACCAAATGCTAAGGAGAGACATTTTGTCCTTTGAAGAAAAATCAAACCGCCTTGGGAGCCACAACATTTTTCTATTTTACCATCTTGGCTGTAAATATGTCTCAGTATGTGCTAATGTACTAGTATATGCTGAAAAATATAATATAAACAAAAACTCAGACTTACTTTGCTCTGCTTTAAGCTTTAGCCCAGCTATAGCCGCTTTTCTCACATCCCGAGCAGGAAACTTCTCTTGTAAAACGTCTCTCAACGTTTAATTTTTTATAAGGCTGAATTCAGCTTCTCATTTGCCAGCTTCGTGTTCAGATTTTCCCATTCCACTTTAAATGGTGCCTGAGGCGCCAGAATGTAACTGCTGCACCATTTAAGGTAGAATGGGAAAATTTGGACGGGAAGCTGGTGAAGAAGAAGCAACTTCAGCTTTGTGACTTTTTAGTGTTTGACAGTTTCTTGTTGCAGATTAAAAGTATCAGGAAACCAGCTGGAGCGATTATAAATGCAAATAAGTCCATTCGTCTCCAAATTATCGATGTTCATCTTAAATCTTTCTCTTTACCTTTTCATTAGCTACAAGCTAGGCCAGAGTGTTGCTCTGGTAACCAGCAGTCTGCGCTCCAACCTTCATGGTTAAAGGGTGAATTAGCAGTTCTACATTAACTCCAGCGTTTAAGACCATTTATTGTTTAAACTGTGTTGAACGATCAGCAGAGCTTTATTTTACTGCAAAGGAGGATTATTTTATTTTTACCTAAAAGTCTAATTCTGCTGTGGAGCCACAACAGGGCAGTAAAAGAGCCGCATGCAGCTCCGGAGCCACGTGTTGTCGACCGCTGCTGTAGCTGACCAACAGGGTCGTTGAGCCAAAGACTGCCCTTCACATTCATGCACATCAGACATAAGGACGCCACAGATTAAATTCACAATTTCTGTTGTTTATTTTTAATTAATAACTGTTAATCTCATTTTTTAAACTAAAGGTAATTGTTCAACAACAGAAACAACAATCTTAAATGTAATCCATTGTCCATATGCCTGCGTTGTGTTCGTGCATGCAAGTTGACACGTCTTGGCCGATCGACTGCATGTAGGGTGGAAAATGGAGTAAATTAGATTTTTTGTCAAACTTTTCCTCACACAAACTTTCAAAATCAAAGCAGTTATGAATAAAAGTTAAGCAGTTTTTTACAGGGTACCCATGTAAGTTGTAATTATACATTTAATGAAAAATAATGATATATACCATCAAAGTCAATGACCAGAACTAGGCATCTGGGTGCTTCCTATCAGAGTAAAGTGGGTGGGAAGGGGCATGGCCTATGCTGTAGACACACCTATGCTCAAATGCCTGTACTTTTTATATTGCTTATAAATTCCAGGCATGTTGAAACCAAACCGCATAGTCTATAACTGGAGCTCTGCAGAATCTAGTAAGTAAGTAAGTAAAGTTTATTTATATAGCGCTTTTTACAACAGGTGTTGTCACAAAGCAGTTTTACAAGGAAATCAGCATTACAGAAAGAAATCCGGGTCCAAGCTCCCATGAGCGAGCCAGTGGTGACAGTGGCAAGGAAAAACTCCCTAAGAGAAACAGGAAGAAACCTTGAGAGGAACCAGTACTCAGAAGGGGAACCCATCCTCCTCTGGTCGACACCGGATAGTAAACATTGTTAGTACAAAAACAGGGAAAACAGGTGGAGCAATGATTAATTTGATTAGTTTAGTTCATATAGAAGCAGCAGCAGCAGCATCAGCATCAGTGGGGTCAGGTTTTGAGGGTGAGGTTTGCACAGCGTAGTACAGCATGGAGCTTGATGGTGGTCAAGCCGGTCCAGAGGGCTGGCGAGCAGTGGCACCCAATCAAGGCAGAAGAGGCAGCAGCATCAGACGGACGGATGGGCAGCTGTTCAACTCGGCAAAGGAAAGAAAGAAAGGAAAAACACACAGAGAGTCAGTTCTGTAATGGGTGATTGATTAATTTGATTAGTTTAAATGATTGATTAGTTCAAATGATTAATTTGATTTGTTTAGTTTATGCAACAGCAACATCAGTGGGGTCGGGATTGTGAGGGTGAGGTTTGCACGGCGTTGTAAAGCAAGAAGCTCAATGGTGGTCAAGCCGGTCCAGAGGGCTGGCGAGCAGTGGCACCCAATCAAGGCAGAAGAGGCAGCAGCATCAGACGCACAGGATGGGCAGCTGTTCAACTCGGCAAAGGAAAGAAAGAAAGGAAAAACACACAGAGAGTCAGTTCTGTAATGGGTGACTGATCACAGATTACAGACATTTTATCACAGAATCAAGACATTTTATACACATAACACATCAAAAATGTAATTGAGTCTTAACCTCAGAATTGAAATTTGAATTCCAGAAATGTGTATTGTTACACTCGTGTTTCTGACACTTGTATGCCTACATTCTGAAGAGCGTTCATGATCTACACAGAACGCTTTTCTATTTAAAAAAACAAGTGAGTGATCAAATGAAAAATTGGGCTCTGTTAAAGGGGAATACCACTATTTACCACAATTTCTGTGTAATTCAGTGTTTGAGATGTAAACAGAGTAATTCAGAGTGATTTGGTGTGAAATGGTTCAGATGTCTTTACAGTGGTGGTGATAGAAACCAGGGGTCACCATGACTACAACACAAATATAGCCATTTTATTTACTATCCAAAACCACCAGTGAACCTACACGTGTCTTCTCTTTCCTTACGACGCCCTGCATGTACCTCTTTGCCACGAATGTATTTAAAAAAATACTTATGCATTTAGGCCAAAACGAGGGCTGCATCCAAAACCACATACGAATTGGCATCAGTTCTCCTCCTAGAGGGTCATCGACACACAGTCCAGCACAGTTGAGAGGCCTCTCTGCTTAAACACACTTGATTCAATTCATCAAATAATTATCAGATTCAGGTGATTAAACTGTGTCAGACTCTGGCCCTCCTCCTGCTTTACAAGGTATATCAACGAATGTCTTACACACTTAAAATGATGGTTCTTCAAGGCTTCTTAGGTAGAGAAAATGGTTCTTTATAGGGCTTTTTGATTATGTTCTATATAGCCCCAAAAAGTATTTTTCTATTGTTATGATGTCAAGCTTGTAACTATAGAAGAACCCTTTTTGGTGCTATATAGAACCTTTTTCAAAAACATTCCATGTAGAACCATCCACAGCACATTCTCCATCAGTTTCAAGAACCTTTTCACAATGCAAAGAACGCTTAAATCATGCAAAGGACTCCTAGTTGTATATAGAACCAGTGTCTTTACTAAAGAACCCTTGAAGAACCATCTTTTTTAAGAGTGATACAGAACCATTGCATGCTTAAATAAAAAAAAAATAGTTCTATGCATGGTAAAATGGTTCAGTAGAAAACCTTTTTGAAAGTGGTTCCATACAGCACCAAAAAGAGTTCTACTACTGTTAGAAGCTTGACATCGTAACAATAGAAGAACCCTCTTAGGTGCTGTATAGAACCAATTTCAAAAATGTTCTTTATAGAACCGTCTATGAGACACAGGGTTCTGTGAGTGTTCATGGTTCTATATAGAACCATTTTCTTTACTAAAAAAAACAACTTGAAGAACCATTTTTAAGAGTGTATAGAAGAACACTTTTTGGTGTTATATAGAACCCTTTTCAAAAACATTCTATATATAACCTTCCACTGTGCATTCTCCATCAGTCTAAAGAACTCTTTCACAATGCAAAGAACCCTTTAATCATGCAAAAGATTCATAGTTCTATATGGAACTATTGTTTTTTACAAAAGAACCCTCAAAGAACCATCTTTTTTGAGTGTGATATAGAACCATTTCATGCTTAAATAGTCCTTTGGATGTTGAAGTGGTTCTACATAAACTTTTTTGAAAGTGGTTCTATACAGCACCAAAAAGGGTTCTTCTACTGTTACAAGTTTGGCATTATCACAATGGTAGAACCCTTTTCGGTGCCACATTGAACCATTTTCTAAAAGGACCTATATGAAATCCAATACAACACATTCTCCATCCATCTGAAGATCCATTTCACCCATGCAAAGAACCATTTAAGCATGAAATGGTTCTATATAGAATTGATGGTGCTAAATAGAACCATTGTCTTTACTAAAGAACCTTTGAATGAACATTTTAAGTGTGTATTAATGGAAGTGCTCTATTTTGACCATTTAGTGTGGTAGTATGAGATCCTGGACGCAACCAACCAGGCATAAGGCAGCATATTCTAAACCTTTTTTCATACAATGAATGACTTTGTTTATATTTTAACCGTTTAATTATTCAGAAATGTGGAAAAGTCGGTGGAATTCCCCTTCGAAGGTGCAGTCTGATAGCCGAATAGCCGGAATAGCTCAATACTTTTTTCTCAACGCTGGCGTCTAGACACACATCCCGAATCGCCAATCACAGGTTTTGCCACGGCGGTCCCGCCCACTGCCCGTCCAATCAAATGCTTCTCTTGCAGGAGGTCCCGCCCACTCCCGCCCCTAAGATCCAATCAGATGTATCTTTGCGAGGTGGTCCAGCCTACTGGTGGCAAAAAATGGCGAAGTAAGGATTTGGGGGTGCTGTTGATATACTTTCCTGCATCGAAAAGGGGGATTCGTCGATTATATGTGGGTATCTGTGTTGAATAAAACATGTTCACAGTCTTTCATGCATTTAACGATCATTTAGAAGTGATTAGCTTGCTGTTTTTGACGTGTGGAGCGGGCAGTTGCATCAGTGTTGCTAAAGTTAGCCAGCTAGCTTAGCTGGGGTTAGCTAAATAGCTCAGCCAGCTAACAGTGGAGACCACAAAGAAACTGCGAGTAACTTTTCTTAACTTGATTTCGGCGGCTTTTGCAAATATACGGAGCTGTTTGCTTGCAAAACTGACGTGCACGCTTTGTTAAAACAGTATTTTCCCGGTGTTAACCGCTTGTTTTTACCTTATGGCTTGCTAAGCTAGCTGTATTGGGCCTAAAGACGTTGCCTCGCAGCTGGATAACTCTGAAATACCTGAATGGCCTTGAGTCTTACTGTTCAAGAGTAAAGTCTCACTTTTAATGCCGATTATGAGTGAATATGGACTGTATAGACGTTTGTAATTGTAAGGCGGGGCTCCACAGCAGTGTTTGGGAAATAATATTGACATCTGGACAACAGCAGCCCCGCCAGGTAGATTCAATGTTTTGGCTGCATCAACTTGGGTTACTGCTTTCAGGACTATGGGGAGGAATGGTTTCCAGAGTGAAAGGCAGTCACTATAGTGGAAAAACGTGAAATGCAATACACACATGGCGTTACTTTTACATAGTGACATGCAGAAAACATATCAAAAATGAAAAACAAACCTCCTATTACTTGTTCTTCACATCTTTACTGAAAAACAGTGCATGAGAGTTTGCATTTCAAAAATGAAATGCAGAACTGAATCCCATCCACCTTGAAATGTACTGAAGGCATGGCTGTGTTGCTTTCCGCTGCGCAGTATGTAAAACAACGTTAAATCAATGTAGTGGGTCTTTTACCTCTGATTTTGGCATGTTTTCTGCATGCTACAGTTGAAATGCAGTTATGTGTGTGCATAGTATTTAACTATTTTGGTTGCATTTCAGTGAGACGGATACAGTTGAAGTACAAAAAAGAGGTCAAGCGACATGAAAACAGTGCAGTGGAGGTTTTGCTTTTCATTTTGGCACATATTCTGCATGTTACTATGTAAAAGTTATGTCGTGTGCATTGCATTTCAAATTTGTTGTTTTCGTTTGTTTTACATTCTGGCAAAATTACGTTACATTCTGCTCTCAGTGTATTGAGAGGAATTTGTTTCAGCCTGAAAAGCAATCGCCACAGTGGAAAAATGTGAATGAACACATTACATTACTTTTCCACAAGTGTCATGCAGAGTATGTGAAAAACAAACACTCTAATACATTGTTTTCATGTGGCTTTACCTCTTTACTGAAAAACAATGCATGTAAAAAATTAATTGCTGAATTTGTGTCAGAATTGACTTGATATAGAAGGCACGACTGTATTGTTTTCCACTGGGCTGTACTTTTGAAATGCAGTCATAACTGTGAAAACGGTGAAGTGCATTGTATGCATGACATTACCACAGATGAAATGCAGAATATGTACCAAAATGAAAAGCAACACCTCCGCTACAGCATTTTTAGCTTTTTTTTGTACATCAGAGGTGTCTGCTTGAGATGATTATAATGGCATCAGCTTGTGTTGTTGCTTTCAGCGCATGTTTCCTACTGGTACACTTGCAGCTAGTGTTGGGCGATATATTGTCTATACTGATTTTGAGATTATGAGATTTTATCTTTTGCTTTTCAGTTACGGCAATATTTTAAATATATTTAATAGATACGGATCCATGATATAATGCCCTATAAAGTGCCCTTATTCTTGTTACTAAGCGTTTTTTATTTTTTAAATTAGATTTTGTGCACTTTACTGATGCTGTCCAGGACCTGTTGGTTAAACACCAATTCCACACGTTTTTCAAATTACAGCTTAATTCACAATGGTTGAGATGTAAACAATCTCATTCAGAGTGGTTTGATGTGCTGCATTCTGGATAGGCATACTGACTCAGATTTCTTTACATATGTGTGTAAATATTATTTATATTAAATAGCGATAAAGTAAGTGGGACTGTTTTGCCTTGCATGTACCCCTCTGCTTTTTAAAGATATGGTTTTAGGCCAAAATCGCATCACAAAACCATTTCATGTAATAACTTTCTGTGAGGGAGCCTTTAGAGGTGGATGTCTGGTTCCTATCACCACCACTGTGAACAATTCTGACTCTGAAAATTTCTTTAGAACGGAGCATTTCACACCAAACCACTCTGAACAACTTTGTTTACTTCTTACTCATTTGATTATGCAGAAATTTTGAATAATTGATGGAATTCCTCTTTAACTGCTGTGTATGTTATTTACTGGATGCTTTAGATTTTTAAAAAACAGTTTCCTTTTCTGAAAATGTGCTTTCTTGTTCCTGTGTAAGGTTCAGTTTTGGTGTAATTTTAAGAGTAGCAAAATGGTCCAATCAGAGCAAACTAAAACATTGGGTCTCACTGATCAATATCTTCCAATTCATAGTGTCTGAACTGCATTGAGAAATCCAGAACCAAATAGTTTTCTGCTGAGCCCTGCTGACGACATCCTGTATGAATGAGAAGTCTCAAAACATACTTCACGTAAGGACGTGAACGCAAACGGTGAACGGCCAGCGCACTGGAAATGCTCAGTCCTACTGTACAAACTCTTTCGTTCTTACATTGCTGTGGTGGTTCAAACACTCAATACTGAAGGGGGCGATAGAGGACAAATCACAGGGGATCTACTGTATTCCAACAGCCTCAACAGCTAAACGTGGGCAGTAGAGGAGAGTGAGCTGCTTTACCTCTTCTCTTGAAATGGAAATTTGATAAGGTATGATATGTTTATGACTATATAGGCCGTCTTTGCGTGAAACTCAACTGCCCTTCTGCAGTGGCAGTTGAGAAAGCACGCTGGCTGTACAAGACTGCTTGGTCAGGCTTGGCTGTCATTATAGCACCCCTTTCTGTGAAGTTCAGTTGCAGCTTGTGCATGTGTTGCATTATGAAAAGCGACGTGACAATTTTTTCAACGCAACTACGCATACAAACCCTGTCTGCGTAGCTCGAAGCGTTTGCATTCGCATCCTTGCGTAAAGTATGTTTCGGACCTAATGGGTGGCCACACCATATTAACGTGTAGGAATGAGATCCCTAATGTGTGGCCACGACTTAGGCTACGTTTACACAGCAGGTAAAAGTGGGCCGAATCTGATTTTCTCACCAAATCCGATTTTTTTGTTTGGCTGTTCTGTATCTGTATGCGACTTTAGTCTGAGCAAATCAGCTCCTAAACCGACCCGCATGCGCAAAAGAACAGTGCTTCACGTGGCTCGTCCAGAGGTAAACAAACATGACGGCCAGCGAACGCCAGTCACTCCCGGAGCTTTCAGTTTCATCTTCGCCAGCATCACAGGAGCCATTATAAAGTTCCAGTGGTTGACAGCTGGACTCATCACCCACAGTGTGTTTGAGCTCACCGTAAAAAAGGGCGCGATATTTGGTACAGCCACTTCTTTGGTTTCTGTCCTCGGATTCTTTAAACTTTAAACTGCAGCCTCGGGCTCCTCCGGCTGCGTTCAGTCGTTTCGTTTGAAATCTCTTCGAACTCGGAGCGGTTGTGATAAGTCTCTTCTAATTTTTTGGTACAGAAACATCAGCCTAAATGTTTGAGTCTCAGCAGCGCAAAATTATGCCGAATGTCAAGTTGGACTGACGTAAAAGTCGCATGAATTCCGATCTGGCTGTTCAGACTGAATCACATTGCCGCAGACACACTGACAAACATGACACATCTGTGTCACTTACGAAGAAAAAAGATCGGATTTGGGCCACTTTTACCTGCTGTGTGAGCAAAGCCTCAGTAAGGCATGATCTCATTCCCACCCTTCACTAAATCGTGCCCACGACTTAATTATGTAGTTCCCGTGCCATACAAAGTCGTGGCCTTGCATTAGAATCTCATTTTCGTGCGTTAATACAGCGTGGCCGCGCATTATTATCATTTATATGGGATGTCACCAGCAGGGCTCTGTGCTTTTCCTCTAATTGATATGTTAAGTTTTTACTGTATTCAGGTTTATTTATATTCATTCTAATGTTGTGATGTTTTTACTGGAAAAAACACCCAGACTGCTGAGATAAATAGTTTTTAAAACACATTTCTTGGCTGCCTAGAACTTTTGCTCAGTACAGTATCTCATTTCTGGGCTGTCTGAGGAAACAGGGCTGTGAAATGCAGCTCTACTTAATTATCAAGTTTACCTTTTGACTCATGGATTTAAGCTTTGATAATTGTGCCATCTGTCAAACGGGCAAGACAAACTGTTATGTGTAGTAGAGCAGAGCCAATACCTTTACTGTTGCTGTGGAAGACTTGTGCTTAGAGACTAATATTAGAAAACTGTTAATGTTAGAAAGCTACTCTGGCTTGGAGAGGGAGGTGTGTCAGTAAAGCTTTGCTGTTCCCTTCATGCTTTCAACAGCAGCTATAAATGGACAGTGTTTGTTAGTGAGAGGTGGGCAATGTGACGATGTTTAATACTTATTGTGATGTTACGTCACTGTACGGTACTCTTTTCTGAGTATGATGGGTAAAGTCAGCACTTTTTGAACACTGAACATCTGCAAAAAGTACAGATTTAGACTAATTATAGAGTCTCTAAACAACAACAACAACCAGTGTAAATTAGGGCTGAACGATGAGGGAAAAATATCTAATCGCGACTTTTCTGTCTAATATTGCAACTAAAATTTAAATTGCGATTATTTTCTGTAAATGAACGTTCAGGCCTGTTTTTTTTGGAGAAGACCAGCATTTCCACCTTTTCTGCTTGAGCCTTGACCTCTGAATGTAGTGAGCCAGACTGCCAGTAAGTTGTGGTTGTGATGTCACAACACGTGGAGGTTTGGTTGGATCTGATTGGTCCGACTCATCTACAGTAACTGCATAGTAACAAGTAGCTGATTGGGTGGCAGCCTGTTATGACATCATCTTATTATATTTATTTTTGTCTACTGTTGTCCACAGTTTCTTCTTAAAAAGTTTACTTTTGCAGAAAAAGCAGCGCCACTTTAAAGCTGCAATAGGTTGGGTTGAGAATAGTTGTTTTAGCTTGAAAATTTTAATGATTACATCTTCTAGGTCCCTCCCCCTCCCTCTCCGCTGCACTCCAGCCCCACCTCCAAAGCTCCTCCCCGCAGAGAAGGTGGCTCAGACTTATTTCAGAGCTTATGTTTGTTAACAAAAACAGTTGTCAATAGTGCTAAATAGGCAGTAAAGCACTAATGAGAACATTTAGCTGGGAGAGCACAGGCACACATAAATATCAGGACCAACACCAAACCGGTACGACTGCCTGGGCACTTTCCAAAGATATTTTTGGCAACTTTCAAATAAAACAACGCTAACCAGTAGCCATAGCATTGAAAGCAAACTAGCTATGACTAATGATAGACCGATGATAGAGTGTTACTCTAACCATTACAGCATCTTAGCTTTGGGGGTAATTTTTTCCGAAAATCAAATAAAACATAAATCAAGCAGAAATGTGGCTAATTCGGCATTGGATTTGAAGCCTTTCAGGACCCGTAGCTCCCTCCACCTCTGAAAAGCAACTCTGTTTTTTACCCTCGTTTTATCTCAGGCTCTGTCTAATTCTTTAGCTTGCTTTCCTTTATTTGTCTTTTTCTGTTTACTTGTCTTTGTCGTCTATGCTGTTGTTGGTAAAGGAGGAATGGGCAGTATTTTACTTGCTGTTGGTGGTTTATCAACATTGCTTTGGCGTTTCCTGACACAATGCGCGAGGGAGGGGCTACTGCCTGCACGGGCAGTGATTAACACTCCGTCAGGCGCTCCTCCTGGTTCTGATTGGTTGTTTTGATTCAGGTGTAGGGGATACTTGTGAATGGCATTAGGAGCTCTAGTTTGAGCCAGAGGCTTGTTTTTTTTCCACAGATTGTCTGTCTCATGTACTACTGTCAGGACATAGACTATGTTTACACAGCGGGTAAAAGTGGCCCAAATCCAATTTTTTTTGTTTGGCTGTTCACATTATCTTTTAAATGTGATCTGTATGCGATATCAGTCTGAGCAGATCAGCTCCTAAACCGACCTGCATGTGCAAAAGAACAACGCTTCACGTGGCTCATCCAGAGTTAAACAATCATGACGGCCAGTGAACGCCTGTCGCTCCCGGAGCTTTCAGTTTCGTCTTCACCAGCATCACAGGAGCGATTATAAAGTTTCAGTGGTTGACTGTTTATGAATTTCAGCAGCGTGAAATTATGGCGAATTTCGAGTTGGACTGACGTAAAAGTTGCATAAATTCCGATCTGGCTGTTCAGACAGAGTCGCATTGCCGCAGATCGGATATGTATCACATTTGAGGAAAAGGATCGGATTTGGGCCACTTTTACCTGCTGTGTAAACGCAGCCTTAGTGACAGTTTTAGCAAATATTACAGATTATTTTTACACAGTTTACCTACTGCAGCATTAAACTAAGGCCAACCTTACAAAGGGTTTAAATGGTGTAAAGTAGTTCATTAGAGGTCATTAATAAGGTTTTTAACCTCTTTAAAATTACAAATACACATTAAAAACAAAGGACAAAAGGGAGCCGTTATATGTGATGAAAATGAAAATATGATGAAGCTAACTGAATACTGGCTGATGGAGAAGACAAAAAAAGATCATTAACAAGCAAGATCTATATAAAGAATTAATATTATAGATAAATGTGGGCTTACAGCAAGTCACTGTTACCCTCTTTATTTAGGTGTTGTAGTAGCGTATTAATGATTTTTAAGGTGTTTATGACTTATTTATTAACCATTAATAAACCAAACCCTTTAGAAGGTTAGTCCAATTCTAAAATGGTACCAATAAACATTTTCTTCATAGTTTTTCATTTTGTCTTGTTCTCATTGATGCATTTTGTCCATTCAGAAAAAACTAAATAACATGATCTATATTGGGAAAATGCCTTTGAGTATCATGATGGTGGATTTCTGTTCGCTCTTACTGTTGATCACTTATTCTACTTTTTCTTTTTTCTTTTCTGCAAGATTAGCAGCTGTGAGAGGATTTCCTCTCCACTTTGGCCTCCTCTGGACACTGTTTGATGATGGAGTCTTCAGAGGGAGGTGCTGGTGATGCCGCGACGGCCATGAACGCCCAGAGTCTGTACGCCGCTCTGGGTCTCTCTCCGGAGGACGTGGAGGCGCTGGCCAAGATCCCCGAGAATGAAATCAGTGTAGAGACTTTGCCATATCTCATCATGCAGCTCAAAGCCAAACGGGCCGAAAAGCAACCCTCCTCCACCGCCCCAGACGCTGCCGCTGCCGCCACCACCACCACCGCCACCACCGATGCGGACTGCACAGACAAAGCACAGACTGCACCCAAGCAACCGGAGGAGGAGCCTAGACGGGCCAATCAGGAGCCTCCTGAGAAAAGCAAAGAGAAACGGGGAAGCCCGCCCTCCTCCAGTTTGTCGCGGCGCTCCGAAGGCCATGCCTCCAACCACGACCACGAGCATCACGGGAAGGGCGACAATTATCGGAGGACAGAGCGGTCGGGTCCAGCAGGAAGGAGGGACTCCAGGCATAGGAAGTCATCGAGAGAGCGTCAGACGGGGGACAGTTTGGAAATGGAGCTCGACGACGACCCCGCCGTCTTTCCCCACGTCTGTACCATCTGCAAGATTAAAATCAATGAACCGACGGTAGAAGGCCAACTACTGCGAATGATTCAGTAACTGCTCTGAATTATTCAGTAACTACTATGAGTTATTACATAACCGTTATGATATATAAAACTACAATGAATTATATGGCAAATTACTATAAATTAGTCTGTAATTGATTGAAATTTTTATGTAACTACTAAATTATCATGTAACTATAATTATGTAACTGCTCAGTTATTCAGTAACTACTATGAATTATCCAGTATCGTCTATGAATTATTCAGTAACAACTATAAGTTATTAAATAATCGCTATAAATGATCTGCCACTAACTACTGCAGATTACCCAGTTATTCATGTAATTTCTGTAGTCCTGTGAGTGAGGAACTTGAGTGTACAGGTCTTTAGTGTTTTTGTGCGTGTGTGTGTCTGTGTGTGTGTCTGTGTGTGTACATATATGTATGTATACGTATATATATATATATGTGTGTGTGTGTGTGTGTGTGTGTACATGTATGTATGTATGTATGTATGTATATGTGTATATATGTGTATATATATGTGTGTGTGTGTGTGTGTGTGTGTGTAAAATATTGGTATATATACTCTTACACTCTGAACTCCCCCTTCCAGTCCCACTCGAACCCAGAGAGACCCTAGTGAGAGGAAATATTCACAGAGCTTTCCTGTCTTCCTTGAAAAGTATTATTTGCTTGCAACTTCGAGGAAATTTGCCAAACCAGAGATTTCAGATAACACCTGTCCTGGCCCATGTCACTTCCAACATGGAAGATCTTTGCCAAAATACTGTTTGCTCAGTTTCTTCTAATAATTTACAGTAGCATAAAAAATCTGCTGTGTGAAGTCTGTATAAATTATGAAGTTTGTTGTTGAAGTTACACTAGTAAAGGGACTCCTTCATAACAGAATCTGTGTTGATGGTTAGTGTTGTGTTTTGTAATCTTAAATTAACAGGCATGGAGTGGTCATCTTCGGGGTGTCCGGCACATGGACGCACGAAGAGAATTCATGCGTTTGTAAGTTTCCAGTTGCAGTGTTCTGTTTTATTCAGCGATATTTATTTAGTTAGTTTTCAGCTTCAACACTTTGCGCACACACACACACACACACACACACACACACATTTTCTAAGCCCTTATCCTTCTGGGTCACAGAGGGAGCTGGAGCCTATCCCAGCAGTCACTGGGTGGAAGGCGGGATAACAATTTACACACCTGAAAAATAAATAAACAGAAGCATAAGTGGCAGCATATATGCAGCATGAACCATGATGGGAAAGATTTATGATTCTTGATGTGTAATAAGCTGTTTCCTTAAGCAGTATTTAAGTTTTACTGATGCAAATGTTTTTTTTTTTTTATTTAGTCCCAGTTAAAGGATGTACCGGCTCTTGTTCTTATTCATTCTTATTCACATGTTTTGGTTATTGAAGCATGCTGGATGGCTACGTTTAATTGCCAGATTTTAGTTTTGATTGTTAGTTGGTGTTCAGAAATGAATAGAAGTGATGCCCCATTGAAATTGCCTCTGCATACAAGCAGCATATAAGGGTGGGCGATAGGGCAAGAATGTTAACAATACTTAGTCATTTTGCAGTCACTATACACAACGTGGATCACAATGTTTCAAGTTTTCTGAGCAAACATGTTGGAACTAACAAAATGAGGTGGCAAAACAGCAGTGCTACAATAAAAAAACTGAGTGCCATGTTAGTTTTTTTTTTTGCAAAAATAAAAGATTTCAGGAGGAAAAGGAGGGAAAAACAAACAATTGATATAAATAAATGAAAAAAATAAGTTGATGCCATAATAAGCTGATAATCAGCTTCACATCAGCTACTTGTTACCAAACAGTATATACAGTTACAGTATACAGTTGTTTATGGCGAATCGTGACATAATTTATCATGATGGTGACAATATCAGCAAATCACTCACCCCTGCCACTGTATGTTCCTGTCACTCTAGCTCCAGCCCATATTCAGAAGATGACTCCTACTCTTCCCGGCGAAGTTCTCGCTCCTCTTTGCCCAGTAAAAGGTCCTACAGTTCTGAAAGGTGCACAGGTATGGAACCTCTCCACATGCTTTCATCCTCCTTGAGTTTTAGGGCAGAATATAGTTTATTTTCCCAAACTTATTGACATGATAGTACACGGTGTTAAATTTGTTTAACACCCCTTCACAGGGGTGTGTTTCCCAAATCTCCAGTGGGCTGTGTTGCTGTGATATGTTGGCCCTGGGCAAACTGTAGTTATTGTGATCTTTTCCTTAAAGGGCCCATATTGCGAAAACTGAATTTTTCTTACTCTGTTCTCTTTCAGTAAAAGACTTGGTGTAAACATACCATTTACTCCTCAGCCCATACAGTCCATATATGAAAACTAAGCTGCAAAAATAGCCTGTTTTGAAGTCATTGTTTCTGTGATAACACAAAAACCAGTCTGTTTACATACATCACTCAGCCTTTTTAAGCAATTTAAGCCCCACTTATTCACAAATAAGTGATATGGAGTGTTTCAGCTTGGACTGCTTTTTTTAATAAGATGCAGGGCAGGGCAGCCATTTAGAACAGCTCATTTACATATATCAGTCTGGAAGTAACAACAATAAAAAAATGTTTCATCTAAAGAGTTAAAGAGAGGTTGGAAAATGTTCATGTGAAAATGAATTATGACCACACAAACATAAGTGGACCTTAGGGGGGAAACGTTAAATACAAGAAAACTGAAGCTGAATTGTTAAAGATAGGCTGTACACACATCGACAGCTTCCTATCAAATTCAAGTCATAATAATAATAAAAAAAAAAAACACTCCTACTTACAAACACAGTATGTTTTGGATTGAAAGTTTAGAATCTGCCCTGTCTAAACATGTTCACCTCTGTTTTATTGTGCTACATGTATTATTTATTTATTTATTTATTTTTTTAGAGTATTTATTTATTTATTTGTTTTTTTTTACAAAGAATGAGTCAAAGAATGTCACACTTTCCTGAAGGGAAGTGCTCATAAGACTACATAACACCTACATAAGCCTTTCATCACAACTGACACATACAGTTGTAGTCATATTTTCCACTACTGTCTATTTTGACACTGTGCACTTTACACTGTACTACTGCTGCAACTCCTAGTTATGTCTATACTCATTGTGCTTTTAGGCCACCTCATACCACTTAGTGCCTAATATCGTGTAAATACAACAAATCTGTCTTATATGCCATTCTATATTCTATCCATCCATCTTTAGGTGGAATGACGTTGAAATGAAGAAAGGCAGCCTTTATGACTCTTATTGGAAAGAGCCTTTATAGAAGTTCATGTAGGATAATGTCATTTGTCATGAAAGGCTAATGTAGGTAAAGTGTAGCCTTACGAATACAGCCCTTCAGTAAAGTGTTACTGAAGAAACAATGGTAAGAGTGGTGAAGGGAATCAGTCGTCTCAATTGATAAAGGGACCCTGAAAGCTTTGCACATCAGCTTAACTGCAACCTCGAAGGGTTAATTTAACAGCATTTCATACATCTTGTGGATGTTTATAACACATTTCTCTTATCTGCCTTGTTCTCTTCTATTAAGGGCGTCAGATGATTAGTTTGCATTGAGGATTGTTGTTAATATGATGATGATGTAACATCTGTCGTTTATTCCTCCTTTAGGAGATCTGTCCTCGCCTTCCGACCGTCATTTTCCTCATTATATGGTAAATGAACTGTACGAAGTTGTATTATAGTCATTTGGGATAAGTCTAGGTCTGTCACCATTACTCGATTTAAGAAATCAAACAATTAAAAGTTCCTTCTCAATCGGCAGTGATTAGTGGGTAATTTATGCACATTTTTAACTCTCCTGTTCTCCTGTTTTACTCTGCTAATTTTTTTTTGTGTCTGTGTGGATACTAGCCCTTCACGAGGGTGGTGGTTGCCAAATTTCCGATGGGCTGTGTTGCTGTGGCCGATATGCTGGCCCTGGGCAAACCGTTTGGAACCATTGTGAAGCATCTGATATTTCCTTTCAAGGTAATAATGCAAGTGTACATAGTATATAATTAAAATAATATAGTTGTCAAAGCTAATAACGCTGTATTCATTTTTACTATAGAATCTACTATAGAAAAGATTTTTTGCACAATATAAAGGTTACAGGTATGACTGTGTGTGTGTGAGTGAGTGTGAGTGAGTGATGGTAAGAAAGCATATTTTATTTTATTTTATTTTTTTATTTTTATTTTGTTTTATTTTATTTTCATTTTATTTTATTTTATTCATTACATGTAAATGTTTGTCTAATACTGTGCACTGTGAGCTCCTGTAAATAAAGCTTGATTCTGATTCTGATTTTTACATGCCGTAACTGTCAAACATTTAAAGACTCCTATCTGTGATGAAGCACAAATTAGGTTGTTATGGTTATCTCTGTGTCCTTGCTGTGTTACAGGGCTTCCTGGAGTTCAGCTCTCACGGAGAAGCAAAGAACATGGTCAATCACTACCAGACTAAACCCGCCTTCATCAAGGGCCAGCGAATCAGCCTCTGCTTATCTCCAACTGTGGAGGTTATTCATGTAAGTTAAAGCCCCAGGTAGCCTGTCATGCTTGGAGACAGGTTTTTATAAATGTAGTTTATTATTGATAATACTTTTTATTATAGTAATAAGAATAGCAACCATAACAGTAAGAAAAGAAATGCTTTTACTTTGATCCCCCTCATTAAATACACTTTTTAGCATATTCTCCAGAAATTGCAGCAATACAATAATACAATATTATAATACAATACAATACAATAATACAATAATATTATTGCAATACAGTAATAAATGTTTTTGTGCAGCACTAAAAAAACCCCACTAAAATATGATACTAAAAACAAGATAATACTGACCCCTACTGGCCAGTGTGGATGTTTGTTTGTCCAGAAGTGTGTGTGTTTGCTTGTTTTGCAGGGTTTGTGTGTAGGGGGAGGAAATATACCCCTTTAAGTGAGAGTGCATTAACATAATCTAGAGCCTGTTTAAAGATCAGCTGCACTACTGATAAAGAGCTCCCTCTAGTGGATGTAACAGTGCACTGTAACAGTTATCACAATGTTAGATAATGTTATCGATTATTATGGAACTCTTTGTGGATTTTTTTTTTTTTTTTAGGATTGTGCCAAAGGAACAAAAATTACAATTTTATAAATGCTAAACAGACAGAAACCGTTTTGATTAATGTACAAAACAAACAGCATACAAGCTGTAAAACTGTCCCGTTTTTGTGATGTCACAAAAAGCAACCTTATTAATGCTTATCTGCCTTTTTCAGGCACCAGTGGTTTAGTCCTATCCAACAATGAAGTTGTGTGTTTCAACCCGGACTTCATAAAAACAAAGTTTCAATTTATTTATCAGTTTTCTATGTTATTTATCAAATATTTTCCTTTATATTTGAACTAAAATCAAATTTTACTGAAAGTGCGATGTTATATACCCACATGGTTTACATGTGAATGATGCAAGGTTGATATATTTGTCTGTGCTCATTTTTCTTTATATGAATTTATATTTCTTTTTACATATTTATTTTATATGTCTTTTTTTTTTTTCTTTTTTTTAGCCACCTGAAGTTTACGAGCCCGGAGCAAAACGTCTGAAGCCGTCGTCTCAGTCGGTGGTCTGTTTCTCACGGTTGCCTTCAGGGAAGGAGACTGAAGACGAGGTTCTGGAGATAGCCGGCATGTTCGGGGGCGTGCGCCAGTCGAAGTTCACTGAAGACAAAGTGAGCGCTTCAGTAGAATTTACATTCTCACAGATAAAAGTTCGGAAACGGTTCTTTGCTTGGAGAAAACAACTTTAATCGAAACAGAATCTTTTACATTACATTTTTCACATCACACCTCTCTAATTCACATCTCATAAACAGTCAGATACAGAAGTTTAAGTAAGTTAACACAGGGTTTCTCAACCACTGGACTGTGGACCACAGGTGGGCCACAGAGCAGCCTCTAGTGGTCCTTAGGCCTATGCTGAGGAGGAGCCAGTGGTCTGGTAATAGCACTTTTGTCATTAAAATCTGAGAAAAAATAATTGACTTAGTGAAAGGAAAGCAGTATAAAATGGTTAACAATATTAATACAAGCCATGTGAAAACGACACGCAAAGCCACTTCCTCTGTTTTTTGCCTCTTAACTCTAGAAACAAAATGCATTTTTTGGTTTTCCCATGGGCCTTTGTGGCTTCTAGTGGTAAATAGGTGGATCTTGTGGAGGAAAAGGTTGAGATCTCCCTGGTTAGCACATCCATTATTAGTTCCAATATACGAGATTCAATTAGACATGGAGATCAGTGATCATCTCCCCTCTTGCGTGTTTTTTTATTGCACCTAGGCTCTGATTGAGATGGTGGATTGGCGGGATGCAGATATCATGGTGAAGTATTACCACACCAACCCACTGAGGATTCAAGACAAGAGCATCAAAGTGTCCCTGTCCTCACTGTCCAGTTTACGGTAAGTCTTGTCTGTGTGCTTCTGATTGGACTACTCCATCCCTGAGAAAATATAATGAAATTATTCTAATTAGCATAAAGTATGGCCTGAAATACATGGGATTTAACAAGAACTTCACTGAAGAGAAACAATGTGATGGTTTACCACACAAGACATTTCTTAACCCCTTAAACATCATACACACTTGAGGCTAATTATTCAGGAGGTACATTGAAAGCAACACAAACTGATTGAGATGTTATTAGTAAGTCTTGAGGCTGGGCGTTCACTACACAACTTTTAAGATCTTACAGATTTCCAAAACGGAGAGTATCACAAACTTAACGTCAGTTTCTCGCAGAATGTCTTGTCTTTTTGTGATGAGGGCGGTCACACTAGACCACAAGGCAAAGAGAGAGTATAAAACATATCAAGTTTGGGCTACAAATAAGAACTTAAACTCCCAGATCTCCTCAGATCACATGACACAAACAAAGCCAAATTTACTGGACCTGTTTGCTTTTATGTGCAGCGAAAGTGTAAACTGGAGATGAATATGTGGTGAGAAACGCTGATATTACAGTGAGAGCTGGAGAAATATTTCACTACAAACTGGCAGCAGAGCTGAAATTGTACAGAGAGTGTTTTGACGTCTGGATCCAACATTATAAACATTACAAACATGATATCGGCTCTAATGTGCCTGTGTTTTACACGCAGCTCCTCTGTCTCCACTCTGCTGTTCAGGTGGTGTGTATGCTCGTCTCTTTGCCTTTTTCTCCGCTCTTCTAGCTCTCTGATTGGCTGTCGTTTGAATCACTCGTTGAGTAAATCTCTGACTCTCTCACGCTGCAGGACTCGTGAACATTTTGAGTCATAAATATCAGACAGGTCTGATAATATCAGAGGGTCTGTGATCACTTCAGAGTTCGATCAGGGGGCTAAAGATTCACTTGTTTCTCGTCTCACACTACCAGATCATCCACGCCATCATTTGCTTCCGAACGAGCTCTCAACCTGGAAAATCGCTTCAGACTGTGAAAATTTGTCATGTAGTGTAGGCCCGGCTTAAAAGAGCAATTACTTTTGTGAATGCGAGCCAGTTAAGTTCATGAAGTTTGACATACTAAAATATAAACTACTGTTGACTCCTGCTGGTTAGCACAGATATTTGTTTAGATGTTTTGCTTGTTGCCAGAGTTTTAATATGCATGGGATGAGGAAATATAAACCTTTACATGAGAATTCCTTAGTATTTAAAGATTCAACTGCACTATTGATAGTGGGCTCCCTCTAGTGGACCCATAGTGTGGTGCAGCAGTTACAGAATTTTCTGTTCTGGCTAAGCTGATTGCTGAACATGTAAACTGTGAGCCAGTTAGATTTATGTTGCATGGTTGCATAAATAAGCGGGCTGACCAGTCAGTGCTGCATTGCTTTGGTTACTTCTGTAGTTTATGTGCTTGTGTGTAATGCTTCTGAACTTGCTGTTACTGCACTCTTAAAAAAAAAGAAAAAAAGGTGCTTCAGGGGCTCTTTAGTAAAGAAAATGGTTCTATACAGAACCATGAACACTCAAAGAACCCTTTGCATGATTAAAGCGTTCTTCAGACATGGTGGAGAATGTTCTGTAGATAGATTTATGTATAGAACCTTTTTGAAAATGGGTCTATATAGCACCCTAAAGTGTTCTTGTATTATTGCGGTGTCAAGATTGTAACAATACAAGAATGCTTTTGGGTGCTATATAGAACCATTTTCCAAAAGATTCTGTATAAAATCATCTGTAGCTCATTCATGCACATTTTTCATCAATCCAAAGAACCCTTTCATGATGCAAGGAAGCCTTTAATCATGCAGAGTTCTCTTAGTGTTCATGGTTCTGTATAGAACAATTTTTTTTACTATAAAACACTTGAAGCACAATGTTAATTGTTTTTATTTTGAAATAGCAATCATTTCGTTTTCAAAGAGTTGCAAGTGTTGCAAGTTTTAATTTATACCCTGTAGGGCTGCAGTGAAATCAGTTTTAAGCACTGTAAATAAAATTTTGATTTTGCAGTTAAGACTTCTTTGTGTAATTCCAAGATTCCTGTTTGTAATTCCAGTGACAGCAGTCCTGAACATTCTTCGTCTAAAAAGTCCGAGTCCAGCAAGAGCCACAGCAGCAGCAGCAGCAGACAGAAAAACGAATCCACCTCCTCCAAGAGCACCTCCCAGTCCAGCAGCAAGGACAAGGAGAAGAGCAAAAGCTCCAGCAAAGAGCCTTCCACCGCCGAGCCGAAGCAGGAGAAGGAGAAAGAGAAGGAGGGAGAGGAAGGAGAGCAAGACAAGGAAAAGGAGAAGGAAAAGAGAGAGGGAGAGGAGGTGGAGAAGACTGAGGAACAGGTGGAGAATGAAGACAGCGCTCAGCTGAAGGACGATCCGGGTCCGGTGGACGCAGAGGCTGCGGAGGGCGCTGACACGACGACGGAAGAGGTGGAGCAGAAGGAAGTCGGAGGAGAGGAGACGGACCCTAAAGAGGAGAAGCAGGGAGAGGAGGAGCGAGCGCCAGCTGAAAGAGAAGAGAGTAAAAGAGACAAAGGATCCGAGGAGGATACGGAGGAGCAGGTGTGATCATGATGTTGCTTCATATGTTTGTGCAATGACCTCTCTCAATATTATAACATTTTCCAAATATATCATGACATCACAGTATTTGATAATGCTTAAATTAGTATTAATGAAGTTCGTGAAACCCTTTATGCTAAAAAAAAGGCCCCACACAAAACCTGACTACAATTACAGAAAGACCAAAATTACATACTTGGTCACCAGTAAACTTACTGTTTATTCAAAGAGAATTTTCTGGCCTATTTTGAATTCATGCTGAAGTTATAAGTAGTGTTTCAGCCTGGACTGCTTTTTAAATGCTCAGTGCAGGGCAGCCAATCACAACAGTGCTCATTTACATATACCAGTTTTACAGGCACTGTAACATAAGAGAGGAAAATGTAGGATATGGGCCATTTTTATTTTTATAGATATTAAACAGATCTTTTAAAACCCTCTGAAATGACGTATTTTATGACGTTACGAAAATTCAGATTTCACCCTGATTTGATTATTTTTAAGTACACATTGTCTGTAAAGCACGTTTTAAAGGACATTTGTTTGTAGGAAGTGCTGAATATAATCCAGTTAAACAGCATAATTATGTTTTGTGTGTAATGAAACATGCAGTTGGCCAGTTTTTGTTTACGAATACAATAATACCAAATTAAGTACCAAACTAAAAAACAACCTGGACAACTGATTGGAAATGAAAATCTTAAAACTGCTAACAAACAAGGTTAGTTTTAAGATTGTTCCTGTTTACTGGTGCGCTGTAGTAGGAAATCTAGTTTTTAAAACTCCGGAAAAAGTTTGTGACAGTCACTGTAACAAGTGAAAGAAGAGCCATTACTTACACGCAATAAAATCAAATTGTAAGGTCAGAAAAGCATATTGTGACATTATTTGTATTGATAGCAATAACTATTGTCACATTGCCCTTCTGTAGTCTACAGCAGGGTTTCTTAATCACTGGGCTGAGGAACACAAGCGGGCCGCGAAGCAACCCTTGGTGGTCCTTGGACTTATATTTAAGTGATTAAGCCTCGCAATAACAGTGCACGAAGGCCGCTTTGTAATTTATTTATTTATTTATGTATTTATTTTTTTTGCCTTTTACTTATAGAAACACCTGACCTTTCAGTTGTCCACTCACCAATATCACATATTGCAAGACATATCACTGTTTCCCAAAATGACTTTTTTTAAGCAAAAACTTTTAAGTTTTGTTTTTTTGTGGGCCTCCATGTTTTGTATTGATGAACAGGTGGGCATTAAGGTGGAAAAATTTGAGAACCTCTGGTCTACATGCTTTCTGTACTATAAAAAAAAATCCCACAATAATTTACTGTTTCTGGAGGGTGTGAACATAACGTGGCTGTGCTTTCTTCTTTTTAGGATGACCTGGAAGATATGGATTTTCCAGAGAATATGGATGACTTTGTCACCCTGGATGAACTGGACAGCACAGCTGGAGGAGACTCGTTAGGTACAGGCTTTGCACAATAAAACAGGAAGCTCTGTTAAGCCAAACTGACTCACTCGGCTCACAGTGATGCTAAATGGTTTTGTTCCCATATGACGTGTTGGTCTGTGTGAATCCTCACCTTTTTGGATGATTAACGGATTTGTTTTCTTTTTTTTTTTCTTCAGAAACATCAGAGTCGCAGGCAAGTATTTATTTAAACTCTCAACTTTGTCCACATGTAAGTCTGTCATGATCAGGAAATTTTAGTCTACGATTAACTGTCATATAAACAGTTGCGTTTAATAGTTTGTCTTTTTAGTTTATGCAGCTTTTATAGTACATGCCCAAAGCAGCCAAACTGGCTAATCAGCAGTCTTGTTTTCTTGCTATTTTTGCAAGCACACACTTACACAAGCATATACAGTTACGCGGGAATCGTGTGTAGAGTCAAACAAAGCTTTAATTTTCTACTGACTGCGAAAACATAAGGCAAAAAAGTCTACCTCTGCAAGCATACATGGGTCAATGACAAATGAGGCTTTAAATGACGATTAAATATTTTGATTAGAAAATATGATTTTTGTATCTGCAAGAACCTGTTCATTGTGTTGTTTTATAGTTGTTTTATAACAGTATAGCTTCAACTTTAAACAGGTTCATCAATTTTACCACTTAGAAAACGTCAGACGGCACGACAGGACATACGTAAAAGACACATCATTTACTACTATTCAAAACACACAAATGTTATGTACTTTTTGTACTTTGTTCTTGGACACCCGAATAAACCTTTGTCATTGAACTCAAGGTTATAAGTCTGTTTTAAAATAATAATCAATGTGTAATACTAAATAAATAAATAAACATTATAATGACACATTTTCATGGTTTTCTCTGGGTCGCACCACCAAACTGAAACGGCCTTACCACAACTCAAAAAACAATTTTTTCATTATTTGTGAAACTTCTGACTTTTGAAGGCCTCTTCTTTATGGTGCAGTATGCTGCCCATTCTGTTTTAAATGTTTGTTAGAATAAAAGTCCTTTATTTTCAGTAGTGCTGCATGACATTTGTGGATTTGCTACAAGTTGAAAACTTTTAATGCTTCCCTGTTTTGCAACATGTGAATTCAAACGTAAATCTTGCCAAACTATATTATTAAGATTTTTATATGAGTGAAAAAAATACTTTGATGAACTGAAAATGTCTTCATATAAAGGAAGTATTGTAAAATAATGTGATGTAAGTATTTATAGGAAAGTAATGAACTTGGGTACAAAAAAATACGCATCAGGTCATTGATCCACATGCTAACAAACTTAGTGATAATTACCTAGATAATAAATAAACAGACTCTCTGCTGTAAATGAATTTTGCAATAAGTTAAAAGTTTTCCTCAGTAAACGCATTTACTCCATTCTTTTATTTACATTTATTGCTTTACCCAGTTCACTTTCTGTTTGCTGCAACAAAATGTGATTGTATTATCTAAATTATTGTGAAATGATTGTAGTTACTGTAAATAAACGCACTCAGCTTAAATAACTGTAATCAGGCAGCTGTGTAATTATAATGGACGAGGCTCATTAAACAACGCTAATCAAAGGTAAATGTTCCAGTGTTAGACAACTAGCTCATTTTCAGCTGTAGCCCCTGAGGGCCAGAAACAGTTAAAAACAAGAAAATAAGACAGTTTACATACAAACGTTTATGGCAGGCATGAATATAATTTCCAGTAGTCAATTTATTTATATCAAATAAAAATATAAATAAAAAAAGTCACACAGTGTATTGAAATAATACATGCAGCCGACTGGGGGAGTTATTTACCACATGTTTACTACAGTGGCCTGAAATTGTTGTCCTTCGTTCAGACTAGTCTAGTTCTGAGCTTAAATTTGTGTGTACCTGTAGAATGAAAAGCACTGAGTAATCAGAGTGTTGTGTTTGTGTGTTTAGGACAGCAGGGTGGTTGTCGTGAGGCCGATCAGGAAGGAGTTCAGAGAGGCCCGCAAGAAAGCAGTGCGAGAAGCCCTGTACAAGATGGCCACTCAGTTTGGCAAAGTGGTCAACTTCGCCATTTCCTACTACAGACATGAGGTGCGTTTACATTGTCCAACTTTGTCTATGAAGACCATGCCAGTACATTTATATTGTTATAGTTTTTTGTGTGATTTTTCATTTCTATTATTAAAAAGCATAATTCTGTATTCCAGAGGTGTGTAAATGATTCCTACATCTAGTTCAGATTCTGCAGATTCCATAGACATGCAACCCTTACAAGCTGCAGTCAGAAAGGGTTCCACTGTGAGCTTAAATATAAAGGTAGCGAAATAGTCCAGGACTGCCTTGATACTGTAAAGTTTAAGAAATTCTGAGAGTGATTTTTAGGGATACCCCGAAACAAAAGTGCTCCCATGTATTCACTGGCCATCTGTGTATGCGTGTGTTGTGTGCCTCGTGCTCCTTTTAGGCTCTGATTGAACTGGAAACGGTGGAGAAAGCTCAAGAAATGGTCAGTTTCTACAAGAACAGCAAGAAATCCAAACTTGTCGGCCGGCCAGTTTCTGTGTCTATATGCCTGGCCTTCAACAGAATCGAGGTGAGGAGATCAGTTGACTTCTAAGCACGTTCACACATTTCAGTGAAGGAACACAGTTTGGCCCTGGAAGTCACTGGTCACTTTAAACGTTCTGCTTTGGCAAATTCCCGCCAGGAATACACAGTGTTTTTAGCCTGTTTTAAACACACACAAACAGAATCACAACCACATCACTAATACAGGTGGAGAAATTTTTTGAGTGATGCAACAGAGGATAGGCCATTATTTACGCACTGCAGCACTCGACAGGCCCACTCTGTGAGTTAGTGTGGTCTGCCACTTTCTGGCTGAGCTGTTTTTACTCCTAGATGCACTCACAATAATAGCATTATAGTTGACGGGCAGATCTAGCAGGACAGATATTTCACAAACTGACTTGTGCTATGGTGGCATCCTGTGATAGTGCCATGTTTAAAGTCACTGAGCTCTTTAGTACGACCCATTCTGCTGTTAAGCTTCGTCTGTGGAGACTGCAAGGCTGTGTACTTAATTTTATACACCTGTTAGCAATGGGTGCAGCTGAAACACCGAAACTTAGTAATTAGGAGGGGTGTCCACATACTTTTGACCTGATAATGTAAACATGAATATGTGTGTGTTAATTGTAGTTCTGTGTGTGTTCTGTACTGTAGGGTCCTAGTGGAAGATCGTTGTTTATCAGCATGCTGCCCCCTTTCAAATACTCGGACATGTCCCTCCTCAGACTCGCTCAGCCTTTTGGAAAAATCACAGCTTACTGCTCCAACAGGATGTATGGAACGGTGAGTAACACACGCAGTCAGTTTACTGCTGTAAAGGGGAATACGAATAGGGGTAAGTTTGTCAGAGAAATTACAGTGAACTACGTTTACACTTATGGCATCTAGCAGACACTCTTATCCAGAGTGACTTAGAAAAGCACACTGATGTTCAGAGAAAATGCATAAATATAAATGTAAATAGGTTAGAGTCCAAACTACCCTTCAGTCACAACACTGCCTGAAAAGGAGTTGCTGATATTTAGCAGAAAAGATACACAATATGGAAATAAAACTCAAATTCAATTCTGGTAAGTGGTAGATTAGTGTTCATTTAGGTGCTTCACAAAGAGATGGGCAACAACACATACGTTACATACGTGAAATCACCAAAGTAATTGTGGAAATCAAACTCTTTGTGTGGATCATTCTACTGAATTTGTTAAAAGTGAGGGATGAAAACAACATTTGGGACTTTTAACTGACTTGGACTTTAGACTAAAATCCTTTTGAGTGACCCCGTACCTTAGTTATGTTTTTTATTAAACAAATGAACATTCCATTTTGTCACTCCCAAAAAAATGTTTTGCAGCCAGTGCATGACCAACAAACACAGCTTCAAACAGCTGAACACACATAAAATCATCATATTTTTCATTACAACAATAAGAAGTTACTTAATTACAGAAAATTTGGTTCGGTAGTGACCATTTCAGCTCATTTTAAGCAGAACTCAAACACCAGTACATGACTAGCAAACCCATCGTTGAACAGTTACACAAATAAAATCATATTTTTTTATTAAAACACAAAAACTTTCCTTAATTACAGCAAATGTTTCGGTAGTGACAATTCTTAATGTTCCACACTAATTTTCAGACTTTGGGGCACATTTACTTCAAAACAAGATCTAACTGCTCACCATGTGGCCATGAGGGTCAGGGATGCAGTCTCACTTCCTGCTATAACGCAGGGGTGTGGCTAAAATAAGGATACAGACTTAAACTTTGTATTTCGGAAGTGATATGAAAATGTGGGACAGCATTTTCTGATTAAAGTTTTTATAAAAAATTTAACTCATGATAAATAAATCTTTCGGTTTCTCCATAAAAGAATTCAAAAAGATCTTTTTTTTTTAACAACATTAGAAAAAAATGCAAAAAGATTTAAAGTATTTTTTTTTACAAGTGTAAATTTAGAAAGTACCTAATAAATGATGTATATATTTAGCTTTATTCAGGTTTTCAAAGATCATAAGATTATCCTTGAAAAAAATACCTTTAAACTGTGGGAGCATAGTTTGAAGTAATTCAGTTGAATGGCCCATATAGCATTGAGGAATAATGTGTCATATAAAAACTGGGCACAGTTTTACAGTAGTAGATCAAAAAAAAGTTCACAGAACAAACGCTCTTTATCTCTCCCTCTCTTTCTCTCCGTCAGTGTTATATCCAAATGGAGACAAAGGAAGGTGCTGAGAAAATGATCCACAAATATTCACACCGACCTCTCAAATTTTACGGCTCTGTGCTAAAGATCACCATGTGCAGGAAAGGAGATTCTCTGATACCGTGGTAAGTTTAAAGAAGACTCTTCTCTTCCTGTCTGCACTTATAAAATATTGCACCAATTTTTGAAACTCCATGAACATTTTCATATAACCTGTTTACTCATCGATTCCCACAAATAGCTATATAACATTTTAGACATATGTTGATTGAGCTCAAAAGAACACATTTGATTTAAGCTGTACAGTGTTGCTCTCATGCTCCTTTATTTGCTGGTTATTTGATGCACATTTTGTTTCTGTGGTACTTTGTAAACATAACGATGACAGTAATGAAAAAAAGTTACAATTTTAGAAATATCATAGAGGATTATAAGCACACTTTTAGGTATACAAATCAATAAATTGGGCACAAAATGATCAGTTTTGTTAGTTTTTTTAATTTTTAATTTAAAACTAGCTATTTTGCAGTTGAATCAGTGACATGTAATGAATTTTTTGTGTCCAATTCCATTATTTTTCTTTTAAACAATGTACCAAATACGTGACGCAGATCACTTTTTTTGTACAGTATCACGTTTATGTGAATACATTTTCATCAAAAAAAAAATAATTTTAGGCATTTATTTCTCCAAAAGTATTAAAAAGACAGGTGGTGCAACCATCCAATCATGTTTATAGACCAAGGGTGTCAAACTCAACCAGTAAAAGGGCCCTATTAAAAATCTCATCAAATCTGTGGGCCAAAGGAAAAAAAGTTGTTATTTCATTTTTAATTCATGTTGTGCTGTGACCTGGACTGGACATTGTTTATTCAAAATATGCAAGAAGTCAACAGTAAAATACAGACACTTGTAGTAGACTTTGTTGTTATATGGACACTTGAAATATTCAAAATTTAAATGTCCCCAGATGCTCGAACTAGACACCCAGCATCCTTTCCTTGCTACGAGTTCATTAATTCTTGGGCTCAGTTTCTGAGCTGCTGAGCTGATGTTAGGTGTTTGTTAGTTGAACTGCAGCTGAAATGCATTTTGGTGATATGACTGGTGTGGAATTGTGTAGAATTGTGTGGAACTGAGGTGTAACTGCTGTCCCATAGATTGTTATTGGGGTAGAAGAATAAAATATAAAATAGTTTTGTATTTTAAACTGTTAAACGTTGCAAAACACGGCAACTTTGAAAAAGCTTTTTTCCATAAATTTTGATTTCCTCAAATGTCACGCAAAATGTAAACGCATTGAATCAGTTCTTGTAGTGTTTGTTTATTTGAGCTCAAGCTGTTTTTCTTGTCCAGCGGTCGGCAACGTGAAGCTCTTTTACTGCCCTTCTGTCAAACTGAAGAGTCGTGAAGCTGACATCCGCTTCTCGTTCACCAGCTTCTTGTTCTAATTTTCACGTTCCACCTTAAATGGTTTACATTCTGGTGCATCAGGCACTATTTAAGGTGGAACGGGAAAATTCGAACAAGAAGCTGACCAATGAGCTGACTTCAGCCTCGTAAAAGTCGAATGTTGAGAGACATTTTACAAGAAACTGTTCTACTTTTGCAGAAAAGTTTCCTGCCGGAGATGCGAGAAAAGCAGCTATAGCTGAGCTAAAGCTTAAAGTAGAGCAAAGCAAGTCGTTTTCGTTTATATTTTTAATATATACTAGGACATTAGCACATACTGAGACATACTTACAGCCAAAATGGTGAGAGATTACTTCAATAAAATGGACATGAAATGTTGTGGCTCTCAGGGTGGTTTGATTTTTGTTGAAATTTGACATAATGCCTCTTCTTAACATTTAGGTTGCCGGCCCCAGCTCTTGTCAGTTGGGAGCGGCTAGGCATCACCAACCAGAAAGCAGTATAGCTAATCAGCCAATTTGACTACTTTAGGCTTGTACTTTAATAGATGCATTCACTAAACAAAAAAAAAAATTGACAATTTGTTAATTGCAGTTATTTATATGGCAGTTAGTCAGCTAACATTATTATTAGTCCCATTATTAGTCCCAGCCCTGATCATTTTACCAGTCTAAACTCAATGGTGTTCCTGATCAGTTTTTTTGTCCACAGCCTTGCTGTTTACTGTGAAGTATCTGCCAGTAAGCTCCACTTTGAAGCCTCCCTGTTTGTACAGCCTGTTTGAAAGCGTGCTGTTGGCCGTGTGTTTTTCTACAGGACCCCTGCGGATAAGTTTGAGCGGTGGTGCGAGACAAGAGGCATAAAACCAGCCAGAGACGGAGAGGAGAGGAGAGAGAATGGCCAGACGTCCAAAAGCAGCACAAGAGAGGTAAACTACTCACTGAAAACATCCCCTGGTGCCAGATTAGTAACATGCGTGGGTAGGACTGTGTCCGGTTAACAGAGTCACTGCTAGTTTAAAAAACGTTGTGCATTGCTTGATTTGTTTAATGCAAACCATAGGAAGATCCTAGTGTTCGCACACATGGACGTAACTAAACATTTTAACCTCTTTAACTCCTTGAGACCACCGGTGGTTCCAAAACGCACTTCGTCATATTCTTCATAACTTTCATAAGCTACATTCAAAAAATGGGTGTCGTATGAGAGCTGTAACTGTCTTCTTCCCGGTCTAATAGATGGGTAATGTAATTTTAAACCCTTATAATAAAAGAAGCTGAACTCACAATTTTTTTTTGTCTACTGAAAGTTGACCCATTTTTCCACAAATCTGGGCTATAAACTGTAAACAGATGGCGTCTCTTCAGTGATCTGCTCTGTAAAAATTATTTTTATAAAAAAATAGAGCGTCTAAGATTTTTGGCTTTCAGCAGTAAATTGTAAGCATATAGCAATATGTGTATCATCATAAAACACATTTTCTGTTCATTTGAGGGGAACTTTAAAAAAAATAAATAAATAAATAAATAAAAATTTACATTTATTTCATGCAGTTACTGAATAATTTGCCTTACGATTTGGTCATGTAAATTCAGGTGGAAAAACCAAAATATACCCTGGAGAGCCCATATCATCGAAAACGGAGGTTTTTTCCCCTTTTTTTTTTTAATAATAAGAGTTTGTTAACGTTTGTGAATGTACCATTTACTCCTCAGTCCATTTATGGAAACTAAGCTGAAAAAACAGCACATTTTTGAACTCTCGATTTCTGTGAAGTCACAAAAGCCAATGCATTTACATTTATCTACCTATTTAGCCCACTTAGCCCCGCCCTTTCATGCCGAAGTTGTAAAGTGTGTTTTAGCCTGGACTGCTTTTTTTTTTCCATTGGGCACAATACAAGGCATCCAATCAGAACAGAGTTAGTTTACATATGTCAGTCTTAAAGGCACAGTAACAGTAACAGTTTGTTTAATTGTAAGGAATAAAGATTAGAAAATGGTCGCGTAAAATTGATTTTGACTGTTTTTGATGAATGTGAATAAGTAGATCTCTGAGAAATGAGCAGCCACATAAACTAACATGGTAAAAAGGTGAATATTGGTTTGAGCTTGTCTTGAAGAAGAGTTGTTTCAGATGGAAATGGAACTGCATCTATGAATGGCACTGTGTGTTTGTGCAGGACCGGCAAAGCCCGTTGTCGAGCTGTGAAGGTGTAGGCGGCGATCCGGTGCGCGAGGGAGGAGACTCAGAGGAGGAGGAGAAAGCCCAGAGTCCGCTTGGTCCATACCAACCCGATAATCCCGTGGGTAAGAACCTTTTTGAGGGTGTTGCAGTGCAAGTGTGTAGGTCTCGACTCTCAACATATCATTGATGTTTCGCCAACAGACAAGTAACATTTTTGCAAAGAAACTTAAAGTGAAACTCCATTAATCTTAGAGATCAGTGCAAAGAACACTGGTTAACCTGACCTGATAAACACTCATGCAGTTTAATTCAACACATGCCTTACTATGTCTGGTTGAGATGAACAATGTAAATATGTGAAATGAGATGCAGCTGGGCTCCTGCATGCATTTATCTATTTATATTTACTAAAAAGTTTTTGTGTTGGGTTGTCACTAGTAGTGAGCATATATTTGACATATAAACAGTGCAAACAATTACATTATCCCGTTTAGCTGAGTGGCTGAATCAGGGATGTTTGTCACGATTCAAAAAATGAAAACACTGCAGACCACTTTGTCCACTTTTTTTTTCAAGGCAGTAGATATCAATCAATCAACCTTTATTTAATCTCGGAGAACATTGAGGGTGACCCTCATTTACAATGTTGCTGAGTTGATACATGACAAGGGATTGATAATGTGTAAGAACATATCAAATAATAAAAGTAAATTTAATAAATAAAAAAAAAGACTCAAGAGACTCAAAAGAATCAAGTAAGTATATAAAAAAGTGACTCATTAACAATAAAAATAAATAAAAATACAATATAAAATATAAAACAAAAATGTAGCTAAAATGTAAAAGTTAATAAAATCAAATCAAAATAAAAGGAGAATAAGATAAAAAAAACTATTTTTTTAAATGACTAAAATAATAAAATAATCATAATTAAAATAAGACTAAGAATGTGAATAATAAATAAATAAACAAATAAATGAATAATAAAATAATGAAAATAAGATAATAATGGTAAAAAATGAGGTAAGACAGTCACAGGCAGAGTGGAGGTGGTTAGAGAGTAAAAGTTTAAAATGACCACAGTGACCGCAGATTTTCCCAGTTCAGTAAAATAAAAGTAATGGCCAATCTTTTGGGGTTAGCATTAGCCTAGCATTAGCCTAGCATGGACACAGAGCAGTTGCCACACTTCCCTTAGCTGCAGCAGATGAGGATGCCGTCTCGGGCCTCGTGTGTTCAACAAATTTACTTTGGTTTTTAATAATATTTCTTATTATGACATGGAGCGAGGTCCCAGAATAAAGAGCTGTTGTTAGCCTAGAAAAAGAGGTGTGTATAATATATGTGTATATATATATATATATATATATATATATATATATATATATATATATATATAATTAAATATATATAATTCGACTAAAAGAGAATAGAACAGAATAGAATACGTCCATGTATGCACCTCAGTTGGAATAGACTAGTCTGATTAAGGCCATTCGGAATACAGTTTCTATCCGATTGATCGAGGTGGGTAATCCTGTAAATAATCCGTTAAATAGAAGAATAAAAGCCGTGTTTTCAAATAAAGTATTTTGGAATCTATGCTATATATGTTTTGTAGTTGTTCTCTTTTTCCCTTTTTTTTCTTTTTAAAATGACTGCACAGATATTCGCTAGATTACTCGATCAGTACTATAAACTATAGTGGCTGCCCAGGTGTTACAGATGTGAGCCTCCTGTCATTCTCTTTGTTTCTTGTTGTTCTTGCAGGTGTTGACTACGTCGTCCCCAGGAGCGGTTTCTTCTGCAAACTGTGCAACATATTTTACACAGATGAGAAACGGGCCAAAACGGACCACTGCAGCAGTCTGGAACACTACAACATGCTGAAGGTGAGTGCTGGATAAGACTTAGGCTGAGTTAAACTGACCTGATTTTCTCTCTGGTTCAGAACAGTGTTAATTTTGAGATGCTTGTTGGTTTGTCATTGAAAAGACATGAAAAAGTGCAAAGGCAGGTGAGATGATGAGCATGTAAAAGTACTTTTATTAAAGAAAAAAACTTTTTAAAGTCAAAAAGTATCTTTTAAAAAAGATTAATCATTAAGGGTGACCCTCATTTACATTGTAGCTGTTAAACAGGTTTTGGGAGGGATACATGCAGTGTGTTGTAGGGCAAAAAAGTCCCCAAAGAAGACTTCATTTTTTAAGATTTTTCACTATTTTCCCATCATCAACATTCCATATAAAACTATCTGAAGACACGTGTAGGTTCACTGGTGGTTTTGGATAGTAAATACAATGGCTATATTTGTGTTGTACACGTGTGTTGAGTCGAGAGCTGTTTCACATCAAACTACTATGAATGACTTTGTTTACATCTCAACCACTGAATTATTTAGAAAAAAAAATTCAAAAACTCCCCTTTAATATCATGAATTTTGATGCATTTCCCATTCCTGCTGTGGATTATTACTTATGCGCCTGAAAAAGTTCAAATGTAGTTTTATTAATGAACTTACAAAGCTAATTGTGATGTTAGTAGTTTCCATGACCAGTGACCTGACCTTTTTTTCTTTATGTGCAGAGAAAGCGTGGAGAGGTGGAAGAGGAGCAGACAGATGGACAGACGGATGAGCCAATGAATGAGTGAGAGACGACGGATGAATGGATGGCTTTCAGTCAGGTGCCAAGAGGAAACATTTCACTGCAGTCCCTGTTTTTTTTTTTTAGTTTAAGGACATTCCAGCCTCTGTGTTTCTGTCTTCATTTTGTCAAAGATGATCTGCTTTGATTTTGAGGCATCCCAGGAGAGAGCGGTTAAGAGACAGAGAGAGGGCGGACGAGAAGAAGAGAAGTATTGGGGTGTCGTTACAAACTCATGTTTCATGTGGTGATGTGTGTGCAGAACAGAAGTGTACAGTCACTGTAGCTTCTTACTAAATAAACAAAGGTCTGTTTGATTAAAAGCCTCTATATGTTTTTCCTTATCTCGTGCACTCTCTGCTGGTCCTGTTTGTTACCTGGTTATTGACTTTGTTATAACTTAATGATTACCTTGACCAACCAAAACTTGAGTGCTGCCTTCATTCCTTCACTTTTATGTGATCCAGGCTGGTTGCTATGGCAACAGTTTACATCAGGCCTGTCAAACTGGGGACCCTCCGGGCCAAAGTGCTGCGGAGATCAGCGTTTACCCTCATCTAACGCTCTGGATTCAGTTCATAAAGGCATTGCTAATTAGCTGATGAGCTGAATCAGGTGTGTCTGATGAAGCAGTGGACTGAAGTCTCCTGTGTTTGGCCCGCAAGGACTGCAGCCTGACACATGTTGGATACATAATAGCTGCCAGCATACCAGGTTTGCCTTAAAGCCATGAAGATGCTTTGTTATTGTTGCTGCAATCTGCAGTTTAACAGTCTGTTTAGAAAATATTGCAATACTGATTAGTCAGTAGGTGGCTAATCTGAAATACTAGTAGCCAGTCAGATTGAAATTGAATTTGCACCAAGTATTAATTTTACCTCTTTTTATATGAAACATGAAGACATAACGGTGCTTGCTACCCTAATACAGTTTGCAAGGTAACACTTCACTTGAACTGTGCTACATAACATTGATATAACCATGCCAAAAACATGACACATAAATCTGGCCACTATTATTGGCACCCCTGAATTTTAAATACATAATGTACAATATCTAAACAAATAAAGTGTGCTAGGAAATATCTTTTGGCAGATGAGCTATCATCTCTGACTTTACATATACAAGGTGGACCGACAAGGTAGGAGTGTCTTAATAGAGTGGACAGTGAGTGGACACAGCGAGTGTTTACTCCAGCAGTACTGCTGTGTCTGATCCACTCAGACCAGCGCAACACACCCTAACACACCACCATGTCAGTGTTACTGCAGTGCTGAAATGATCCACCACCCAAATAGTACCTGCTCTGTGAGGGTCCACAGGGGTCCTGAACACAGGGTGAAAGGGGGCTAACAAAGTATGCAGAGAAACAGATGGACTACAGTCTGTAACTGTAGAACTACAAAGTGCACTTATAGAGTAAGTGGAGCTGATAAAATGGACAGTGAGTGAAGAACTGAAGCGCCATAGTAAACAGCTGTTTTTGATGCATTTTCACCACTTGGAAAATTGTGTTTGGTCTGCAAGATATCAGATTATGCAAGATTATACACATGCTCGAGTTAATCGCACAAATAAACACCGGGTGCGTTAAGGCCCAGTTTGATGGTAGTGCGTGTCACAGTGCCACATGGCTGTGAACTGTGATTGGTTGGCACAAATATTACATTTTAACATTTCAAAACAGCTACCACATATAAACAAATCCTGCTTTTTAGATACAGCAGAAGCAGATTTTATAAAAAGACAAAATGGAAACATTAATAGAGATACAACTCATTTTTTTCTGCAGCCCCCTCAGCCTGCACTTTGGACCCCGATTTGGAATCTATGTTTCAAATGATATGATGAATCGGGCTTAATATGACCACGAAATGATTCGATTTCAGTTCAAGTTGGCTTAGATACGTTCAAACTCTTAGTAACGTTTTTTGGGTGACCCCTATGCCGCCTCAATCTTTAGGCCCAACAGCACCACCTGTTGGACAGATTCATGATCCCAAAACCACTTTATCAGTAAGAATTAGAATATTTTTTATTGACATTTCACAAACATTTTCAATAAATGAATAAAAACAAATAATATTCAGTCCTGTACATTGATTTGGAAGCAATGAGGAATGAGGAATTTAACACTTGGCGTAAGATGCAACTGTTAGTGCGCTTCACAGACAGTGTTGCTATATTGCTCTGCCACAGTGTAGTAGTATTTCAGAGAAAGGCGTTATCACTTTTCATCACCCACTGAAACAACATTCAATACAACTGGTCGCTTACAAGAGTCATGCTGAGTCTACGCGGGAAACACCATTTTTTTCTTCAGCTATTTCAGCACCTCTACCATATGCTTTTTTTTACATTTAACAGCCATCAGTGAAGATAAAGAGAAAGGATCTGGGTTTAGTGAGGAGAACACATTCGTAAATACCCAAGTAACACTGGACGGACGTCTGAATGTCCACGGATACTGTCTCGTGCGTTTTGGCATGTAAAAAAAATCTATATTTTACTGTAACTAGCTGTAATTTTCATTTCAAGGTTTTTGTGAAACATGAAATAAGCAAGCAGTGTAACAATGTAACAGCAAAATCATCATGAATAATACAGATTCCTATGTATAAACTACATAACTTGGATTTAGCTTAATTGTAACAGTTAACAGATGAAATGGCACCGTAATATCACAGTTAATATTGTAGTATATAAGTATATATATATGTATATATTTGTAGTACAAATGAAACTCCTGCAGTATTTATGAGTTGCATGTATGTTATGACTGCATTTAGACGTTATAATCAAGCACATGAAATCGACTCCATTGCGTCACTTTTGGCTTTTTTTTTAACCACCTGCCTCAAAGAGGCTTTATGACATCAGTTATCACTGTGACATCATAGCATTCGGTTCTGGAATGTTGTTAAGGTTGTATCTGAGGTGATGGTAATGCTAGGCTGTGTTCACTCCAGGCATTTTCCCTCAACCGTCAGCGCTCATTTTCTATCGTATGGGCAGCAGCTGCACCACAGTCTGAAAGCGTGTTTCGGCGAACCTCACAGCGTTTTTGTTGGCTTGCTGTCTTTCATCTTGATTGTTTTCACTGGGCTGCTCAGCTGTGACCTGAGGAGTTTCTCGTGAAGCCAGACTTTATGCTTACCCAGCTGATGCCTAGCCCACACCACAGGACAGTCGGGCCAATTTTGAGGCTCATTAGGACATCCCAACAATCACAAAAGAGGTCCCGATTTCAGGCGTGTCTGAAACCATTGTCTTCCCAGGTTATTCTAGTGTGGGATGTATCATCCAGTCTGACTCTCCGATCTATGTACAGTCCAGTTTTGACCTGCCCGATTCTGAATTGTTGCATTAAACATGTTCAGTATGTACGACTCGACGCAGATTCTCACATTAAATGCTGTGCTGACGTCATGCATGAAAGACTGTCAACCAGTGAGAGCTGAGCTCAAAGGAAAGCCGACGGAGAACTTATAGAGAGGAGAAGTACCACTCTGTAATGTGTTCCGGGTTTCTCAAACGCTAGAGGGCGCTCCCGAGCGAGTCCAACTGAATGGGTTAAGATGGAGCATTTGAGCACAATCGTAGTTTATAAATGCTTAAACATTTTTAATGTAAAAGAAGGCAATCACTTCCTGAACACCGAACAGCATAAAACATTTTAACATTGCTCTTATATTTTTAAGAGCTTTTAAACTCGAGTTATAGGAGTTTAAAACGGTGCCTCATGTACGTTCATGACGTCAGTGCGCACGAACAGCCAATGAGCTGCTCGTTTTACCTGGCTCCATCACCATGGCAACTTATACTAAACGTCTAACCTGCTCCAGGGCTGGTTATTATCAGGATTACCAATTACAAACTGTTCTTGGACCAATCAGGGTGAGCCTCTGACCAATTGGGCCCATTTTTTCTTCATGGCGTTTTTCGTCAGTCGCCAAGGCAACAGTGTTGCTTTTTTCTAATATAAAGGCTTTACGTTCTACATATTTACAAACTAATATTTCCTTTTCTTTCTATGAGTCATAAGCTGCTTGACGACTCCTCATGTGAAATCTGATTGGCTGTTTGTCGTAAACGTCATGCGTTTAAACCTGGATTAGCAGAGAAAGTTGTTATCCGTCATCGTAAGACTGCGGTTGGGTTTGTTGGGTTTTGCGAAGCTGAAACTCAGTCAAGACCCTTGAATTGCTTACTTACTTCGTGAAACAGACTCCTGATTGGTCGGCTCATTCCATAAAAGCAAGTGATGTCACTTTTTCAGTTTTTGAAAGTGCCATCAGCTCTCTACTTCCAAGTCCCAGGTGACCTTTCACATTTTCAAAATCATCTGACCAATCAGGGCACAGCTCAGCTGGCTAGTGAAAAATGGAGGGTAGAGTGCCCACCGTTGCTTTAATAATGTAAACAAGCAAGCTAGTTAGCAATACGATGGTCCTCTAAAGTGGTGCATCATTCTGTAGTGCAGGGGTGCACAACTCTGGTCCTGGAGGGCCGGTGTCCAGCGCAGTGTGTCCAGCGCAGTTTGGTGATTTACCTACTCCAACACACCTGATTACACTCTTCTGTTAATTGCCAAGTAAAGTGGGTGTGTTTGAGTAGGGAAACCTTCAAACTGTGCTGGACACCGTCCCTCCAGGACTGGAGTTGTGCACCCCTGCTGTAGTAGATGTCATGCCCATATAAGGAAATCTGAGGCTAAGCCATTTCTCTCTACGGGAAAAATGAATGGTGTTTTCGAAAGTTGCCTATTGCGCCTTGTGACAAACAAAAACGTTCCAAAGCCGATTCATTTTATCCTGCATGAATTTTCCCCACAATGTCACATGATTCTCTGAATTATAAGGTCGTTAAAGAGTCGAAAAGACTCAAAATGGCTAAACGACTAGATATAAAGCCATCAGAGCGTTGTTATGGTTACAAAGTGCATGTTGAATTAGCCATTCTTCTTTTCTTTATATGCATAACGTGAACACAGCCTAGCAGACAGCTGAGTCAATGATGGAACGCAGCTGAGCCACATGGCGTTTGTCCATGTGGAAACAGGCCCAGTTTAGGAGCCCCACCAGTAGTCCGTATCTCAATCAACGTAACATTACTCAGTCTAGATGACTGCTGGACAAAAGACAAGTTTTAAGCATCTGTTGGAATGAGCCAACAGAAAATGGCACGGTTTTCCCAACCAAATGTCAGCAAAAAACAAGAAAACCAAGCCAAAGTGTGAGCCGATTCCCAGAAAACTGATCTATTGGAACAGTGGTGTCTGTCATATATAATGATACACTGCTTAAAAGTGCAATGCTATTGGCTTCTATGGCTTCTGGTCAGAATTAGAAATGGCATTGCTTTTATAACACATTACAGCAACATTATAATAGCATTATAATGACTAATACATGTAGGTTAGTATCTGTTAGGAATGAAGTTGTAGCTATACTGTAACCTCACATAAGACAAAGGTGATTTGTGGTCATAAATTTGAATGTAATCATGTTTACAGCATTGCTGGGCACCACAACATTAAATAAAGCAATAAAGATAAATAAATAAACCAACAAAACACTGTCATACGTGTGTCATACTGTACCGTTCTTTAAGACATGCAGTATTTTCACTTCGTTAGCTCTTTGGAGCAAGTATTTCTCTGAGAACAGACATCACTCAGGAGCGCTGATCTAGGATCAGCTCCTGATGTTAGTCATTGGGATTAGAAAGACGAACCCTGATTCCAGATCAGTGCTCTTATGTACAATACATGCAACCCCATCAATACTGCAGTGCAACACAACTAAACTAAAGGGTTCCATAATAGCCCATGAGCTAGAACCTAGCTTGGTCTGATTTGTCTTTCTTCTCCACTTTGCTCCTTCAGGTAAGTTCTGCGGGTTAGTTCCCCTGAGCTCTAGTAAGATCCAGTATCAATAGCAGGGGCGTGGGAAGTGGTTGTGCTGAGGGGGCTGCAGCACCCCTTGCTATCAGGATTGCAATCGCAGAGTAATAACAAAATGTAATAATATATAATTTCCATATTTTCAAATACTGAATTAGCCCATGGCTTTTGCCAATGTCTTTTCGAGAGTCCCCTAAAGTTCCGTGAGCTCATTTGCTGCTATAAGCCCTATTCAGACTGGATTAGTTTTATATGGGGAGGTGGGGTAATGCAATTATTACCAGCGCTTCTCACTGATTGTTAAGACTCTTAGGGTGCATATACCTGTTTTTGCTGCCTTGGCCTCTTGTCTTTCTCGTTTTTGTGTTCCACCTATTTTTTTACTAGCACCAGAATCTGGAGACTTTTGATTGGCTGCAGCAGGGGGCGCACCGGCTATAAAAGGGGCTGGGAAAGCAAGATGGACGCTGGCTGCTTTGGTTGTTGCCAGAGAACTTGTAGAGAGGAGAATTACCACTCTGTAATGTCTTCCGGGTTTCTTAAACACTAGAGGGCGCTCCCGAGCGAGTCCACAATAAATGGGTTAAGATGGAGTATTCCATCAGTCATAGACATCACAATCATAGTTTATAAATATCTGAGGGCCGACATATTATTCACAAATGTTTTCAAAATATCAGTGTACAGAATCGGACCTACCTGTGTGCTACTGTGTTTCCTATCACTGTATAAAAGATGCACGAGGCTTCTTTTATTATTGGATTGGTCAGAGCAATTTGGATCAGTAAGCGCTCACGACAGATAATTAAATTGTTTAAGACGAATTAAATTAATAATAAAATCGGTCTAATGTGTTAAGTATATTTCTATTCTAGCGTTTACTTTTTAAAAAAATATAATTTGTTGGAAAACCTAAACAAAAATGTATACAATTTTAGTTTTGTTGGATAATGTTCTTCAAGGAAATGCAGCAGCCATATTCAGAAATCACTTTATTTACAGAGAAGAGCAGAATAAGCAGCTTAAATAGCAAAGTTTTGTTCAACTTTAAATGGTTAATATTTACTGATCTACTGATTTTGCTCTGATAAGAAGTATTCAGTAAATGAAGCTGCCGGTTTAGTCAAAGAAAAAACTTTAGCTAACTTCGTTACCACAGTGAAGCACCTCACACTGTAATTTACAGCACTGCTGCCACCATCAGGTGAAAGAAAAAACTGCAGCGTACTGGCTGGCGGGTCACTTATAACACACTCTTCAACAGAAGCCAAGGGCCAATTAAAATCTCTCCGTGGGCTACATTTGGTCCTGGGGCCAGACTTTGGACCCCCTCTGCTCTAGACCTATGAGGTCGTAACACCGACTGTAGTCCCGTGCGAATGCGCCATGTCAGTCATTTTTACCGGCTGCGCACTCAGTAAAGATTCTGCTGCCTTTTACCTCCTGTAAAAATAACCTCAGGTTATATTAATCCTATGCGAATCGACATGTTGGTGAAAATGCCATAACATCCTGTGCAAAGTAAATTTCGAAATTATTTAGACACTCGAGGAAGCACATACTTAGGTTCTCTGACAAAGCTGAAAGGAGCTTATTCTCCAGCTTCTTTTTCAAATTTTCCCGTTCCACCTTAAATGGTGCAGCAGTCATTATTACAACATCTGAGGCGCCAGAATGTTACTGCTGCACCATTTAAGGTGGAATGGGAAAAACTGAAAAAGAAGCTGCCGAACAGGAAGCTGACTTTAGCCTTTCTGTTCTCTGTGGCTAAAATCAAGCCGATTACTGTCCTGTCTTCTGTGTACAGCTCAGAATGTAAACATTTCAGAGAAACACTGATTTAATGTGGTGAAGTTGACTGTTGGCTGTGGATTTACAAGCTAATGGCAATGCTAACGATGCACTGCATTCAGGGTAAATGAAATAATGACTAAATTAAATGTTTTAACCTCTTTTCTACTCTTAGTGAATTAAAGGCGGCATGTATATTCAAGTAACCAGTCCCATCTCTGTCATTTAGACACAGACGTTCTGAGGTAAACTGGCATTACCCACCTCCCCATGGAGAACTAATCCCATTTGAATAGGACTTAAGTTGGTGAACCAGTCTGTTGCTGCCATTCCCAATGTATGTGTTGCCATGCTAGTGGAGTTCAGAGCTTGTTTAGCCAAGTGGAGTTTTTGAGTTTGGAACGCAGCCATGGACCAAGTTCAATGGACATACTGCAAATAGTGATCGGAAAACATGTTAATATTACTTGCATGGCCAAATCATGATTATTAGAACTAGGCCTTCAATTTGACCCATAAATGTCAAAACGCGGCCCAAATATGAGGAAATCCCCACCTCAACAATGTTAGCATCCCTATAGGATTCCAGTAGGTTGTTAGTACTAAGCTAACAGCAATTCACATTTGGCAGTTCTGGATTAAACACACATTTGAAGCCTCTAAAACTCATTCCATATGTTTTATGACATATTAGAGACATATTAGCTTATGTTCTACCTGTAGCAGTTTCACAGTGACTCTTTCAGTAGAGAGTCCTGCTGCCACTGTTTTCCATTTCTAACAACCCACTGATTCGACTACAGCTTGTACCCAGAATCAGTGACGTGTCTAGAACTTCCAGAAGGCCTAAAGTGATGAAGTTTTCTCACAAACTTGTTTCCAAAGCATGACTGGATGCTTCCTCTGATTCACTTTTTCACTGTGTTAGTAGTTAATCTAATGCGTAAGGCCTTCACTCCAGCTCCTGAAGTCCTAACCAATGGGAGAGCTCGCTCAGCTGTATCTACCTAGATACTATGGAGAAAACTCTCCTGATTGGCCAATTTTCCGCTTGCCATTTCAAGAATTTAACCCTTTTGTATCCATCCAAAACATGACAATACAACAAGTAGTGTTGTAACAGTTGCAGAAATTATTATATTAAATAAATATGAACTAAAAATAACAGACATGCATTTTTTAGTTACCAGAAATCATCAGGCCTTTTCTGAAGACCTAGAAGACCCTGAAGGTCCCCATTGATTAAGTGTAAACTGCTTATCTATTGAATTCAGTTGAAAATTAGGCGGTTTGTCTGGAGGACAGTTTATCTTAGTAGGGGTCCCACAGGACTGAGTAAGCAGTTGCTAACTGTTGAAGTTAGTGGTTGTTGTATTGCCGTCTCCTTATCATTATCAACATCATCTATCCATCTGTTATGATTTTCTAAAGAAACATTCTATTTGACGCAAATTAGCCTAAACTATTCAGTTAAATAGACAAAAAAAATATTCGGCAGACCATTTAGTATGACATCACTGTGTACCTCATGTGTATGCTGCATAAATGCCAGCACCCCCAACTTACACCGCCTTCCCACGTCCCTGATCAAAAGTGAGAAAATTAAAGCATAAAAAATGTGTAAAATCAGCAGGTAAGAACAGAAAAAACGGACGGGAAAAAAGGTGATTTTGGGGGTGATTTTGGATTGTACTGCTTTTAAGAGGGGCTTCGGTCTCCGTTGCGTCGGGGGGAGTCGAACCGCATGATCTGGCGCGGGGTGCCGTAACCCGTCATGCCTGCCTGAGACGCCCCACGGTTACTGCCCATTTGCATTCCAATCAGAGCGCGGCCCTGGCGAAGCTGCTCCTCAGAAAACTCCCTCCGGTGGCCTTTGGATTTCCTGCATACACACATTACATACATTTCACGAATCAAAGTTATTTACAGTTCAGGTTTGGCATCGCATCATATTCAGAATTTGTTGTTCCATATATGACTTTATTCAGTATAACTAAATATTATAAATTAGAAAAAATATAAACCAGACACCAAAAACTATTTTTATTATATTTCAAATAAACCCAGTGGGAACAAGAAGTTATTTAAATGATAAATAATACACTGTAACTACATATTCGCAATCATTTTCATCAGGTTACCTGCTGTGAGGTTTGACCACTACTGAAATACTTCATTCTGGATGTTAATTTTGTTAGATCTGCATTAATTATGTGGTTGTGGCCACTTTTGCTGTTGTCACCTGTGAAACCAGTCTTTGTTGCCATGGTAATGTCCGTCGTCCTTGGTGATTGCTTCACTTCCAAGAGCCATGAGGGTCCTCTGGACTGCAGCCATGTCCTTTCCTATCACAACACACCACAGTCCATTACGAACTCCATCAAACCCACACAGTCTACATGTGTAAATATAAGCTGCTAATTGAATGACTCAATGTAATCACTGCATGTACAGCACTTCTTTCACACTGCATTCGTGCAGCTTCACACTAAACACTACATTTGAAATCGTAACTGGCAGATGTTGTGTATTTCACCACAGCATGACTAAGATACACATGCAGAAATGCATGAAAAACACCCATTCATCATTTATGTGACAATACATGCCAAAAACCATAAAGAGAAGAGAAGATTGAAATTCAAATAGAATGTTTGTAAAATGTAATAGAAAAATTGCAATTCAGAATTGCTGGAACTCAAAACATGATTAGGGGAACAGATCCACCATGTTGGTGCAGATAGCAAGCTAACTGGCTAATTATAAACAGTAACAACTCAAAAACTGAGCACTTCATTAGGAGCACCTGTACATCCACTCATTCACGCAACTATCTTATCAGCAAATCATGTGGCAGCAGTGCAGTATATAAAACCATGCAGATATGGGCAGCAGCTTCAGGTAATGTTCACATCAACCATCAGAATGGGGCAAAAATGTGATTTAGATCATGGCATGACTGTTGGTGGCAGATGGGCTGCTGATCTCCTGGGATTTTCACACACACGGTTTACATAGAATGGCGCAATAAAGAAAAAACATCCAGTAAGCGTCAGTTTTGCGGACAAAAACCCTTGTTGATGAGAGAGGTTAGCAGAGAATGGCCAGGCTGTCTCAATCTAACAGAAAGGCTACGGTAACTCAGAGAACCACTCTCTACAATTGTGGTGAGCAGAAAAGCATTTTGAGGTGGATGGGCTACAACAGCAAAAGACCATGTCAGGTTCCTCTTTTGTCAGCCAAGAGAAGAAAGCTGAGGCTGCAGTGGGCACAGGCTCAGCAAAGCAGACTGTAAAAACATAGCCTGGACTGATGAGTCTCATTTTCTGCTGAGGCACAGAGATCAGGGTCAGAATTTGGCACCAACAGCATGAATCCATGGACTGAACCTGCCTTGTGCCAGCAGTCCAGGCTGGTAGAGGTGGTGTAATGGTTTTGGGGAATCGCTTGAATGCCACAGCCTATTTGAGTACTGTTGATGACCATGCACTTCCCTTCATGGCCACATTTACCATCTTCTAATGGCTACTTTCAGCATGATAGTGCAGCATGTCACAAAGCAAAATGCATCTCAAACTGGTTTCATGAACACGGCAAGTTCAGTGTTCTTCAGAGGCCTTCCCAGCCACTGGATCTGAATCCAATACAGCACCTTTGGAATGAGGTAGGACGGGAGATTCACAGCATGAAAGTACACCTGAAAAATCAATTGCAGCAGCCAACATTTAGCTGTTAGCACACTGGCTAAATAGACTACCATAAACAGTAAACACATAAAAGTGAAGAAAATGATATCAGGTGTCAGTAGTGTCATATCTGGTAGGACCAATTGGAGATGGACATAAACAATGTCCTTATCTTGTGCCACAATAACTTACAAGGAACAATCACTCTCCAAGTGTCGTGATGTTCCTGAGGAGAACAAACACCACATAAACATACAACCATCCTCACAGAGATAGAAAATAAAAGATATTCCTAGGTGTCAGAAATTTTTCTACATTAAAATATATGTGATCAAAGGGGATCATTCACAAATAAGTGAAAAAAAACAGAAGTTTCCAAATTTGGAGTTTAAAAAATCTATAAAAATATACAGAGAAAACTGGGCTCCTAACAACCACCTGGAAGACCTCGTAGGCCCCAAAACTGCCCCAACAGATAAACAGCACTTAAAGCTTTCATCTCTGAGAGAGAGGAGAAAATCAAGCTGCTTCAGATCTGAAAACATCCACAGGTGTTTCTGTCCATCCTTCCACTGTGAGAAGACGACTCAGCGCTGTGGGTCTGAAAGGATGCGTATCTGTCAAGAAGAACCTCACTGAGAAAAGGAGACACATCACACAAAGAAGCTGAACAATGGACTGGCCACCCCAGAGTCCAGACCTCAACACCACTGAATGTGTTTGATTACTTCAGAAAAGATCAACCAACATCTAAGACTGAACTTTGGAGGTGTGTCAGCAGATTTCTTAGAGAAACTGAAAGTGAGTCTCCTGAAAAGAATGGAAGCTGGAATACAGGGAAAGAGTGACACACTGAACACTTGTGCTTTCTGCTTTTCATCCTGATGCTGAAAAATGAATAACTTGCACATGATGGCTGTTTTAACTGGACAGCAGTGTATTTGAAAAATATAGTTATATTTTATTAATATCACCCAGCACTGCTTCAGAATGTATGCATATCAGTGTGCTTTTACAGAAGGCTTTCCCTCAGCTTGTCTCCTGTTTAACCTCACATGAGCTTGACCGTCATTAGCTATGCATTTTCACAGCACCTTAGCATGACCAACTACTGTTGACAGCTGGCCAATGGCAGCGTGAGTTGTAATTCTGATTCGGTTTGGTCTCTAACAAATGTGAGCAGAGGCAGAAGCTGCTGTTGTGCATCTCTCCTGGTTCTCTGTAAGCAGTTGGGGCAGAAACACCTGCTCTGAAGGACACAGCAAATGAAAACTACGCTATTGTTTGACTTTCACAGCTCTTTACACCTAAAGAGAGTATAATTCAACCACCTGTCCATCACGTCAACTATCCACACGAATCAAGTTATTTTAACTTACTGTAACACTAAACCTCTGCTCTAGGTCCCGCCTCATAAACTGCCTTACATCTCATCTACACTGCCTGTCAGAAGTATGGGTTCACCCTGTTTTCTTTTGAAATGTGCTGTTACTTTCCAAAGTAGCTTCAGATTTTAACGCCTTAAAATCTCAGGTTTATTGCATACTTAGGCTTATTATCCAGTAATTACAGGGACCTTAGTGCAAACTGGTTGAGCTATTCTTAGGTTATAAAAGTGTGTAATAACACTTTCACCCAGTCGGTTGGCTCATTACGATGTCAAGCTTGTAGCAATAGAAGAACCATTTGTGGTGCTATATAGAAGTTTTTTCAAAAAGGTTCCATACAGAACCATCTACAGCACATTCTCCAGCAGTCTCCACCCTTTCATGGTGCAAAGAACCCTTTAATCATGCAAAAGGTTATTTGAGTGTTCATGGATCTATATAGAGCCATCTTCTTTACTAAAGACCCCTTGAAGAACAATCTTTTAAGAATGTAGAGAAAGTGGATGTGGGCTTTGGCTTTATTCCCAAATTAGACTAATACTGTTACCATTTTTTGAAGTCTGATACTGTTTTCCTCAAAAGAAAACATAATAATTTGTATTAAAACATTTCGAAAATCAAGGTATCTCCAAATGTTTGTGTGAATCACAAGTTATATTGCACCACGTGCATTTACACTACCATTCAAAAGGCTGGGATCACTGGGCCTCATTCTCCAATATCTTCCTAAGTTTGTTCTTAAATGTGTTCTTGGGGAAGATCCTAAGAAAAAGTCTACGTCAGATTCATGACATGTTCTTAAAGAACTGTTCTCACCTTTGTGCTCTTGAGTGTGTGTAGAATCTGTTCTTACCTAAGAACAAATCCCAAATAAGAAAACACTGGTGGATGTCAGGATCTTTGTAAACACTGCATAAACGGGTTTTAAGAAGAAATTACTTCTTGAGAGCGGTTGGAGAATGAGGCTGAATGTTTTTAACAGTTTTAACTACATTTGGTAGCAGATTAATGTGTAGATAAACATGCTCTAATGTGTTAGTCCTGTGCAAATTCATAGATTTCACTAATTATAAGGACAAAAAAACACAAACAAAAAATGTAAAACAATAAATGGTAATTGTGTCTGGAATGATGAATGAAGACAGCTGTATAGCATCACACCTGAAGTTATAGTGACATTAATATCCAGATTGCTTTATGTTTCAAACGTACTGATTAAATCTCAAGGCAGATAAGAAATACTACTACAACTACTACTACTAATCAAAATAATGAGACAATGCATATAAAGTACATTTTTATTTAAGTAAATAAATAAAGTAATAAAAGCAACATAAAAACACTACATTTAGAAAAATATTGTTATTACAGTGTACTATGCTAATTACTGTGTATAATTATAGAAGAATTTCTTATTGTTCCTCAAATATGTGAAATATAATATAAAACGTCTAAAAATGCCTTGTGGTGACTACAGTATTTAAACCTTTACTGTATCAGTTATTTTTATTTATGAACTAACAAAACAGTAGTAAAGGAGACTTTCACTGGTTTTCCAAATTTTCTGCATAAGTAAGTGGTTGAGATGTAAACAGAGTCATTCAGAGTGGTTTGGGGTGAAATGCTTCTTCTATAGAAACTTACAAACTCAGAATTGTTCACAGTGGTGGTGATAGGAACCAGACGTCCACCTCTAAAAGCTCCCTCACAGAAACTTACTACATGAAATGATTATGAATACACTGCCTGATGTTTGAGACACTGTTTTATGATAGTTTTGAGAAGATTTTGGTTAAAAAATGTACACATTTTTTCATCTAGTCATGATGGAGGGATACATGCAGTGTGTTGTGAGGCAAAATAGTCCCCCAAAACAACTTATTATTTCAGATTTTCTACTATTTTACCATCATCAACGTTACATATAAAACTCAGAAGATGTGTGTAGGTTTGGATAGTGATTAAAATGTCTATATTTGTGTTGTAGTCATGGCGACCCCTGGTTCCTATCACCACCACTGTATAGAAATCTGAACCATTTCACACCAAACCACTCTGAATCACTCTGTTTACATCTCAACGATGGTGTGAAATGATTCACTGGAGAAAGTTTTAAAAATGGTTGAAATCCCACTAATTAATACGACAACTGATCCCAAACTTTTGAACAGGACTGTATATGATTCTCGAACTGTGATCTTTGTGTTGATTTGTTTTTAAAGGTGGTTTCTATTAAAAAGCTTAGGTGTGCTATTTATCAAGGTAGTTTAAATAGCTCTGCATCAGGCTTTTCTCTGCTTTACTGCTGAGTGCGCTGGCTCTGTGGGTGCTGCTTTCATTCTCTCCCACGCTGCTTCTTTTACAAATATACTTGCATACAGATTAACCCTTAGATGCCTGGAGTTATTACTGCCATTTTGTTGTGATATTTAAATCTAATTTCATAATTAATTGAAATGAAATACACAGTTACATCATGATTTACAACTACATTTAATATTTTATGCACTTTTTTGTGTTGGTTTTGGTGTCAAAACTGACAAAAACATCAAAAATATAAAGTATGGTCTTTCTTTCCTCAAAAAAGACTGTATTACATTTTTTATCAAATTCAAATCATAATAAAATAACTTATCTTCTACTTAGAAACACAAATCTGGCATGATTCAAAGTTTAGAGTCTGCACTTTCAACACAAATCAGAAATAATATAAATTCATACACAATTACAGCATGTTTTTGTTATTGCTGGTGACAAATGCAGCTTCTAAGGGTTAAACTTAGAAGGCCCATATCATGTTGAGGTGCAAAGCATTATTAAATGGCTGAGAATGAATAAATTAGTACTAAATATGGCTAAAACTAAGTGCATTGTATTTAGTAGTAGGAATGTTTTTGTTAACTCTAATGAACTCAACTTGTTTATAGACAGGATATCAGTTAAGCCAAATTACTGGCTATTAAATTACATAATTGATTATCCTGGTCTGATCATCTTCACCACATTGTCTCAATGATGGGAAAGGGCACCGCAATTTCAAGGAAATGTTCTGCATGTACCATTACTGTAGTTCGGTCACTTGTTTTGTCACACCTGGAGTACTGCCCAGTGGTTTGGTCAAGTGCCACTAAGAAATATTTAAAAGACTTCAAATTGTACAGAACAGAGGAGCCAGATTAGCTTTTCATTGTTCTTTCCGTAAATAAATGTAAATAAATGTAAATAAAAACAGAATGCAATGATTTGCCAATCACATAGACCCATATTTTATTCACAGTAGAACATAGAACACATATCAGATGGTGAAAGTGAGACATTTTACCATTTCATGAAAAACATTAACTCATTTAGAACTTGATGGCAGCAACGCATCTCAAAAAAGTTGGGACAGGGCCGCGTCTACCATTGTGTGGCATCCCCTCTTCTTTTAACAGTCTGTAAATGTCTGGGAAGTGAGGAGACCAGTTGCTGGAGTTTTGGGAGAGGAATTGTTGTCCCATTTTTGTCTGATGTAGGACTCCTGCTGCTCAGCGCTGATTACAAGCTGGATGGTCCCTCTCCTCTTGAGTCCACAGGACACGGTGTCCATGGTTTCCAAAAAGAATTTCAAATTTAATCTGACCACAGAACAGTTTTCCATTTTGCCTCAGTCCATTTTAAATGAGCTTTGGCCCAGAGAAGATGGTGGCATTTCTGGATCGTGTCCAGCTGTTTTTTATTAGTACCATACTTTTCCAGCCTCTTGTTGCCCTTGTCCCAACTTTTTTGAGATGTGTTGCTGCCATCAAGTTCTAAATGAGTTAATGTTTTTCATGAAACAGTAAAATTTCTCACTTTCAACATCTGATATGCGTTCTATATTCTATTGTGAATAAAATATGGGTCTATGATATTTGCAAATCAGAGTTCTGGTCAGCTGGTGGTGCCCACAGTACACAATCAAACTGTATGAAAAGAACTGTTCTTTATGGGACTTCTTTAGCTTGGAATATGCTCCCCATTGACATCAAACAGATTATAAGTAGATTTTCTTTTAAAAAGTTATTAGAAGAAAATTTGATGAAACTTATATAGATGTTATTGTGGTATTGTTGATTTTTGGTTTTAAGTGTAGGTTATTATTGGTTATTGATTCTCTTGTTGAGTATTAGATTTATTCTTGAGTTTTGTTTGTTTTTGTCTTGTTTATGATACAGGATGACTTTAAAGATGTTTGTTTTATTTGTAATTGCTCTTGTGTGGAACCCAGAAAAACTAGCAACCACTTTGTAGAAGATGATAATAATAATAATCCAAATAAAGAATAAAGAATAAAAAACCCAACTTTCCTCCCTGGTTTTTAATAAAAGATATACTATGCCAACATTCTTAAACTTTCAAAGCATAAAATTCACTCCCAACTACATACAGACCATATATGGAGACTAATCTGCCATAACAGCTTATTTTGAATTAATTGTTTCTGTGATGTCACAACATATTTACATACGTAAACACTTATTCAGCCTACAGCAATTCGACTCATTTACACTGAGTAGGAGTGTTTCAGTTTGGGCTGCTTTTTGAATGAGATGCAATACAACACAGCCAATCAGAACAGAGCTCATCTACATACATATCAGTCTTAAAGGCACAGTAACAAAAACAGGCTCTTTAAAATGGTGACGTAAACATGAATTATGACTGTTTTTGGTATATAAGTGGGAAAAAATGAAAGAAAAATGTAGATTATGATGAGCCAGACAGCCAGACTGTCTTAAAAAAACAGACCCTACATCACTTTCATTACAGCATTAATATCAATATAAGGAATCAGGCAGAGCCTGGTGCGCAATCTAATATTAAATATCCATGTCTGTGAAACAGCCATACCTTCCCACAGGTCAACAGTCTGGAAGATGTCTCCTCTGACGACACCGTAGGCTTCTGCTGCCTCCAGGAACTGAGAGATCTTCTCCATCTGCTTGAAGGCCATCTTGCTTTCTGGAATCTTTTTTATGGGCTCCATGCCACTGGGGTAGAGACTGTTAATGAGACGACAGAGAATCTATAGAAAAGGAAAGAGAGAGAGAGAGAGAGTGAGGTGGGGTGAGCGTCAGAGAGCTGGAACGAGTCCAAACCGAACCAAATCAGCATTCAAACCTGACCAGACCAGTGGTCGCATTTTGAATGCGAACCCGTTGAAAACTGGCCCCCTTTTGGCAGCCTCACAATGTAAACAAAACCTGGACCACCGTCTCATGGCTGTCCACCTGACAGAAGGTCTTGGGAAAGTGGCTAAAAGCCCCCTCGTTCCTCACCGTCCCATCCATGAGCCAGCTCTGGAAGTTCTGCTTGCCAGGTTCGGGACGCTCCAGGCTGTCGCCACACTGTGCCATGATCCAGTCCACCAGGCGGGCCTCCAGCTCCGGGTCGTACTTCTGCTCGATCTTCTCCTGCACCTCTCGGCTCAGGCCGTAACTGGGCCCCCGGTTCGCCATGGCAGCACGCAGATCAATGCCGGTCTACTCTATGGACGCAGGCACAACTCTGCTGGGAGAACAACAACAACACAAACAGTCAGGGGCAGAAATACTGCACACATGCATCAGAACACTGCACCATCATCATCATCGATCTAGCTCAAACTCTGGTGGTCTGCAAGTCTTGGGGTTAACTGTTGAACTGGATGTTTCAGTCTTGGAATACGAATTGATGCTCGTTCGTTTTCTTTCCTTCTTTCTCTGCTTTTGTATCCATCATTAAGGCTCGACAGCTGACCAGTTATGAATGAGGCTGTATGAGCTTTGGTGACGAAGTCAATGCAAATATAAAAATACACAGAGGAAAAAATAGCCCACTTTGGTTGCTGGGATGGATGACGCCCCGCGTGCCAAAGCTGTCACGAAACGCGCGAGCATCACATCACATCCCAATCACATCCCATCACATCCCATCACATCCCATCGCACCACAACATGACGCTCCTACGTATGAAAATGTAACAAACGCCTCAACCAAACGTCCATCAAACAGGCTGTTTTCACTCACCAGCGAGATGAGGGTCTGCTGCCTGTCGTCAGCCCGTCTGTTTCACTTGGCACGATGGGGGCGAGCATCTGTGGGCGTGAGTACGTTGGTGGGGGGGTCTGTGGGTGGAGCCTGGGGTCTGTGGGTGGGGCAGCTCAGGGCAGCATCCTCGAGCAGTGCAGATGGATCCTGGCCGGTTCTGCATCCACACAGCCTTCACCACAAACTCCACACAGCTGACCCGTGGGGGGATTGGTAAGTGTCTAGGACCTGCATTGCGTAAGCGGAAAGAGCACCAGCGCGCGCCATTGGTTCCGGCGCCTGCGCTTGTTATTTATTTATTATTATTTTTTATTTTTAATTTGTATTTTGGAGAAACAAAGCTACAGCCCGGGGAGAGAGGTGAGAAATGCACATACAAATAATCAATCAGAAAATAAGAGTTCCGGTGTCTGCGCCAATCACGCTGGTTGTGGAGAATGACGTCACGTGGTTAGAAAAGCTCAGTGCTGAGTTGGATAAACCAGCTAAAAATTAATTTATAAAATTTAAAACACGACATTAACGCGGTTTGTTCAGCCTGTAGCAGCTACTCAGAGATTATTTCGGCTTTGTCAATATGTGAACACATTTTGGCTTTAGGAGTGACTTTATTGTTCATAATATTGATAAAAAATATTGTTTGTTTTTTGGAAAATCACACTCTTAAAAAGATGGTTCTTCTGGGGTTCTTTATTAAAGAGAATGGTTCTAAATAAAACCATGAACACCTTTGCATTAAAGTGTTCTTTGCAGCGTGAAAGGTCCCTCAGACTGCAGAGTGCAGATGGTTATATGTAGAACCTTTTTGGAAAGGGTTCTATAAAGCACCAAAAAGGGTTCTGCTGTTGTTACGATGTCAAGTCTGTAACAATAGAAGAACTTTTTTCGGTGCTATATAGAATTTTTTTCAAAACGATTCTACAACACACTCTCCCATCAGTCTGAAGAAGCATCTTTTTTTAGGTGTGCAGAGCTAAGTGCACATTATGTCAAAAATGGAGATTCGAGGTTTTGTTCCGACAACAGCGATATGATAAATCCTATACTTGATGGCTAACTTTCATAATCTCAGGTGTAAACCCTCTTGCAAAGGGTCCAATTCTGTTGCCTTTGAAAAGGAGGAGGAACATTGTATAGAGTTCAGCCCTCTTTAAAACACACAGCCTGTGTGTAGCAAATATATGGATGTGTACACTGTTATGTATATATTTTATATGCAGCTTATGCTGTGTACTATGTTTTGTGTTGAGTTGGACAAACCAATACTGTGCAATATATGTGTGTGTGTATATATATATATATATATATATATATATATATATATATATATATACACACACAAAACTGGCTTCCACGCTCCTTGTGATCGAGGTACACACACACACACACACACACACACACACACACACACACACACACACACACATATAGATATGGATTTGGATTGAAGAAGTAAAGAAGAAACCCCTTACTGAGGTGAGAAATCTGTCGTTTGGTAAGAGCAGTATGTAACTGAGACATGTGTGTATTCTTGACATGAACATCTTAAATTTGAATGGCTTTTGGCACAGAATGGCTCAGATTCATGCTGGTGTGTTTGGAGCGGAACTATTATTTCGTGGCTGCGGTTGGAGCCCGGACATGATTTGAGCGCGCACAGGCGTTATGAGCGGAGGCCTTTGGTAAATAAACACTTATTTTACGGTGTTTTATTTGATTTAGAAAGTGTTTTGCTGGTTTTGTGGACTCTTAAAATGAGTGAAATGAAACGTAACAAATGCTGAGGTTCCTCACTTTGGTTTGGAGAAAAATGCTAAAACATACTAATCTCAGCTGCTTTTTTTTCTTTTAGTATTTTATTTTATTTTTTGTCATTTTTGTCATTTTGACTCTTTATTAAGTCTGTTTTTATATTCTGCTGAAAGTGTATATTTGCTAATAAGTACTGATCTAAGTTGAGGTAAGCCAGTGCTTAGGTAGGATAAACACACACTTACAAAATATGGTTCTTCAGGGTTCTTTAGCAAAGGCAGTGGTTCTGTTTAAAACCATGAATTCTATATATAAGCATTTCATGCTTAAATGGTCCTTCGCATGGTGAAAAGGTGCTTTAGATTGATGTAGAGTATGTTGAGTATGTTCTTGCAAATGGTTCTATATAGCACCAAAAAAGGGTTCTATAATGATTACAAACAGACATCTTAACAATGGAAGAACACTTTTTGGTGCTATTTAGAGCCATTTGCAAAAAGGTCCTACATAGAACCATATACAACACATTCCACATCAATCTGAAGAATAACCAGTTAAGCATAAAATGGTTCTGCGTAGAACTCATGGTTCTAAACAGAACCATTGTCTTTACTAAAGAACCCTTAAAGAACCAAGAGTGTAGCCAACAATCCCAGTGAAATGTTCGCCCTTTTTGAGCATTAGTGCTTCTTTGTGTGAGCCGAATGGTTAATTTATGCAAATTGCCACATTTTGGTTATAAAAGCTTTGTATGCCAGACACACAACAGCTGTTGGCATCTTGGTAAAATCTCAAACGAGATTCGGTTGCAGGCAGAGCTGGGCGATGTGGCGAAAATGGTATATCACAATACTTCAAGAAGTTTTCGTGAGATACAATATGTTACGATATTTTCTCTGAAATCTGAAATGTTGGAACAGGTAAAAACATTAGTGCCACATTTTAAAAGAGTACCATCAAAAACTTTACAAAATAGTATAAATGATTTTCGATTAAAGTTTTATGAAATCCACTAAAAAGGCTTAATTATACTCCCACTGTAAAGAAACATGCAGCTGTTTAGTGTTCTAGAAAGACTGATAATATCTACGATACACTCGGAAAAGCATATTGTGATGTAATTGATCACAATAATGATAAATACTGTCCTATTGCCCAGCCCTAGTCGCGGGTACCTTTCATCACAAAGATGCGTTCAGTTTCGGACACAGCCTAGGCCTTTTTTAACTATCACATACTCGCCTAATTGCAGTTATGTGATCTGACCACAATTATTTACCACAGTTTTCACAATCATGTTTACGTTGTAATAAACAGGCAAACACATTTATTGAGACACATCTGGAGTTCTGACTTCTGATGACTTCTGGCTACAGCACCTTTAGAGGGCAGCAGTGAGCACTGTTTGCTTATTTGAGCTCAAGCTCGGCCCAATTTGGAGCGATTACTTATGGACAGCTGTAGCTAATCAGCCAATTTGGCTACTTCTGTTAATTGCAGATAATTGCATTTATATGGCAATTAATCGTCATCTAAAATTTCATGATCATGACACACCTAGAAAGATCCTATGTCTTAACAGCATGCCTCACCACTTCGCTTCAATCAGCCTCTTATTTACAATGAATCTCATTCATGGTAACTATTATCAAACAAGAACTTCATAATCTGCAACATATTCATTATTTATGACTAAGATCTTAAATTAAAAGTCTAATGTAAACTTTAGTTGAACATTATAGTGAGTGGTAGGGCATGCCTTAGAGACATAACAGCTAATAAACAAGTGTCTCAGGGCTGGGCAGTATGACAATATATATTGTTTTTGTGATCAATTATGTCACAACACAATGCAATATGCTTTTCTGAACATCGTTGTGTATATTGTCAGTACTTGTATAACACTTGCCAATTGTATGTTTCATTATAAAAAGAGCAAAATTAGTTCGATTTAACTGGATTTAGTGCCAAACACTGAATAAAAATCACATTCACAGTTTTTGACAGTATTTTTTTAATGTAGCACTACTGATTCTTTTCTCTCTGTTCCAACTGATTTTGTATATCATGTATCAAGAAAATTTAAGTATCGTAATATTATATTTTTTCCATAACGCCCACCTCTAAAGAATTTTTTGAATAATGCACAGTAATTTTTGTATTTGGGATGAGGTGGAAAGAGTTTATTTATTTATTTTTGTGTTTGCAGTGGGGCCCGTGATATTCTTTCACGCCACAAGATCAATATTATTCAAAGGACCTTTTTTACTAGAGTATTGACTATTTACTTTTAGGCTGTTTGTCAAATATGTGATGTGATGGATGGTTTATCATAAAAATTGAGGAGTTTAAAGAGTAACTACACCCAAAGACCTTTTTTTTTCATTAACAGCTGAAATGCACTGCTCTGTGATAATAAAATATATACCAGCCTTGCTTGAAATTTGAAAACATCTTTCCAAACTGTTAAAATATCGTTTTCATCGTGGTCAGTTCTGCCTCTGCAGTGCCCCTCTGGTTCAGTTCTACTGACAAGGCTACTGTCTATAACTACTGTAAATAACCCAAGTGAGGATTCCGCATCCGATTCACGTTCCCCTTCACAACTCAAACTCTCTGGCGCGTGACTCACTGAACAGACATCAACGGCAAGCAACTCTGGTTCAGGAAAAGTTAACGTTAAATGGCCATTGTTACTGACTGTGTCAACCTTTCGTCCGTACAGCATTTCTTGAACTTTTTCCGCTTTCCATCGTTCCAGTGTTGCTTGCCGTTGATGTCTGTTCAGTGAGTGAGCGTGACCGAGCTTTCAAATTACGAAGGGGAACGTGAATTTGAGGGGGAACTGAATCAGATGTAACACCGGTAAGTGCCATGAGCAGCTTGCAAAACGTAACGTTTTAGGGCCACTGCAGCAAACCCTGACTGACCAGTGATGCAGACTGCGACCTTGATGTCAAACTGGACATCAACTGGACAAATTTGGACAGTGTTTAAAGAAATCCACTTTATTCATTCGGAATTCAGTACATCTGAGAAATCAGGGTTATATTGAATATGGACCTGTTTAACAGATAATTAGAAGCGAGCTGTCATGGTTTCATGGTTTAGGGAATGTTCTTCAGCAGCTTCAGTCAGCGGCTCATACTGGTAAGGCTCAGGACGCACTGCCTGATCAGAAACACCTTCCCTCGTCGAAGATGGGGATGGTAGTGTAGAAAACTCGTCAGTCTCGTAAGACTCTCAGGGGTGGAGTTACCTGAAAATAGTGGGGTGTAGTTAATCTTTAATATATGCTTTGACTTGAACCCATGTCACTGTTTAATAAGTATTATATTTATTTTGAAGCTTTTTTTTGCACAACCCATTTGTTGCCCTGATCTCCAGTTCCAATTCCAGTTATAAATATTGACCAGTATTGATGATTTGCTGTCTGAAAATAATTGAAAAGTTTTTTTTTTCCTTCATTAGCATCGTTTCCAATGGTTGTAATAACATTCACAAATCCATATAATTTGCCCTTTTTTATAGTCTTGTAGAAATAAATGACAAGTATTATTTTGCTTTGTGTGCCCAGGTCTCCTGAAACGCGTCAAAACATGTCACCACAAGGAGAACGTCAGGCAGCTGAAGTCATAGAAGATGGGGAAATGTCTTCTGATACTCTCCTCACCAATGAAACGACACAGGCGAAGAGAAAACCCCCCGCGCACAGCTGCCCACAGTGTGGTAAGAATTTTACTCGACGCCTGAATCTCCAAAGACACCAGCTCGTTCACACAGGAGAGAAGCCGTACGTCTGCACCCAGTGTGGCAAGAAATATTCCCAAAAGGAGAGTCTCCAAAAACACCAGTTCATTCACTCAGGAAAGATGCCGTATGTGTGCTCACAGTGCGGAAAGGGATTTATAGACAGGAATTATTTCAAAACGCACCAGCGCGTTCACACAGGAGAGAAACCGTATCACTGCTCACAGTGCGGGATGGGTTTTATAGACATGAGGACGTTTAGACAACACCAGCGCATTCACACAGGTGACAGTCTCTACCGATGCTCAGAGTGCGGGAAGAGTTTTAATCACGTGGCTAATTTGAAAACACATCAGCGCGTTCACACAGGAGAGAAACCGTATCACTGCTCAGAGTGCGGGAAGAGCTTTAATCAGGAGAGTCACTTCAAAATACACCAGCGCATCCACACTGGAGAGAAGCCGTATGAGTGCTCGCAGTGCGGGAAGAGCTTTACTCAGCGGGGTACTCTCCTCCAACACCAGCGCGTTCACACTGGAGAGAAGCCGTATTACTGCTCACAGTGCGGGAAGAGTTTTACTCAGTGGTCTGGTCTGCGTCACCACCAGCGCCTTCACACGGGAGAGAAGCCGTATCGCTGTTCACAGTGTGGAAAGTGTTATACGCGTAGAAACAGTCTCCTATATCATCAACGCCTTCATACAGGAGAGACACCTATGAATGCAACTTCATGAATTCTGTTTCATGCTTATGACTGAGTGCAAATGATAGGACAAAGCAGGCATGTCAAACTGGGGACCTTCCTAGCCAAAGTGCTGCAGAGATCAGTGTTTATCCTTATCTAACGCTCTGCATTCAGTTCATGAAAGTGTTGTCAATTAGCTGATGAGCTGAATCATGTGTTTAATGAGGCAGTTTTTTCCCGAAGTCTGCAGTGTTCTGGCCCGCGAGGACTGGATCCTGACACATGTGCGCTAAAGTAAATTATATACCTCTCTGAATATGCTGGTGGTCATTCATGCTTTCAGACATAAAAAAAAATATGACCTCATTGTTCAAGGACTTGTACATAGTACTAAGGCATCTACATGTATACTACACTGTGTGTCCATTCTCATATTTACTGTGGTGCCCTGTTTGTAAACAGTAGGTAAACAGTTGTATACTGCAACAGCAGCATCATTGAGTGTTATCTGTACACTTGTACTTGTAGGGTGTGTATTATTGCTTTTACTTCATACCCTTAAGGACTACAAACACTTATTCATCCTGCTGGTGTGGGTTTCCTTTCTTCCAGTGATCCACACAGGAGCTACGAGTAGTAGTAGCTTCCCCTTTGGGGGATCTTCAGGCTGCTAAATGTGTTAGAGGTCAGTTCTATGAGGTGATCTGTGTCTTAAAAGACATTATTGTTGCTGAAGAATATGTATAGAATAATACATGTTAATTTTGTTTGTAATTCCTAATACTACTACTTTACATAAAAGGCTTTTTAGCATTAGTCTGCACTTTCTATTTAATTAAATGTGAATACTAATTCGTTGCTGAGAAATTTCTGTGAAGGACATAGTTACATGTCCACTTGATGGCATTAGATACTGCAAATGAGTGTTTTCATGTCATGATTTGTGAATGTAGATGTCATTTGCTGGTATAAACACTGTGTATCATAAGAATAAATGCAGTGAAAATAAACAAGAATGTATTTTCTTAAAAAGGAGTCCTGTGAACTAGTTTACAGAAGAAGGTTTGGTTCCAGATTTCTCCTCGATGCCCCCAGCCATCATACAGATTTGTTCAGTGAGGCAGGGCGGGGTTGATTCTTGCTAACCGAAGCTCCAAAGATACAAGCAGTGGTGGACAGTAACGAGGTAAATGTAATTCTTTACTGTACTTAAGTAGTTTTGTGTATCGGTACTTTACTGAAGTTTTTCCATTTTGGGCGACTTTTTATTTTCACTACATTTCAAAGTCAAATATCTTACTTTTTACTCCACTACATTATGAGAAATCTGTCGTTCCTTTTGGCTTATGTGTGTATAAAAACGCAAAATGTCAAAATGAAAGAAGCGTGAAGCAAGAACACCAATCAGGGTACAGCGCGCAACTTAGCTTTGAGCTTATTTTGACCTGTTGGACATACCAACCCAGTGCAGGCACACGGTTCAACATCAGTGTAACAGCGTAAAATTTTGGGATTGTCTATTCAACATAAATGATGGAAGAAACTCCTGACTCTAACCTAACTTTGTGTAAACAGACCACAATATAGAAATATGTACATATGCAGTTATTATTCCAGAGCCACTCAGTTCAACCTAATGGAAACTGTTTGCCTTCAGTGTTTTGTGCTTATGATAATTTTAATAGACATCAGCGTCACTAATTAATGACTCTATTAAAAGACTGGTTTACCAAGTATGACACTGGAGTATTTTCACCTAAAATGAGTTAATGAAGCCAGAGTCAAAAATGATAATAGGACATTAAAGTCATAATTAATCTTTTAGTACTTTTACTGTCGATACTTAAGTACATTTGAAGGCAAATACTTTTGTACTTTTACTCAAGTGGGATCTGAAGGGAGGAACGTCTATTTCTACTGGAGTAATATTTTACCTTGGGTATCTCTACTTTAGCTCAAGTACATGATTTGTGTACTTCGTCCACCACTGGATACAAGTTTAACAAGTTTCGAGAATAAAAACTTAAATCTGGGTGGTTTGGGTTGTGAAACCTCAGATTGTTGGAATTGTACCTGCACTACACTGTAGAAAATGGCTGGTCAGACCAACCTAAACAAAGACTACATGTGGTAACGAGTAAATTAACCAGTTTTATTCACGATTCTTTCAGTCAATGTATTTTTTTTTGTTGTTGAATAAAACTAGTTTAATTTCTTGTTACTAGAAATAGTAATTTTTGGTTGATCTGACGAACCATTTTTTACAGTGTTACAATGTTTTGTGGAGCTGTTATCATGCTAGCTAAACTAGCACTTGCACCAGGTAGCACATTTGTCCAATTTAGCACTGTTTACTTTTAGTGATTGTCGTTGAAGGATTGGTAGTTTAACATTTAATGAGTAATGAATTGAAAATCTGGCTTATATTATGATTAATCACCATATTAATCACCATATCTACAGTAATAGTGCAGGAAAGTCTACAGAATCTTATAGTAAAATCAATTACTGTTGTTTACTATGTGATATTACACATGTATTACAAATTACTATAGAACAGTCCTTAAGCAGTAGAACACCAGAGGGAGTGTGTTATCGCGAAATAACATCACGGCTGTGATTTGGTCGCAGATCTTCATCACAGCCGTGATGTTATTCGCGATAACACAACCTCGAGTTGCTTTTATACAACAGTTAAATAAATAAAGTAATAAATGAATAAATTGGGTCGTGAACGCGGCGTTTAATATGTTTTAATGTTAGCAGATCCTTCCGCCAAATTATAGTTCCTTAACAAGCAGCTTGTTGCTACGTCAAAGTAACGAACTCCGCTCAGCCGGCAGTTCGCTCTCCAGCTCCACACAGACCAACTGACAGTTTGGGAATTTAGTGTAGCCTCATCTTCAGAGTCTGACCAAATCGGCTGTCGGTCAAATGTGATCTTAAAAGTGTCCATTTTCTGTTTGTGGCAAAGTAAGAAGTAAAAACGTTCAAATGGCTTTAGCGTCTCCTACGGCTGTCAAAGTGGTTGCTTAGCAACGGCGTCTCAGCGGAATGATACAGTGTTTGTGTGATGTTATGGCGAAATAACAGCGCAGTGAGAATGCTTCTCAACCAATCAGCTTGCTTGGCCGGAACTAACTGTTGTATAATATAGGAATAATAAAGCCTCTTTCTCATTGTATTTCTAGCTACAGTTCTTTTGTGGGGGATTTTCAAATATGTTTGTGCCAAATAAACTTAACTGCGCTCTTAACTATTATAACTATTTTTAATAAAGTATAAAGATATATGCCAGTCTACAGAAATATATTACAAACTTTACATATTTTGGAAAAGGTGTACAAATATATTTCCGTTTCATATGAGGTGCAACAGTTCTCTACAATTGAGAGAATCCGAACACAGCCGGAACACATTTAATAAAAAATAAAAATAAAAAAAAAAGAAAGAAAGAATACCGGTCTGTTTTTGGCGGAATGATTGTTCGATGGTTCCGGTTGTGACTCGGACATGATGTGAGGGCGCACAGGTTTTGTTTATGAGTGTGAAATGTAAGTAAACATCTCTGTCACTGTTTTATATTTAAAAAATGAGTTGTTGATGGTTTTAAATATCCAAAGTGAGCCGTTAGTGGAGTCTGGCTCATAAATGACTGTAGAAGCGCGGTCGAGCTGCTGAAAGGAGAGTTTTGGGCTGATAGTTTTGGACTTGTAGATTTTAGATGATGTTGTTGTGACAGTATTAAAGGCAGTTTTTAAAAGGGGACTTTTATCGTATCGAGTGCTGATTTAGCTGGATGTGGCAGGAAATAAACACCGTTTTGTACCCGTTTGGTGGAACTGATGGGTCGAGGCACTCAGCGTTGTCACAACGTCAAAATCAAGTTGATACGGAGCCCTGCTGGTGACATCACTTTATAAATAAAAACAATGCGTGGCCACGAGATAGTAAGACGTAGGAACGAGACATTTATTTGTGGCAACGACTCCGTAAGGCGTGAGAATGAGATCATGCCTTATTAAGCTATGGTCAGGTCTTAATTATTTAATTGCTACGCCTTACTAAGTAGTGGCCACGCATTAGGATCTCGTTCCTATGCCTTACTAAGTCATAGCCACGACTTATTTATCTTGCCTTGCTAAGACGTGGCCACGCATTATTTTTAATTATAAGGGATTTCACCAGCAGGGCTCCGTAAGTTGAAGTTTCTTTCTCCACGTTGATGTCAGTTTGACAATGCTGTGACGTTGAGGTTGTCAGTTTGTGCATCAGCCGAATTTCAGTGTTGCACTGACATTAGGTGACATTTGTTTATCAGTACAATTTGAACAACAGTAAGTTTCAGTTTGCTTTTAATATTTGTATGTAAACACAGATAATATGTTTCATATACGAGATACATCAGGGCCGTAGGGATGTAACAATACTTAAAATCCCTGATTTACTTCAGATCTGTGTTTTTTTTTGGCGTATAGGGGGTGAATAAGGAAAAAAACAGAAAAAATCAAAGTTTTATTAAATCACCAATAATTCGTAACACTAAAGAGAACACGAAATAACAAGGTATATTAACTTCATATAAATTAACTATGTAAATGAAAATACATACATAACAGTACTTTTAAGACCAGTCTAAGTAAACAAAAAGTCAAATAAATAAAAGACAAAAACAAATAAATAAATAAATAAATAAATAGTCTCTGAAAGTGGGTTTGGGTTGGGGGGGTTGGGTCAGGGGGTGTGGGTGGGACCATGGATGATAGTATGGTGGTTTTGGTCTCAGTTTCAGAATCGTTGCTCCCCTCCAGTGCAGGATTGAAAATTAAACTTTTGTGTTCCACACACTGACTCAACAGTGAGAGACAGTGTTGTCACAACAATCTGGCATCCCAAAATGCCTGCTGGGGTGTAATCTGTACCCTCCTTTTGGTTTATGTAAGTTACAGATAACACCCCAGCAGGCATGTTGTCTAGTCTTTTCTGTCTAGTCTTGACAAATGACATTTTCTCTGAATTTTAGTTTTGTCTTGTCTTGCTCTATGCGTCCAGCCCAAATTCACTTCCACAAATGCATCAGAACATGCCACCACAAGAAGAAGTTCAGGCAGATGAAGGCAAGGAAAAACAGCAAGTGTCTCCTGGTGCTCTCCTCCCCAACAGAAAGACATGGACGGGCAAAAAAAAAACCCCTCACCGCTGCCCACAGTGTGGTAAGAGTTTTACTCAACACATAGGTCTCCAGCGACACCTGCTCATTCACACCGGCGAGAAGCCACACGTCTGCTCGCAGTGTGGGAAGAGTTTCACTCAGCAGGGTCATCTCCAGCACCACATGGTCACTCACACAGGAGCGAAGCCCTACGACTGCCCACACTGTGGGAAGAGTTTTGCGCAAAAGCACAGCCTCCAAAAGCACCAGCTCACTCACACAGGAGAGAAGCCGTACGAGTGCCCAGAGTGTGGGAAGAGATTCAGTGACCGAAGTTCTTTCAAAACGCACCAGCACATTCACACAGGAGAGAAACCACACGATTGTCTGCATTGTGGAATGAGATTTATCGACTTGCGTACACTTAAAAAACACCAGCGCATCCACACAGGCGAGAGCTTGTATTACTGCTCGGAGTGCGGGAAGAGTTTTAATCACGTGACTAACTTTAAAATGCACCAGCGCACTCACACAGGAGAGAAACCGTATCACTGCTCAGAGTGCGGGAAGAGTTTTAATCAAGAGAGCAATTTCAAAACACACCAGCGCATCCACACTGGAGAGAAACCGTATTACTGCTCGCAGTGCGGGAAGAGCTTTACTCAGCGGGTTAATCTCCATCAACACCAGCGCCTTCACACTGGAGAGAAGCCGTATTACTGCTCACAGTGTGGGAAGAGCTTTGCTCAGTGGGCTAATCTGAATCAACACCAGCGCGTTCACACTGGAGAGAAGCCGTTTTGCTGTTCACAGTGTGGAAAGAGTTTTACTCATAAAAATAGTCTCCAACAGCACCAGCGCATTCACACAGGGGAGAGGCCGTACTGCTGTTCTCAGTGTGAGAAGACCTTTACTCGTAAGAATAGTCTTCTGCGGCACCAGCGCATTCACGCAGGAGAGATGCCTGTGAGTGCTCTAGATGTAGCTTTATGAATGTTATTATTATGCTTATAATTAAGTGTAAAGGACAAGCTAAACTAAATTATATTCTCTCTGAACGCATTGGGGGTCCATCATGTTTTAGGTGATCCTTTCACATTTATATATACACCGATCAGGCATAACATTATAACCACCTCCTTGTTTCTGCACTCATTGTCCATTTTATCAGCTCCACTTACTATATAGGTGCACTTTGTAGTTCTACAGTTACAGACTGTAGTCCATCTGTTTCTCTGCATGCCTTTTACCCTGTGTGTTAGTGTGTTGTGCTGGTCTGAGTGGAACAGACACAGCAGTGCTGCTGGAGTTTTTAAACACCTCAGTGTCACTGCTGGACTGAGAATAGTCCAAAAACCAAAAATATCCAGCCAACAGTGTCCTGTGGGCAGCGTCCTGTGACCACTGATGAAGGACTAGAGGATGACCAACACAAACTGTGCAGCAGCAGATCGTCTCTGACTTTACATCCACAAGGTGGATTGACAAGGTAGGAGTGTCTAATAGAGTGGACTGTGAGTGGACACAGTGTTTAAAAACTCCAGCAGCACTGCTGTGTCTGATCCACTTGTACCAGCACAACACACACTAACACACCACCACCATGTCAGTTACATGTTACTGCAGTGCTGAGAATGATCCACCACCCAAATAGTACCTGCTCTGTGAGGGTCCATGGGGGTCCTGACCACTGAAGAACAGGGTAAAAGGGGGCTAACAAAGTATGCAGAGAAACAGATGGACTACAGTCTGTAACTGTAGAACGACAAAGTGCACCTATATAGTAAGTGGAGCTGATAAAATGGACAATGAGCGTAGAAACAAGGAGGTGGTCATGATGTTATGCCTGATCAGTGTATATATATATATATATATATATATATATATATATATATATAATGTATGTATGTATGTATGTATGTGTGTGTGTGTATATACAACAAAATGACAATTTTACTTCAAAATCACAACATGTGTGATAATGTATAAACTGTGCTGTTCTAATTATTTTGTTTTCTGTTTGAAAATATCTTTTGCTTATGGTATGTTCCACAACCTAGTGGAGGTATCGTTAAACAGGTCTTTGGCAGCATGTATGTTTCAGGCTTTTCTCTACATGCACGCTAGTGGCACGATACTAAAAATGTCAACTTAGATACAATACTTTGAAATAAATTGTCCAATACCATTTTCGATACCAAAGGCAGATAAAATTGAGGGTCTTTTATTTTTTTTTGGATAAGCATATCCAAAATTTACGTAAAATTACTCTTATAATGGTCACTACTCACACATGTAAAACACATGAAACGCATCAGATGTGTGTTTGTAAGTGTTTGTATTTTAGTCCAAACTAAAGTGAGATTCATGTTTATATGCACATATCATTAGTGTAGTGTAACAACTTAGTATTTTAAATGTTTTATTGTATTTTTAATTTTAATACAGTACAGATTCAGCTTAATATTACTACTTCCTCCTGATAAGCTGTTTTAGGCTCTGAAAATATCATTATTATTTTAATGCTGCTAACATTTTCTGCTGTTAGCTTCCTATTTACCAGCTTTTTGTTCGAACTTTCTCGTTCTACCTTAAATGGTGCAGTAGTTACATTCTGGCGCGACCACTTAAGGTGGACCGGGAAAATTCAAACAAGACACTGACGAATGAGAAGCTGACTTCAGCTTTGTAGTTTTAATGCTGGTAGTATCTTTTGATAAGGAAATTTAACCTTACCAAAATATCCTGCCTAGAAATTTATGTAGGGTGTTTGGACCAATTTGATGTGTCAGCTCTCTTAGCTGGAACTGACTGAAGCACCGTCTGCATACTTTCTTGCTCATGTCTTTGCCTTTGCATCCTAATTTGCTTCAAAGCCAAAGTTCGTCCACAGAGCTGTATGTCCTGCTGTTTTCTTTGTTGAGTTTCAAAGGCTGTGAACTCACTGCAACTGCAATTTTAGCATAACAAACCACACCGCTAGTGAGACCTCCTCACTAATGGTGCATTATGGAAGCCCATGTGGGCACAAAGAATTTGTGTCGATACTGTGGGAGCTGAGTATTGCACTGTTTCAAAATGTTCAGTATCAAGATGTATCGATATATATTTTTGACACTAATGCACACACAGTTTGGGACTGCAAGCGTGTATTTGTGAGATCCTGCTGGTGTGGGTTTCCTTTCTTTCACTGTTCCATGTAAAGGTTGCAAGAGTGCTAACAGCTCCCCCTCCTGGAAAATCTTTAGTCTGATAAACGTATGAATGTGTTACAAGCCAGGTCCATGAGGTGCTTTGCATCTAGGCCTGTCATGATCATGAAATTTTAGCTGACGATAAATTGCCATATATATATATATATATATATATATATATATATATATATATATATATATATATATATTATTGCAGTTAACAATCTAATTGTTATTGGAATACAGTTAAATTGTGCTAAAACACAAGCCTTGCTTTCTGCCGTCAATATGCAGCTCCTAAATCAGTGGTCACCAACCACTGGAGATCTACCTTCCTGCAGATTTAGCTGCAGCACTAACTGATTGACCCTACCTGATGTATCTAATTATTGCCTTCAGAAGTCCTTAACTAGCTGAATGAGGTGTGTTAGATTTGGGTTTGAGGTGAAACCTACTGGAAGGTAGATCCCCAGGGGTGGGGTTGGTGACCACTGTTCTTAATGAAGACAGACAGCTTGAGCTCAGATAAAGAAACATTGCTCACTGCTGCCCTTTGGTGTTATAGCACTGGTCTGTGTTTTTCTGCTTTGTTTTATTTACGTGGGTTTGCCTCAACACAACTAATAAAACCCCCACCTTCTTTTTGTTGTGATGTAAATGTATAATTGTGGCAGCTAACACCTGTGGAAAATAATTGCAATCAGCTCAAATGACAGGCCTGTTTACATTCTGTTCAAAATTATTTTTTGTTTCTGCCTTAAAATAATAAGAAATAACCAGTGGGCACATGTAGTTTAACCACATTTCCCAGTAGTGTGCAAATGAGTACTGGTATTTTTCTGTTTTCATCGGTTTGTGAAAGTCTGGTTTGTGAAATTATTTGTAACTGAATAATTACTTACGTTTTCATTTTCTGAAAAACTGTCTATTATGGGTTGTATGGTTTATTAAACTATTCTTTGTGTACTAAATGTGTATTGTTTAATTTTTTAAGGTGCAAGTTTAGGAAATTACCAGCAGGCTAATAGCTCCATCTGTGGAAGTGCTTCGTGTTGGAGTAGCTGTTAGCTGGACTACATCCCAGGCTATGTTGAGTGTTGATCTAAAATATAAATGCAATTAAAATATCAATAATTGACATCTTAAGTGATAGCCTAGCAAAAACATCATTCATCAAACGGGGATGTAAAAGGTGCATAGGGGCAGGACCATGTAGCTATAAGTGGTACAAACTGTGCTTAAAGGGGAATTCCACTAATTTTAAAAAATTTCTAAATAATTTAGTCTTTGAATCACTCTGTTTACATCTCAGAGTGGTTTAGCGTGAAATGGTTAAGATTCCTTTACAGTGGTGGTGATAGGAACCAGCGGTTGCCATGACTACAACACAAATACAGTCGTTTACTATGCAAAACCACCAGTGAACCTATACATGTCTTCTGAGTTTTATATGGAAAGTAGATGATGGTAAAATAATGGAAAATCTGAAATAGTACGTTTTCTTTGGGGACTTTTGCCTCATCACACCCTGCATGTACCACTCCACCATGAATGAATTAAAATAAATGGATTAAAATACACTTTAAGCCAAAACCTGATCACAAAACTATCATAAAACAATATCTCAGACATCAGGCAGTATTCATAACCATTTCATGTATTAACTTTCTGTGAGGGAGTTTTTAGAGGTGGACGTCTGGTTCCTATCATCACCACTGTGAACAATTCTGTAAGTTTCTTTAGAACAGAGCATTTCACACTAAACCACTCTGAATGACTTTGTTCACATCTCATTTAATTATGTAGAATTTTTCAAAGATCGGTGGAGTTCCCCTTTAAGGCTTCCGAGCCATCAGATGGCCCCAACCAGCATGTAGTATTTATTTTGGTTATTTATTATATTTCATGATGATCATTTTCTATCATCTGTGCTCTTTATCAGTTTCCTTTTCCTGATCAAAATGAATTGACGATTCTTTTTCGTTCTTGTTGCACCATAAAATAATTGGGTTGTTCATAAAAGACCCTGCATGGGGAACGAGGCGGTCGCATTACTATTTCATCCCCCTTGCAGGGAAACGCAACGATCGACTTTTAATTAGAAAACGTTTCATATCATACGGATCCCCTCTGATGATATTCTGTATAAATAAAAAATGCATGGCCATGGCTTAACAAGGTGTGGGAACGAGATAACTAAGTCATGGCCACAACTTAGTAAGGCATGGAAATGAGGTAATTAAGACTTGACCACAGCTTAATAAGACATGATCTCATTCCCAGGCCTTAATAAGTCATGGCCGCGCGTTAGGATCCAGTGGTGGACAGTAACGAGGTAAATGTAATTCGTTACTGTACTTAAGTAGTTTTTTGTGTCTGTACTTTACTGAAGTTTTTCCATTTTGGGCGACTTTTTACTTTCACTCCACTACATTTCAAAGTCAAATATCTTACTTTTTACTCCACTACATTATGAGAAATCTGTCGTTCCTTTTGGCTTATGTGTGCATAAAAACATAACATGTCAAAACAAAAGAAGTGTAAAGCAAGAACACCAATCAGGGCACAGCGCACTTAGTTTTGAGCTTGTTTTGACCTGTTGGACATACCAACCCAGTGCCAGCATACGGTTCAACATCAGTGCAGCAGTGTAAAATTTTGGGAGTGTCTATTCAAAATAAATGATGGTAGAAACTCCTGACTCTGACCTACCTTTGTGTAAACAGATCACAATATAGAAATATGTACACATATGCAGTTGTGACTGATGTGTCTTTTTTCTGAATTTGTACAAACACTTTTATTTTATAGTAAAATTTGTTTTGGCTAGTTTATGTTTATGAACAGAGACCTACAGATGCAGTTTAGTAAAGGAAAACTCATTTGTGAATCTGAGTTTAAAGCAAGTTTTTATTAAACTTAAACTTGTAACTAAGTTGCAAATAAATCTTAAACTGAAACTTTGCTTGTTTGCAAAAGGTTATTTCAGAGCCACTCAGTTCTACCTAATGGAAACTGTTTGCCTTCAGTGTTTTGTGCTTATGATAATTTTAATAGACATCAGCGTCACTAATTAATGACATTCTATTAAAATATTGGTTTACCAAGAGTGACACTGGAGTATTTTCACCTAAAATGAGTTAATGAAGCAGAGTCTTGTTACAGAAATGATAATAGGACATTAAAGTCATAATTAATCTTTTAGTACTTTCACTTTTGATACTTAAGTACATTTGAAGGCAAATACTTTTGTACTTTTACTCAAGTGGAGGTCTAAAGGGAGGAACTTCTACTTTTACTGGAGTAATATTTTACCTTGGGTATCTCTACTTTAACTCAAGTACATGGTTTGTGTACTTCGTCCACCACTGTTAGGATCTCGTTCCCACAGAATGAGTAATATTGGTATGTTTTGGGCGGAACGTTTGTTTGGTGGTTCCGGTTGCAAGCCGAACATGATTTGAGCACGTACTGAACGGGGAGAGGGGAGCTGCTATGTAAACACTTCTTGTACTGTTTTTATTCGGGGGTCCAGCTGTGGCGGAGGGGTTGAGGGTCTCCTGGCGGAGGGGTTGAGGGTCTCCTGGCGGAGGGTCTGACTGTCAGGTGACGAGTATATTTACAGATGAAACCTGTTTTAATGCTATATTTTGTGAGGTTTTCCTCACTGTAGCCTTTTTTCACAGCTGGCTGGGAATCAAAGCTGCAGGAGTGTAAATGATTCTTTCTTTCTTTCTACACAAAAGTTTGTTTGTTTGGTTATATATTAATCTATTATCAACTATTTTACAGATTTAGACTTTTTGTTTTATGCCTACACTGTCAGAAAAAAAAGGTACAGTGTAAATGGTACTCTTAAAAAGATGGTACAGAAAAAAACCATGAAAATGGTTCTCTGTAGCCCCAAAAAGGGTTCTAATATTACTACAAGCTTCACATCATAACAAAAAGATATGTTGTGTAGAACATTTTCAAAAAGGTTCTGTACAGAGGTAGTTACAACACATTAGGTATCAATCTGAAGAACCATTTATACATGAGTCCATGGTACTAAACAGAACCAATCCTTTTACTAAAGAACCCTTGAAGAGCCATATTTTTTTAAACATGTACAAAAAGTGGTTTAAAGGGCCAGCTGTTCACTTTAAATAAGTTTATCAGAATCAGAATCAAGCTTTATTGGCCAGGTTTGCTTACACATACAAGGAATTTGGTTCTGGTTACAGGAACTCACAGTGCACAGTGTCAAACATTTACATGTAGTGAATAAAATAAAATAAATATAAGATAAAATAAAATACAATAAGATAAAATACAAAAAAATAAATAAATAAAGATAAAATAAAACATGTATTCCTACCATCACTCACTCACACACACATACACAGTCTTTTACATGTAGTGAATAAAATAAAATAAAACATGCGTTCCTACCATCACTCACTCACTCATACACACACACAGTCAAACTTTACATTGTGCAAAGTATGAGTCTAAAGTTAAAGTGCTGAGTGCAGCAGCAGTTAAAGGGTGTATAGTGGCAGAGAAAGGGATCAGTGAGGTGACAGTCAAGATAAGTGGGGTAATAAGGCAGGTAAGTAAGATGCTAGAAGAAAGACTGGTTTGAGATGGTAGTTTCAGAGGATGGAGTTGAGTGTGATACTATATACCAGTATATTTCTTTATTTATTTATTTATTTATTTTTGAAAGGAAATGTACATATTTGTAGCTTTTCCCAACCTAATGTTTTAAAACAGAACAGTAAAATAAAGCATACATACCGGACAGAGCGTGTGGAGTCAATACAACTTAAAAAATATATAATTAAATGAAATATGGTACAGTTATGTTCTGAGACGTACCCTTTAAGCGTACCGACCCAGTGACAGTTCAGTACCTTTTTTCTGAGAGTGTAGTTGTGCTCAGTGTAAACAAATTAAAAAAGTAAAGAAACACACCTCAAGCCCTTTATGGTGTGTTACATCGAATAGCTAAGGTTTTGAGAGTTAATAAGTTTAAATATTTAGTAGGGAAAAACTAATTTAGTCATCAACAGGCAAATGGCAGGTTTGGTGGACCTCATTAGAGTCTAAACCAAGTGATACCACTGAGGGGAACGAAATGGCATCATGCAGCATATTTCAGAGAGCAGTTTAATGTTGCTGACTAATATCACACAGTGAACTAGCAAGGCTGTAACTAAAAAAGCTGCACTATATGGACAAAAATATTAGGACACCTACACATTACACCTACAGGAGCTTTTATGACATCCCATCCTAGATCCATAGCCATTAATATGGAGTTGGTCCCCCTTTGCTGCTCAAACAGATTCCACTCTTCTGGGAAGCTTTCTACAAGATTTTGTAGCGTGTCTGCGGGAATTTTTGCCCATTCATCCAAAAGAGCATTTGTGAGGTCGGACACTGATGTTGGACGAGAGGGCCTGGCTCGCAATCTCCGTTCTAGTTCATCCCAAAGGTGTTTGATGGGGTTGAAGTCAGGGCTCTGTGAGGGCCAGTCAAGTTCTTTCACATCAAACTCACCCAGCCGTGCCTTTATGGACCTTGCTTTGTGCACTGGGGCTCAGTCATGCTGGAACAGAAAAGGTTCTTCCCTAAACTGTTGAAAAAACTGTGTAAAGTTGGATGCATACAATTGTCCAAAATATCTTGGTCTGCTGAAGCATTAAGATTTCCCTTCACTGGAACTAAGAGGTCTAGGCCAACCCCTGAAAAACAACCCCATATTATTATCCCTCCTCCACCAAACTTTACAGTTGGCACAATGCAGTCAGGCAGGTAACGTTCTCCTGCCATTCACCAAACCCAGACTCGTCCATCAGACTGCCAGATAGAGAAGCGTGATCCGTCACTCCACAGAATATGTTTCCACTGCTCCAGAGTCCAGTGGCGGCGTGCTTTACACCACTCCATCCAATGTTCTGCAATGTGCTTGGTGATGTAAGGCTAGCCTGGAAAACCATCTTGTGAAGCTCCTGGTGCTTTACGTGGTCTGACACTTCATGGCTGAGTTGCTGTGGTTCCTAAACGCTTCCACTTTTCAGTAATACCACTCACAGTTGATCGTGGAATATCTAGGAGGGAAGAAATTTCACAGACTGGTTTGTTGCAATGATGCCATCCTGTTACAGCACAACGCTCGACTTCAGTGAGCATCTTAGAACGACCCATTCCTTCACAAATGTTTGTAAAGGCAGACTGCATGGCTGGGTGCTTGATTTTATACACCTGTGGCAATGAGACTGAATGAAACATCTGAATTCAGTGATCAAGAGGTGTATCCCAGTACTTTTGTCCAGTGTGGTTGCCTCTTCTGCAAACAAAATTTAGCGGCTGTTAAGCGTCAGTCTGATGGACGAGTCTGGGTTTGGCAAATGCCAGGAGAACATTACCTGGCTGACTGCATTGTGCCAACTGTAAAGTTTAGTGAAGGAGGGATAATGCACTTTCTCGGTATGTGAAATGATTTTTTTCAGTCTTCTTGGGAATATAGTCCATTTTTTTGCTCAGTATTCTGAAATAATTGTCATCTTCGTATCTTTTTTTTGTGTCTGAATAATGATTTACTATTGGTGACTCATCTTAAGGAATTAAAGAATTACTTATTGTTTAAAGTGTAACAGCTAATTCTGACATAGTGTGTCAGAAATCCATCAGAAATGTTAAATATGTCTACGTTCTGAGAAAATATAGCATTATTTTGGCAGAGTGGACTTTCTAGGTTCTGACTAAGTCTTGCTCTTTGTGTCCAACTCAGATTAACTTCCACAAATGCATCAGAACATGCCACCACGAGAAGAACGTCAGGCAGATGAAGTCAAGGGAGATCCGCAAGTGTCTGCTGGTGCTCTCCTCCCCAACAGAAAGACGCGCATAAAGAGAAACCCCCCCACTCGCCACTGCCCACAGTGTGGGAAGAGTTTTACTCAGCAGATTGGTCTCCGAAGACACCTGCGCATTCACACAGGAGAGAAACCGTATGCCTGCTCGCAGTGTGGGAAGAGTTTCACTCAGCAGATTGGTCTCCAGAGACACCTGCGCGTTCACACTGGCGAGAAGCCGCACGGCTGCCCACAGTGTGGGAAGAGATTTACTCAAAAGCACAGTCTTCAAAAACATGAGCTCACTCACACAGGAGAGAAGCCACACGAGTGCCCGGAGTGTGGAAAGGGTTTTAGTGACAGAAGTTCTTTTAAAACACACTTGCACATTCACACAGGAGAGAAACCGTACGATTGCTCGCAGTGTGGGAAGAGTTTTGTTGACATGCGTACTCTCAAAAAACATCAGCACGTTCACACAGGTGAGAAAATCTGTTACTGCTCTGAGTGCGGGAAGAGTTTTAAACACGTGACTAATTTCAAACTGCACCAGCGTGTTCACACAGGAGAGAAACCGTATTGCTGCACTGAGTGCGGGAAGAGTTTTAGTCAAGAGAGCAATTTTAAGACTCATCAGCGCATCCACACTGGAGAGAAACCGTTTTACTGCTCACAGTGCGGCAAGAGTTTTACTCAGCGGAATCATCTTCATCAACACCAGCGCAGTCACACAGGAGAGAAGCCGTATTACTGCTCACAGTGTGGGAAGAGCTTTAATCAGCTGAGTCATCTTTATCAGCACCAGCGCGTTCACACTGGAGAGAAGCCGTATGAGTGCTCACACTGCGGGAAGAGTTTTAGTCAGTGGAGCCATCTCTATCACCACCAGCGCAGTCACACAGGAGAGAAGCCGTATCCCTGCTCACAGTGTGGGAAGAGCTTTACTCGTCAGGATTCTCTCCAGCAACACCAGCGCATTCACACAGGAGAGAAGCCGTATGAGTGCTCGCAGTGCGGGAAGAGTTTTAGTCAGTGGAGTCACCTCTATCACCACCAGCGCATTCACACAGGAGAAAAACCATATAACTGTTCACAATGTGGGAAGAGTTTTACTTATAATACTAGTCTGCTACGGCACCGGTGCATTCACACAAAGGAGGAGGCTGCCATTGATCAGATTGTACCGGTATAAATGCTATATTGACACTTAGGGTCGAGTGACAGGCTATAAAGTACAAAGCCCATTTCTTGGACATTTCGTGAAATGCAGTAAAAACAAGAATTTGTGATTTGTTAATTCTCTTCAACCTTTATTTAACTGATAAATGTACAAAGAAAAGATTTCCACTGTTTTCACTGACCAACTTCATTGTATTTTGTTAATATAAACAAATTTAGAATTCAGAACATACTCAAAAAAGCTGAGACAGAGGCATGTTACCTTTCCTTTTAATTACAGCTTTTTTAAAATTGGGAACTGAGAATACTAATTGTTACAGTTTTGTAAGTAATGTTTTTTTTTTTTGCTAATTGCTTGATACGAGACTTCATCTGTTCAACAGTCAGTGCTCGTCATCTGATTCTCCCCTTAATGATGCACAATTCCTTTTTTAATAGGAGACAAATCTGGACTGCAGGCAGGCCAGTCAAACACATGCACTCTGTGTCTTCAAAGCCACGCTGTTGTAGCATGTGCACTGAGGCCTGGCATTGTCTTGCTGAAATAACTATGGGCTTCCTGGGAAAATACATCATCTCAATGGTAGCATATGTCTCTCTAAAATCCATGTATATGCCTGCGTGTCAATGGTACCTTCACACAAATGCAAGTCATGCAAGCTTTTCTCTGTATATTCTGAGCTGTTCTTTTTACTCTGAAATGCATTCCTGTGTTCTCGATTTGTACTTCTTGGTACTTTTGTGGGTACTTTTCAGTAAACAGCTGTTGTACTGAAACAACAGCAACATCAACTGTACACTGCATTTGACTGCAATCGTGAAATCCTGCTGTTGGTTTTCTTTCTTTCAGTGATCTACACAAAAGCTACATGAGCGCTCATAGCTCCCCCTAGTGGAGCTTCATTAGACTGCTAAGTGTGTTACAGGCCACGTCCAGGTGTTTGCATCCTTAAATTTAAAAAAAAAACAAAAAAAATTCTGTTGTTGCTGGAAAAAGATACATTTACGGAGAATATGGCAATGATGACATTATTTTTCTCCCCAAAATAATAAAGTACAGATGCCCTTGTATCAAACTGCTGAGCCGGGCCTGCACGGATAACACGCTGACTCAGCTTATTTCTTTATTAAACATTTAAATCTTGGAATTCTTCCACCTTGCTTCCTGACACTCTGGGTACACCACTGGGCAAGCCTGTATTCTTTCAATTAGTTTCAGTTATCAAGTTCTCTGCAGTGTGTGTTTATCTTTGTGTGTGTTTTTTAAGGTTATTAGGCTACATGAACCTTACACCATCATTTTCATTCATATAAGTATATTGAATTAAACTATATTGAGCTGAAGATGTGCTTGGATTACAGTCTGCCTGCATTAAACCCCAGAAAAGGTTTCAGATGCACCTCAGATACAGCCACATTTTTAAAACTGCAAAAATAAAATAACTTGTTGACTGACAGATAAAAGAGATGAATTGATAAAAATCAGTAAAAGAACAGATAATGTAAATAACTCAGCAGTAACTAAAAAGTAAAGGTTTCTAATAAATAAAAAGAATAATTAATGTAAGTCAAAATATTACATTAATCAAATTAAAAGCTAACTAAAATCAAAGTATATTTAGACTATATCATTGTACTATATTAACTATATGTTGACAACAGTTGACATATAACATAGTTAATACATAGATGACTATATATTAACCATATTTGCTCAGACGTGTGCTGGTAGGTAGCATTTTCTAAATCTAATAACTTTTCAGAAGTGAAGATATTTAATTGATCATGTAGGTCATGGTGGTTACTGGTTGGTTGCCAGATCTGATGGGCTTTTTTTCCATTTTGGAGTTTATTATTAGTCTACTACCCACTTAAAAAAGATGGTTCTTCAAGGGTTCTTTAGTAAAGGCAGTGATTCTATGTAGAACCATTTCATACTTAAATGGTTCTTTGCATGGTGAAATGGTTCCTCAGATTGAAGGATCTGCTGTATATGGTTCTATATAGAACAAATTTGAAAATGGTTCTACATAACACCAAAAAAGGGTTCTGTTATTGTTACAATGTCTAGCTTGTGACAACAGAAAACATTTTTAAGAAGAATCATTTTTATACAGAAGTCCAGAGAGGCCATGTACAGAGCCCTGATGATGACATCCTGTATAAATAAAAATAATGCATTGCCACGGCTTATTGGGAGTGAGATCCTAATGCGTAACTTAAGCAACTTGCTATTTCAAGATAACAATTTTGTTATCTTGCGATAATTAACTCGTTTTTTCTTTGATTTTTTTTTTATCTTGAGATAATAAGATAACTCGTTATCTTAAGATAACAACTTTGTTATCTTCAAATAACAAGATAAATAACTCATCTTAACATAACAACTTTTGTTAAAAGTTCAAAGATCAAATTCTAAGTGCATTTGATGGTTTCCTAATGGGATCTAAAGATGTTCTACAGGAAACTAGTGGTCTCCATTAACCCAATTCCCATTAGAAGGCAAAGCCGTTAGGTTTTAATCCTAATGATTTCTAATTGTCCCTTTTCAGCAGGCAGGTTTGCGCACCCTTGAGGATTGGAGGTGAAACACACAGCCACCAGATAAACAGGCCCCAGAGATGCTGCGATAGACTTCAAATAAACAACAAAGAATGGTTTCATACTGGCGGTTTGGGCGGAACGATCGTTCGGTGGTTGCTGCTGTGAGTCGGACATCATTTTGGGCACGTACAGAGGCAGAGATGTAAGTAAACATTTCTTGCAGTGTTTCGTTTTTGAGATTAAACTCGTTTTTGATGGTCCAGAAAACGGAGCGGTCAGCTGAGTTCGGAGGAGGACGGTGTGGAAGCTGTGTGGCTTCTAAATGGAGCAGTATAAACTGATCTGTTACTTTATTGGAGCTGTTTTAGTGCAGTTGTTGGATAATGCAGTGATGTACAGTATTTAAGTGGTGTTTTTCTGCTGAAAGCTGCCAAGTTAAACACTCAGACTTAAATAATCAGACATTTGACTTTATACTTGGACTTCTCAACCACAATAACTCGGTCACAGCCCATCAGTAACGTTACTCCATCTCCCATCTAACTCAATGGGGCACAGATAACCTTCTGCAGTTTGAATGTCTCAAAGATAAAGGAGATCATCAGCTCCCTAAACTCCCACTGCACTGTTCATAACCCAGTCACCATCAAGGGGGAGGATGTGGAGGTGGTGGACTGTTTTAAGTACTTAGGACTTAGAAATCAGCTTTGACCAACATGTAACGGACCTACAGGGTGCCCCAAAAAATTGACACCATTTGAGCTATGAATATCTGACTAACTACAGGTCCGAGACAAACGACATTAAATAGGCTTCATGTTGAACAATACAAGATTTATTTATCAAAATTCGAACAAGAAATTCAGAGGGATGTAGATTTTATAACCGGTTTCACGAAGCTTCACAAATGCAATATCTTCCGAATCGATACTGGTGGTCGTCCAGATCCCTTTGCCCTGCACAGACAGCCTTCCTCTTTGAATTTTTTGTGCCGTGTCCAAATCTGCTCTCCAGTTGGTGCATTTTTATTGAATTTTCTCGAAAACGCTCGCTGCACACTCTCATTTGACTGTGTTCGAGCATATTCTAACACAGAAAATGCTTTTTGTTTCTAGTGAACGTCATTCTTCAACCTGAAAAACAACATTAAAAATTAAACTTGGTTCGTTTTTACACATTTTGTTAAAATTTGAGATCATTTGAGGGAGAATTGGCTGTTATTAGACTACGAAATTATGTCAATTTTTTAGGGACACCCTGTATATAAGACATGTCAGCAGAGACTATGTTATTAGAAAGCTAAGGGCACTTCATGTAGCACCTTCACTGCTTTTGCTCCTCTATAGAAGCATAATTGAACCCATTATCCTGTACTGTTCAACATGATTTTTTTACAGTGTTAAAAGTGTCAAACATGAACAAATTGTTATGCATTACACATTCCCTCCAAAATCATAGGCCTCCCCACACACAACCTGTCAAATCTAAACAATAAGGCTGTTTTAAGAAGGGCCACCACAATAGTCCAGGACCCAGATCACCCACTCTTTCTTTACCTTACGTCCATCAGGCTGGAGATACAGAACATTAGTGTGTAAACAAACCAGCTTTGCAGAAAGCTTTGTACCTTCAGCCATATCAGCCCGTAACAAGCTACCTTGTTTAAATAGATGTTTCAAAGCTTGCTCTGAAAGAGAGTAACTGATTCAGACCTCATGTGTTTAAATGTGTGTCTTGGTCTTGTTGCTTGTACTTTGTTTTGTCCTGACAGTGTTTAGCCAAATATATGTAATTTTTCAGATGTCTGTCCCAGGGCAGTGTAAGAATGGCACAGGCTTTGAAAACAAATTTCTCTGGAGGACAATAAAATAATCTAATGTAATCTAATCTAATCTAATTTGAACTAATAGTTTTGTACTAGACCATGCACTTAAAAACGATCAGGCATAACATTATGACCTCCTTGTTTCTACGCTCATTGTCCATTTTATCAGCTCCACTTACTATATAGGTGCACTTTGTAGTTCTACAGTTACAGACTGTAGTCCATCTGTTTCTCTGCATACTTTGTTAGCCCCCTTTTACCCTGTTCTTCAGTGGTCAGGACCCCCATGGACCCTCACAGAGCAGGTACTATTTGGGTGGTGGATCATTCTCAGCACTGCAGTAACACTGATGTGGTGGTGGTGTGTTAGTGTGTGTTGCGCTGGTCTGAGTGGATCAGACACAGCAGTGCTGCTGGAGTTTTTAATCACCTCAGTGTCACTGCTGGACTGAGAATCCACCAACCAAAAATATCCAGCCAACAGTGTCCTGTGGGCAGCATCCTGTGACCACTGATGAAGGACCAGAGGATGACCAACACAAACTGTGCAGCAGCAGATGAGCTATCGTCTCTGACTTTACATCTACAAGGTGGACTGATGAGGTAGGAGTGTCTAATAGAGTGGACAGTGAGTGGACACAGTGTTTAAAAACTCCAGCAGCACTGCTGTGTCTGATCCACTCAGACCAGCACAACACACACTAACACACCACGTAAAGTGTGCAGCGCAGTATTAACAAGTTGTTGTTGTTGTTGTAAAAGTCAGTTCTGTTAATATAATAAATAACACAACTTAGCTGGATGTTACTGACATTGATGGTGAATGAGTTTAATATTTGGTTGGTGGAACTGATGCATTTAAACTGTTAGTAAACTTTTAGTTTGTGTAATAACTGTTTTTTTTATTATTATAAGAACAACATTAATAATAACAATATGAAGAAGAATAACTAATTTATGTTGCACCTTTCACACATAACATGCAGCCCAGTGATTCACAACATAATGAAACATTAAAACAGTAAAGACAATAACAAAAGAACAGAAGTAGCGTAACTAAGAAGAAATAAAACAAGAAATAAAAACATAAAATTAAAACGATATAACGATATGATATCAATATGACATACATCTGAGATGAAGTAGTCACTACCAATAATGTAATAAACGCAAACGTTATAGAAACTCATAATGTAATAAACTGCCGATAATGTAATAAAATCCTCGTACAATAGTTTAATAAAATGTTGGTGCATAATGTAGTAAGATTTCACATTTTGTGCCTTTATTATATTATAAACCGAGTGGCAGAATTTTCAAGAATACTGTATTAATGTCAGCACATAATATTATAGCACTTTATAATCCGCTGTTGTAATCATCTGAGTGTGTTCAAATTCACTAAAGTCATGTTTTAATTCTATTTTTAAGGTGAAAATGATAAAACTAGACAGATAATGTAATGGCTTAATAGCACGATGAAGTAATTAAGTTGACTGTTTTAGTAATGTGAGTAAATTTCAAGTCATTGTAAGCATCTGATGGTTTTAATAATTTGTTAGCCATTAATTTATTGATATAATTAAGATTTACTATGGATTTGGACTTTTTAAACATGAACTGTTTTAATAAATTTTTTTAATAAAATAATTTAAAGTGATATAATACTGAGTAACCCAAAATATTTTGAAGATGATATCGTTTTAACAGATTTTACTGCAAACATGCAGTTATGAGGTTCCTTCTGGTGTAGATTCATGATGATTTGTGTGATAATAGCGCTCCCTGCTGGAGAAAGAAGGTGTTTTGCTTTGTCATCTATAGATGCCTTTGGAAAAACATACAGTATTATATTTTCACCGTTTTTATAATTAAACCCATCCGGGACACTTAAATTGTGAGGGAAATACTGCAAATTCATTTCCAGTATTATGAAATCCAGTAATGAAAGTTGTGAAGATTTCCATGAATTTTATAATTACTCTGAATTTCACTGTGCCCATCAGAACATGCCCCCAGCAGCTGAAGTCGAGGGAGATCAGCGAATGTCTCCTGGTGCTCTGCTCCCCACCAGAAAGGCTTGGACACGAAGAAACCCCCCCACTCACCACTGCCCACAGTGTGGGAAGAGTTTTACTCAGCAGAACAGTCTTCAGCGACACCTCCTCATTCACTCAGGAGAGAAGCCGTATCGCTGCTCCGAGTGCGGGAAGACTTTCGTTTACGAGACTCATCTCAAAACACACCAGCGCGTCCACACAGGAGAGAAACCGTATCACTGTCCGCAGTGCGAGAAGAGTTTTACTCGTCAGAGCATTCTCCGACAGCACCTGCTCATTCACAGCGGAGAAAAGCCGTACGACTGCTCTCAGTGTGGGAAGAGATTTACTCAGGTGGGTCATCTCCAGCTCCACCAGCGCATCCACACCGGAGAGAAGCCGCACTGCTGCTCAGAGTGTGGGAAGAGCTTCATCCATAAGAACAGCCTCCAAAAGCACCAGTACATTCACACAGGACAGAAGCCGTATGACTGCTCTCAGTGTGGGAAGAGATTTATCGACTCGCATACTCTCCAGCAACACCGGCGCATCCACACCGGAGAGAAGCCGTATCACTGCTCAGAGTGCGGGAAGAGTTTCAACCAAGTGGGTCATCTCAAAACACACCAGCGCATCCACACTGGAGAGAAACCGTACGGCTGCTCGCAGTGCGGGAAGAGTTTCAATCGGCGGGATTATCTCCAACAGCACCAGCGCACTCACACAGGAGAGAAGCCGTACTACTGCTCGCTGTGCGGGAGGAGTTTTGCTCAGTGGACTAATCTCCAGCAGCACCAGCGCATTCACACAGGAGAGAAGCCGTATTGCTGTTCACAGTGCGGGAAGAGTTTTACTCAGAAACATATTCTCCAGCAGCACCTGGGCGTTCACACGAGAGAGAAGAGCATCGGTGCTCAGAATAGGGTTGGGCAATATGACAATGTTGTATTGTTATCATGATAAATTACCCCACAACACTCTTTGCTGATCATATCGTGGGTATCATCTGTACATTACTGCAGGTTTGATTTCAAAGAGAGCGTAATTAGTGGTTATAGATGATGAATGAACATGCTAAGTCCAGATAGGGTCATGGTAGCAGTTGGGAGAGCAGAGAATCCCTGTCCCCAACTTCCTCCAGCTCATTCCAGGGGATGCCAAGCCGCTCCCAGGCCAACTTGGAGATATAATCCTTCCAGCAGGTTCTAGGACGACCCCGAAGTCTTGTCCCAGCCGGCCGTGCCTGGTAAACCTCCATGGGGAGGCGTCCAGGGGGCATCCTGATCAGATGCCCGAACCACCTCAACTGGCTTCTTTCAATGTGGAGGTGAAGCAGCTCTACACCTCCCGGATGGCCGAGCTTCTCACCCTGCGAAGTAGAGTATATCCCACCACCCTGCGAAGAAAGCTCATTTCTGCCGCTTGTATTCATGATCTCATTCTTTTGGTCATTACCCAAAGCTCATGACCACAGGTGAGGGTTGGGATGTAGACCAACAAGTAAACAAAGAGCTCTGCCTTATGGCTCAGCTCCCTCTTCACCATTACAGTCTGGTACAGTGACCGCAATACTGCTGCCCCAGCCTGTGGCCGTCTCATAATCCCTCTTCCCATCATTCGTGAGCAACATCCCGAGAGACTTAAACTCCTCTAGCATGTGGAATGATGAAGAAAAGTCATTGCACTTACGGTATTTTTAAAATTTTTTAAATGTGGCAGCAGTGGTGCCTTCTGTGTGTTCCAACACTAGTTTAGTGATGCATATCGGGTATCATAAATGTTTTTTCAGAGTGCTGTAAAGTTAGGATAGGATAGGATAGGATAGGCATCAGTTAGCCTTGTGTGCTCAATACACGGTCGCTGGTTCGTGGTCCGTCCCTCCTTGGACCACTGTCCAACCCAGTTGTGTGGACATAGCAATTTGGTCCTTGTCAAAGTTGCTCAGCGCTACACCTCGACTACGAGAACCGTTCACTTATCGTCTGATATTCCCGACCTTGACATGCACCATTGTTTTGAGAAATTTGAGGTTATCCACTTCAGCTGTGAGTGGTCATAATGTTTTGGCTCACCTGTGCTCTCCTCTCTGCATGCGCTGATGGTCCATGATGCTGTAGAATGTATGCAAATATGTTTTCAAAGTTCAGAAATTTTATATAACAAAAGAACAATTTAATTAGCCATCACAGTACTTAGACCAGTGTAGACGCACAGTTTGTAAATATCTTGGTTATAAAAGATGTTTTGTTGCTCAAGGCTGTTTCAGCAATACGGTGGAAGTAGTGATGATGATCAAGTGAAAATTTCTCATGTCAGTGAACAGTTGATGGAGAGCATGGGCCTGGAGAGAGATCCCAAATCGCCTGTTTGACGTTCTAGATGTTTATTAATGTCTGTAGTGGATGGTATGAACAGTATGTGAGTACTTGATATCTTCTCCTCTTGCTCTAATATTATAATGTGCATCAGTGTTGACGTAAATCTTTGATCTTGCCACAGAAGAGACCCAGGAGACCGGGGTTTGACTGATTTCTACAAAATGTCATGTTTACTGCTTAAAATGTTTCAGCTGATTAAGCTGATTTTTATTTAGTTTTTTTTTCAAAACGTTTTTACATACATGACTGAGATTGTACACTTTTAAAAATGGATGGTTCTTCAAGGGTTCTTTGGTAAAGAAAATGGTTCTATGTAGGATCATGAACATTCAAAGAACCCTTTGCATGATTAAAGGGGTCTTTGCATTGTGAAAGTGTTTTTCACATTTTTCAAGAGAATGTGCTGTAGATGGTTCTATATAGAACCTTTCCGTAAAAGTTCTATGCAGCACCAAAAAGGTTCTGCTATTGTTATGATGTCAAGCTTGTAATATTAGAAGAACTGTTTTAGATGCTATATAGAGGCCTTTTCAAAAATGTTCTATAGAGAACCCTTTGCATGATTAAAGGGTTCTTTGTATTGTAAAAGGGTTCTTCTGATTGATAGAGAAGGTGCTGTAGACGGTTCTATATAACACCTTTTTTAAAATGGTTCTATGTAGCACCAAAAAAAGGTTATGCTATTGTTGTGATGTCTAGCTTGTAATAATAGAAGATCCCCTTTAGGGTGCTATATAGAACCTTTTCTAAAAAGGTTTTATATAGAACCATCTACAGTACATTTTCCATCAATTTGAAGAACGCTTCGCCATGTAAAGAACCATTTAATCATGCAAAGGGTTCTTTGAGTGTTCATGGTTCTTTATAGAAACATTTTCTTGAAGAACCATTATTTTTGAGTATGTAGGACTGTTTGAGTTGCTAATTCATTACCATATAGGTGTAACATCACTGGAGATCTACACTACAAAGCAAGCCAGTACGATGCAAGTCCACCCACAGTGCTGTTTCCTTCCTGCTGACCTCTACAGTCATTACTGGTGCCTGGCCGTCATGAATCAGCATCAGTCACTGAGTCGGCTGATTAGATCTATCAGTGTCTGGCCGTCTGGGCATCGAGGTGCGCCCTCACATTCCTCAGCATCTCCGCATACAGCCTGTTAGTCTCACTGAACAAAGAAAAAACCACAAAACAGCAAAAAAATTTAATGTATTAAATATTAAATAATATGAAAAAAACAATGGTGATGCTAAAAGGAAAGGAACTATGTTCTCACATTATCAGTAGCTCAATTTTACTGATAACACAGTATAGATTCACATGTAATGTTTTATGATATTAATGTAAGTGAGTGCTCACTTGTTTTGAGAGAACATGATGTCAAAACTATATCATTTTTTACATTTTACAGCAGGGACTCTTATGCCAGCATGCTTAAGAGGTTTATGATGCTATTGTTTGTAAAAATTCAGCCACCAGTCATTTGGTTTTTCATATCCGACACACATACAGCGACAAATAAGTATAATTTATTCATATTCAGCTCAGGAACAGCTGCACAGGTGTCAACCCATTTGAGTTGCCTGTATAAAATATGAAGGTCTTGGAGGTATATGGTCATATAAGAGTGGGATATGGGAATCTACTGTAATACAGGTTCCCAAAGAAGGAAAATAGTTACATTCTTGTGTAATACATTCTTATATTTGCTATTAAATTTCCTATACTGTTATAAAGAAATTATCTTTAAAAAGCTGATTTTAACAAAATTAAAATATTGAGTTAATTGAACATCTAATAGTAAGTTAACAGAACAAGAATTTGTATCTGATGCTCTGTCAATGTGTTATTTAAAGTTTAATTTACTTAAACTTTTCCAGCCTATTTTTAAGTTTAAAAATAATTTTTTGTGAAAATGCACCGCACACATACTAAGCTGTGCCAAAAGGAGTCTCTGTTAGTCTGCAGCAAAAGAAATATCATATTCATACAGTTTGGAGGTGGTGAATATAATGAGTTTCTTTATACTATCTATCTGTCTATCTGTCTCTCTCTCTATCTATCTACTATAATGGTATAATGGTTGAGAGCGATGGTTTCCATAACTATATGTACAACAGCATTACAAATCAAAAAACAACAGCAGATCAATATGAACAGATATGGTGAAGCTAGTTTTTCTTCTCGTCTCTGTCTACATGCACTGTAAGCTCACTGGCTTCCAGCTCTGCCTGTTTGAAATGCTTTTTAATGCCAGTCCTTAAATTAGACTGACAACACTTCACCTGGTGGTTATTACGCAAAGAAACGTTTCTCATTCGCCTGGATAACATCAGCCAGATGTCCAGTATGAATGAGGGGTCAGATATCTCGCTTTGAACCAGGAATCATGTTCTGTAATGTGGGTTTAGGTGATCTCGATCTTCTCAAGTCTTCAGTTCAGTTGGCAGTTAGTGCCACCAAAATAACTAAGAAGCAGCTCAACTTATTAGCTTTTAGTCTGTCAGATAGTCACCCAGCACTATTATGTGATGATTAATTATGCCACAATGCACCACATTGATGCCACTTTTACACACTTAAAATGATCATTCTTCAGGGGTTCTTTAGTAAAGGCAATGGTTCTATATAGAACCATTTGCATTTGCATTGGTTCTTCAAACTGATGGAGAATGTGTTGTATATATAACCTTTTTGAGAAGGGTTCTATATAGCACCAAAAGAGGTTCTTATATTGTTACAAGCTTGACATCGTAACAATAGCAGAACCCCATTTGGAGCTACATAGAACCCTTTTCAAAAAAAGGTCCATATAGAAGCTTCTACAGCACATTCTCCATCAATTTGAAGAGCTCTTTCACCATGCAAAGAACCCTTTTAGCATGCAAAGGGTTCTTTGAGTGTTCACGGTTCTATATACCATAATCGTCTTTGCTATAGAACCCTTCAAGAACCATCTTTTTTAAGTGTGTTCTTAACATGTTGTAAAGACATTTGTTAGCATGTGTGCTAGCGGGTAGTGAGAGAAAGAGAGAAAGAGAGAGAGAGACTAAGTTCATATTTTCACTCTCAGAGTAAGTTCTAAGCTTGACTCTACATATGAGACTGCATAAATGTATGGTTTATGTGCATCAAGCAGTGTACAAATGTAATTTTATTTCGCTTTAATGCAGCAATATGAATAATAGGTAAGCTAGGCTAGATAGCTAGCAAATAGTTGCTTTGGGTGTAGTGCCTATTTGTTATTAATATTTATCAATGAAACTCAACAGTTAAAATTAGACTGATATCATTCAAATAGTCAACATTTTAGTCATAATTATTTGTTTTGGTGCTTTAATTTGAAGTAAAAATCAGTCTTGATGCCAATACAAGGCTAATGACTGTCTTACTGCTCCGGCCTGCTAGCTAGCAGTCTTGTAGCTGTATTTGTGTCCAAAAAGAAATGAGAGCATAGCTAAATTTAGCATCATCACTTGTAAAGCAACTTGCCAATTAACCAAAGTTATGCTTAAATGCTGAATTCACTCATTAATGTGAACTGAAAGATTCATTTGATGTATAATTTGAACAGGAGAGTGACAAAGGAAAACAGTCTGGCAGACAGAGAAGGGGTCACTGTAGTCCAGGGTAAAGTGCTGAATAGTATTTAAATTACATTTTAAAATGTGAACATTTTTAGAGTTTAATCCTACACTCCTACCTTTCTCTCCCCCTGTCATAAACTAACTGGTGGTCCTTCGGGTCATGAATGTAAAGACCAAGCGTTTGGTGAGAGTTTATGGGTCATTTCTACATTGACAGTGGGAATTCAGGTGGATACATTTTTAAAAAATCAGTTTCTTTCATCCCAAAACTAAATAATCTTAATATGTCCATTAACATCTCCTATTATCATATATGCAAAAAGGAGAGCTTAATTCCAAACATATTTTACAGTCACTGGTGTTACATGAATATGGTGTAACACCACTGACATTCTGGTTAAAACTGAGGATTTTGTAATCCAGCAGTCAGGTGACCTTCTGCAACTATTTAAAATCAGTAATAAAAATGATATTTGGCATTATTTTGACAAAATTTTAATTAACCAGCCATCAAATCACATAACACCACTGACACATAGAAGATGTGCTGCCTGATAAACAAAATTCTTAATAAAAAAATTAATGAAATATAGTGGGCAAGTGTGACTCGCCTTCTCATGCCTTGGGATGCTTCCTCTCTGATGAGACTCGAACCAAAGAGGCAGTTTAATAGAGCTAAAAATACTACGTTAAAATGTAAAATAAGAGTGCTGATAACATCAGTGACCAAAATCTCTGAGACAAATGATTTTTTTATATAAAATACATATTTTCTAAATGTAGAATAACGTTAATGATATAAAAAGTAAACATGTATCTGTTTTATACAAATTCCTAAGTTAAACCTCTTAAAAATACTGTTTTATATTAAAAAATGGTTTCTCAAATGTTGAAAATTGGCTGTGATGAGCTGTTTTACATACGCAGAGCGTCTAGGAAATCTGAGAAATCATAAGGGAAAAGTGTTATTTAATCTTAGGTCAACTGTGTAAATGTACATACCGACTTTTGGAGCTGTGTCTAATATTTTAAACATCTTTTTAAGCCCTGTAACCTTTGTGACATGCTTTCCCACTCCAAATGGAGAATGGCCCTTATACACAAGACTTGCAGTGAAAATTAGTTTAAGAGCTTAAACATAATGAATTACTCTAATCTGAAGAATGAATGAGCCAAAGATATAAACACATAACAGTCACTCACTCAGCCACAGAGCGGTCAAACATGAGGTTGCCCATGTCCATGTAATACTGAGCATCTGTTCTCAAAGCAGTCCAGTATTCATTGGCCTGTTGCAGAAAGCAGACCATTAAACTTGCATAATTGCAGACGCATGCACACAGTGGAAGAGAGAGAGCCGGCTATGGTCATTTAATCACCTGCTCCTGAATGGTGTAGCCCCACACGTTCTGTGAGTGGTTGGGGTCCCAGTAGCCTGCCTGCCTCTTTGGACGAATGAACCTCTTGGCCTGCTCCTCATTAACAAACGGAGCTGTGAAAACCCCTAAATGAACCACGCAAAGCAGTTCAGTGGCTTCATCAAAAAACTTCAAAAATACACAATAATCACATTCATACAGGATCAATAAACACACAGTATTTTTATACTTTTGATTTTTGTTTATATAAAGAAACAATCAAACAGTAAACAGGGACTATAAAAAGCTTAAAATAATAATTATATAGATTACGTGCATTTAAATAACATCTCATAATTAACTCACCTCCCAGGAGGACCAAAAGCAACACTATACGCATCATTCTTCTCATCTGAAGCAAGAAAGAGAGAGAATTAAGATATTTATTATAAAAGAACAAACAACAGATATTATAAATATATTTTCTCTAAATAACACCTCCCAAAATTTGTGCGCAAAAACAGCTACATTGGCAACCCAAAGTATCCTATGCGAATATATTTTCCCATAACCTCATAAGAAAAATATATTTTATTTTCAAATGTGTATTATTATTATCTTCCAACTTTTCTGTGAGAGATGCTGTTTCTCTGCTATACTGAGCTGTTTGAGCTCTTTCCGTTTAGAAAGGCTATAGGATTTCTGCTCATCTCTCCATATAAGAGCAGCACTTCTTTGCACTCTGCTCTCCTCCTCAGGGCAGCTCTACCTCTCCACCACACAATTTGGGTTTTTTGTAAGAGGCATGTGAGGGAAATCTGATCCTGAATCAATGCCTAAATATTCTTCCTGGAAAAAAATGTAGGTTTTGCTACATTTACGGTATTGATACACAATGTTTTTGCTGAAAAAGCTTTTTCGGCATTCATAAAATGTTACAGACAATTTCTATTTCCATTGCCTACATCAACCAACTTATGGAAACAAAAAATAATTTGAATGGAAATGTATTTAATATCTGTCAGATGTCAGTCATGAAGGGCTCTGAAAGTAAGAACTAATATAGGTAAATTGGTGAGAAAGCGGTAACCAGTGCAAACCTGTATGTAGTGATCTCAGTGATTTAACTTTGGCTACTACACTACAGCACATAATACTATACTATACTATTCTACAGTATACCACATACTACTATACTATAGCACATACTACTATACAATACTATTCTACAGTATACCATAGGACACCACTTACTGCTATAGCACATTCTACTATACTATAGTATTTTATAGTATACTATAGTATACCACTTACTACTATACTACAAAACATAATAGCACATAATACTATACTATACTATTTTATAGTATACTATAGTATACCACTTACTACTATACTACAAAACATACTACTATACTATACTATTCTATTCTACAGTATACCACATACTACTATACTATAGCACAAACTACTATACTATTCTATTCTACTCTACTGTATACCACATACTACTATACTATAGCACAAACTACTATACTATACTATACTATACTATACTATTCCACAGTATACCACATACTACTATACTATAGCACATACTACTGTAAAATACTACACCATTCTATAGTATACTACAGTACTACTATACTATAGTATACCACTTAGTTAGTACTATACTACACTATTCTATTCTACAGTATACCACATACTACTATACTATAGCACATACTACTGTAACACCATTCTATAGTATACTACAGTACACCACTTACTACTATACTATAGCATATACTACTGTACTATACTATTCTATAGTATACTTTAGTATACCATGCTACTATACTATACTGTACTATACCACATTACCACACTATACTAATGAAAGTCTAATGGAACATTGTAAGTGTATAATAGAAGATTGTAAGTGTTGTAGCCACAAAAATCCAAGTCTTTGATGTGAGCACAAGTCATTTGAAGTATTTAGAGAGGTCAGATCTCACTACCTTGATAATCATGGCAGCAGCACAGGCTGACCCTGACTCAGTGTGGTTTAGCTCAGCACTGTGGACTACATAAAGCTCTAGTCATTTATATGAATTAAACTTACAGTGCTGAGAATAGACCAACACCAGCTGAGCAGCATTTAGACAGAAAATAGGTGATAAGCTAACTCTGTAAGCAACAAGCTGACAAAATCTAACTGAGGACCACAGTTCAGACATGTCTATAGGCTTTAGTACTATACACCAACAACTTTCAGATGCACAGCATGAGCCAGCTTACCAGAATTCATTCATTACAAATTAAAAGACCTACCTTTTAACACAAAGCCTTGCAGTGGTGGAAACTGTGTGGTGTGTCAGGTCTCAGGTTAGCTGTTGGAGAAGGGCTGGACAGGGGCTAGCCGAGGCCAGAATGAGGCAGACGAGAAACAGGGCTCTCTTTCAGTAAAGGAGAAAATTCTTGAGGTTTCTCTGTACGTCAGCAGCTATGAACACACACCACCACTGAAGCCAGAGCTGAAGAAATGAAGCATTCACACTCAGTTAGGATCTCACTCACTCAGTGGTTTACAGTCCCAGTCTTGAGGAGCCCCTGCTATAAAAAAAAAAAAGGATGCGCAATCATATTGGAATCAAATCAGTGCTAGCAGATAGTTGTGAGAGAAAAAAGGATCTGCTCTAGACAGAATTTTAGGTTTGGGCCAATATATATATAAAAATAAAAGAAACCATTAAAACCAGTGTTAGTGTGTTGCGCGGTGCTGCTGGAGTTTTTAAACACTGTCTGACACTTACTGTCCACTCTATTAGTTACTCCCACCTTCTTGATCCAACTTGTAGATGTCAGACAGTAGCTCATGTGCCGCTGTTTGTGTTAATCATCCTCTAGTCCTTTGTCAGTGGTTCTCAGTCCAGCAGCGACACTGAGGTCTATAAAAACTCCAGCAGCACTGCTGTGTCTGATCCACTCACACCAGCGTAACACACACTAACACACCACCACCACATCAGTGTTACTGCAGCGCTGAGAATGATCCACCACCCAAATAGTACCTGCTCTGTTGGGGTATATATACACACACACATATATATATATATAGGCTTCTGAAGGAATTTCCTTTAAAAGTCTGTTTACACAGTAAGCGTTTATTTGCTCAGAAAAACACCAATATGTACACACACACACACACACACACACACACACACACACACTATAGTGAGGCTAAACTGACTGACTGCCAGGGTAACTGAAGTGATATTCAATTCCTGGAAACCAGTTAGTCTTTAACAGAAATACAGAGAAAACACAGGAAAAACCTTCGGCAAACGTTCTTGAACATAAAAAACTAAATACCAGACATATTCTCTACTATCTTTTACATTTTATTATTGAAAAATCTTATTCATGTACAGGGGATACAGATACACATGTGCACACTTAGTTAAAACACAATATACTTTTATATAGTGCTTAATCTGAAATAATACTAAAACACAATGAACCAGTTTACCAGACCCAGATTAAGCCTAAAGAATCTCCAATGATGAGTGACTCCCTATAGGCACTGGAGTCTCCAAAAGCAAGAGCGAAACATATTTACGAGGGGTATAAACTTCCTCCATGCCAAAACTGGTGAACAGAAGGGATGAGCACAGAAAAAAAGATTTAGTTTTGCGTAATTAAGGAATTAAAACGGCTCTGTCTTTTGCTGTCTGGCCATTTGTCAAGAAACTGAGGAAGGAAGACAAACAGGCTTTTGTCTTCAGAAGTATGAGCCAGTCCATCACACTAACACTAGCCTTTGTGTGGACTTTAGTGTGCTGAACAAAGCCAACGGCACTGCAACACAGCTGCAGTCGTTCATTATTACAATAACTAACACACACACACACACACACACACACACACACACACACCATCCATACCTATGATAAATTATCAAAAATGCATATTGTTCATTACGAAAATAATAAAGGACTGGCAGGAGGAGCTCTTGGGCAACCTCCCAGATACGATTTGTCTGTGTAAAGCATTGCAGGCAGTGTAAACTCAAATGAGCCATAAAGAATATTTCAGACAGCACACAGAGGAAGTGAACTGTGTCTGGATGTCCGATAACATCGGCTTCAGACCACAATTCCCAAATCTGAGCAGAATTCTGTAAGAATGCAGCAGGGTACAGGGTATAACAGTGCAATCGGCCTAGAGGAGGTACACAAAGACAGAGAGCCTGCACCACTCTTCAGTATGACAGGAAGTTTTCACCCAAAATTCACAGCGATGTGGACAGCCAGAGGCTTCTTTTCACAGTTGTACAGTCCTCCCCCTTCCCAGAACGTACGGGATCACAACGAAAACATGCACTGTTTGATCGTTAAGCACAAAACAAACATGATCTAATGTATATTTTGAACATGACCAAATAAAAAAAAGAAAAAAAGAAAAAAAGAAGTGAAAGCAAGTGCCGATTCGTCATATGCATATGCAGTGTCACAGTAACATACACAGGCAGCTGAACTCCAACACAGGCAGTGCTGTTCATGCCAGAAATCAATATTAGGCTCCCAGCAGACCAACCACATCAAATCCAATGATTTGACTATCAAATACTTGCTCTGAGTGACATTATGTGCGTGTTAGAAGACCAAAATTCCCTTTGTGTCATGCTGGTAAGAAAATTTTCAGAGCTATAGAATTTGCCTAAATTAAAGGGGAACTCCAAAACTTCTGCATAATTAAATCATTAAGACGTAAAGAAAATCAGAGTGGTTTGCACCAGAGTGGTGGTGATAGGAACTAGACGTCCATGTCTAAAAGCTCTCTCATAGAAAGTTATTACATGAACTGGTATGAATACCTGATGTCACCGTTTTATGATAGTTTTGAGGGGATTTTGGCCTTAAAACCCATTCATGGTGGAGGGTTACATAATATGCAGGATGTTGAGGCAAAATAGTCCCCAAAGAAAACTTCTTATTTCAGATTTTCCATTATTTTACCATCATCAACATGACATATAAAACCACAGAAGACACGTGTGCGTTCACTGGTGGTTTTGGATAGTAAATAAAATGTCTACATTTGTGTTGTAGACATGGTGAGCCCTGGTTCCTATCACCACCACTGTAAAGAAATCTGAACCATTTCACACCAAACCACTCTGAATGACTGTTTACATCTCACACACTGAATTATGCAGACATTTTGAAAAGAAAATCCACTTTAAGGAAAGAAAATGTCACAAATACCAGCTAGGTATGTATGAAATAACCACAGATAACACATGGTTATGCAACCAATCAGCATCTCGCTCTTCTATGCCATTAACAACCCTCATTATTATCCTGACAGGCTTACTTTAGCATTTCACCTTCACGTAATCGTAATGAAAAGCATCTGGGCTAAACAACTTTTGGTGCTGGATTGCAGCTATACCCACTAGATTACAACTGATAACACAAGCAAAGCAAGCTACATAGTGAAAACTCTTGTTAGCTAGCAGAGCTGTTTCTCTCTTGTAATTTTTATTACACACTTTGGAGTTTTTTGGGGGATTCTGAGCCATGCTAACTTACATTACATCCATGGGCTAACGACAGGCTTGCTGTCATAGACTATTTCTCACAGTCGTCCACAGATGTTCTCATTACCAGATCACGTTTAGCCCCGCAAAACTAACCTGAACCAGCTATTACGAACAATGAACACCTGTGCACAGGTGTGTTGGAACAGGATTAGAGCAAAAATGTCCCACTGTCTTCAAAAACCATGTAGGAATGTGGTGAGATGAGACTCTCTGGTGATAAATTAGAGGAAATGTTCAAACAAAAATAAAGGCACGCATTCTAATGCATGTCTTTCTGTGATTTGTCCCTTCTGAGCTACTGTATAGAGGGACCAATAAAAAGGGAACAGTTGGGTCAAGCCTTAGATAAGGTAAAAAGGTGAAAAACTCTTAACCATAACAAGATGGAACAAAACAAAAAAAGAACGAAGGCGTGAAGAATGAGTTCCTTTTGCTGAACATGTTGCACGTTGTCGTTTTGTGGTGCTCTCACACAGATCAAGATTAGGTTTGCCTGAGGAGGGTTGTATATAAGTTTGTGTGTGCGTTCACTACATCAGTGTTGTCCCAAAGGTAAGAACAACTACCTACAAGCAAGGTGTCATTTACCTGCTGAGCATTTGGACATTAAAATATAACTACATGGCTTCTGACCACATGTGATATCAGACAGTTGTGTTTTCTGTAACACTTGGATTCCTCTCCCCAGTTCCCCTCCCACCAACGCAGCCTCTTTCCTTCAAAGTCAATCAAGGCCCTCTCCAACCCCAACTGATACTATGTCCACCTCATCCCAGTGTGGTCAGCTTGTCAATAAGGTCATCGATGGTGTACACCATCAGCTTGATGTCGTCCTTCTCAGACATTCGGTGGCGGCCGTGCTTGCGGAGTATGACGTCCACATCGTTGCTGAGCACTCGTTCAGCCACCTGCATAGAGACATGCCATGGAACATCAGCATCCTTCATGCCGTGGATGAGGCGCACAGGGCAGGCCACTGGGATTGGGCTCTGCAGGATGCAGTGGTTCTCCGCTTCCTTAAGAAAGTCTAGGCTGAGCGTGTACGAGCCCTCCTCGTTGTGCCGGGTGGGGAAAGACCACGAGCCACACTCCTCAATCTCCTTCTTTGTCTGAAAGGGGGCGACAGAGGCAACACAAAAACATGAGAGCAGCATTTACTCAGCAGTATTCGGATGCCTTCACAAGTTTTTAGCGTCTTCCCTGCCTTTTCACACTTTGTAAAACTTTTAGATAGAACAAGTGGAAAATACCAAGTTCAACTCTCTGCAAGAGGTCCTGCATGATCTGCAAATCGATTTGCAGGCAGGTTTAATGTTGAGCCACTGCAGTCATAGCAGGAAATCAGCCAACTGATGTTTTGCAGGTGGGTATTATAACTCATTAGGTAAAGAGGACTCAGACAATTATTGGCTCCTTGTGGAAGTCGACTGGCGGGCAAGTGTGCCCCAGAGAAAAATGTTAGTAATTATAAGATACTGCATACAGATAATGAAACTATATAACCTCCGCTAAAGAACTTCTGCATAAAATCTAACTGCATTTTTTCCAAGGAAATTGTTTTGGCTTTTTAACTCCCGTCACTGCAAGCCACATCTATCTAACTATGCTGACTTTAATATAAATCTGGTTGACTTGTAGATGCTTTTTAGCGTTATTAGCTATAAAATAATGTTGATACAGTGGCAAAGTGAAGCCAAGCTGCTCGGCTATGCTACCATGCACTTGTCTGCTGACATGAACCCCGTGTACACCTGGTCACTTCATACGTCTTGAGTATTAGGATTATATCTGGATGAGGCCAAACCACAAAAAAATGCAAGTGTAAACACAAGACACTTTTGAAACAAAGCTATAACTTGAATATAGCAGTGTAAACGCGTCAGTCTCTCCAAGACATGTTTGACAACCAAAACCCCTCCCAGTACAACCAAAACCCTTCCCAGTACAGCCGAAACATCTCCTAGTACAGCCAAATCATCTCCCTGTACAACCAAAACTCCTCCAAGTATAAGCAAACCCCTCCCAGCACAACTAAAACCCCTCGCACTACAACCAAAACCCAAACCTCCTCCCAGCACAACTAAAACCCCTCCCATTACAACCAAAAACCCTCCCAGCACTAGTAAAACTCTTCCTAGTACAGTTTTGTTTATCCTAAAAGTACGCAAAATATTAAATTACTTATGTTTACTTTTGTGTAGCAGGATGTGTAGGTGTACGGCGGGACTGGAGGCTGATCTGCAATGCTGTGGAGGCTGGGTGGGCATGCTGAAGGCCAATGGTGCAGATTACACATGATAAATGTAGGCAAGTGCGGACAAGGACCACAGCCCAAATTATATGCGCAGACTGCCATGACATGGTTGAAGAAGGTGAGTGTGATAAATAAGGGCACTAGGTTTCTGTGGGCAGGTGCCGGTGTGCAGGTGGGTGCGATATGTGGTTGAGTGACATTAATAATTAAGCCTATACAGACCTCTATACACAATACATAAATTGCCAGCTTGTTAGGTACTTTACATGCACACAAATTGTACAGTCCAAACGTCCGGCATCACGTGACTCTCGTGCAATGCGATCATTTCCGCATGGTACAACATTCTTACATAATGCAGCATCTTGTTGTGAAGCCCAAAGGAGATGCAAGATGGATTACTAGATGGGTGTGGCTAATAAACTGCCAACTCAGTATAGTTGATGAAACTAATAAATTCCTGCCTTTTGAGCTGTGATGAAGTCCAGGTGTTCTCACCTCTATCGGCAGAGTGTTGAAAGCTGTCACAAAGTGATCGGCAGCTGTGGAAATGCCCACCAGGGCAGCGATCTTCTCCGGCCTTGCGAGAGCAGCCAGCAACATCAGCCAGCCTCCCATACTGGAGCCAACCAGTATCTACAGTAATGAGAAAGTCACATTAGAAAGAGAAAGAGGGTGGACACTTTGAGGACCCTGTCTATTAGAATGCTGATCTGAAATCAGGTTTTAACATAAGAATGAAAGGGTCCTGATACCCAGTCAGCATTTTTCCTCCGAGACGCTTGAAAAATATGCACTGTTGTCTTGTTCTGTAGTTTCCTTTTATGTTACCAGCCAAGTGTGATACAAAGTTCTAAGATGCTAAGTTTAGGTTTATGTATGTGTATGATTATTGAAGAGCTTTGGCAGCTTTGGAAGCCACTCTTATTAATTTTTATAAAATATCACACACTGTACTATTCTGAACTCTGGAGACGTGCAGGCTTTATGGATCCAGTCCACCAATCTAGCTAATCTTCTCTTCTTAGTATATATTTTGGAGACTGAGCACTGAGTTCCTGAACTGAGTTCCAGCTTGCCTACCAACCTGGCGACGTGGTCTTCTTAATGTGACCTGCAGCAAGTTATGTGCAGCTTTCTACTGCACTCGCCCACCCTATATAATATGATATCATGCACCATATTTTTAGCATCAATCAAGTAAACAACATGGAAACTGACTGGACTTCTGCCTGAGAGCATTTCAGGACAGCAGATCAGTGCGGCTATTTAGAAAGCCTGTTAGTAGGAGTGCTGATCTAGGGTCTGTTTTTAGGTCTAAAGTCACCATGAAGAAACAAGCTGATCTGGGAGAGGAACACAGCCAGTCCAGCAAATTCAGTGAACGAACTCACTCCCTGCTTGAGACTGTTTCAGGTACTGCAAAGTAAACTTAGTTCCTCTCTTACCTGAGGCCCTTCCACCAGCTCGTCCAGCACATACAGGACGTCCTTCTTCCATGTGCCGATGTTGTAATCCGCCATTTGCCCTTCAGATGCCCCACAGCCTGTGTAGTCAAACCTGAGTGGTCGCAGACACTTATCAGACAGGCATGTATCTATATACTGAACTCGGCTGCTTTGAATGGTACATTTCTCTAATAACAGATTAAATCCAGACCAAGGCGAGAAAAAAAAGAATGAATTTAGTCCAGGACTAGGGCTGGGTGTCATGTTCTGCACAGCTGAAAGGTTAAGATGTATATGATGAAACATGAAGTTCTAGAGCAGGGGTGCCCATACTTTTGTGGCTTGAGATATACTTTTTCCAGTGGACAGGTCATTGTGATCTTCCTTAAGAAAAAAAAAGGCCTCATCCTTTTTTAAAAATTTCGAAACTTTTTTAATGCACTTCTGTGGCCTATATTGATATTTAGCATAACAACTGAAAAATCACATTAACCTTATTGTCAGCCAGGTTTGTGAAATCTGAAGTTAATTTTTTGCTGAAAATTTGTAGTTGTAGTTTCTGTGTATAGTTTGAAAATGCTTCCCGACGTTCCCCTTCTTTGGAAGTGTGATGGATACTTTGCAAATCAAGCACATGCATTTGGAGTTTAACACTGTGAAAAAATAGCCCTCCTCCTGCTCTGCACGGAAGAGGTAAATTTTTTGATTTCTTTGTTCTTGGTCTCACACTCATCTTCTGAAAGATTCAGTGTAGGATACAAAAGGAAAAATGCAAAAATGGCGCTGCACAAACTGGTTACAGATAAATGAAAACTTTCTAGATCGCTAGAGAGGCAAAGTCACAGCAGTGCTTTAGGCGGCTTGGCATAGCAATGGTAACAAGCAGTAAATCAAAGAGACATTGGCCACACTTCCCGTCAATAATGCTGACCTGTCCGCCACCAGAAGCAAGGAAGTGTTGAAATTTGATAGCCTGATTGAATGAGGCATGATCTACCCACATGCATTGTGAGATCGACTAGTCGATCGTGAACGACGTATTGGGCACTCCTGTTCTAGAGGAACTTACCAAGGGTTTTGGATAGTAAATGAAATGGCTATATTTGTGCTGTAGTCATGGTGACCCCTGGTTCTTATCACCACCACTGTAAAGAAATCTGACTCTCTAAAATCAACCATTTCACAGCAGACCACTCTGAATGACTTAACTATGGAATTATGCAGAAATTTTAAAAAGCTGGTGGAATTCCCCTTTATGTGGCTGTAAGGGATTTCTGACTAATCAAGACGTGCTGATTTAGACAATCACAGTCTAGATTTTCGTTTTAGATTACCCTACTTTACTTTTAATGTAAGTCAATGGAACCAGACTTTTTTCTGTGTAATTTTGGGCCATTTTTTTGGGTCCATTCATCACGAAATTTACACCCAGTATAAAGGACAACAAGCATTTTCAAATTATGTCAAAAACTGAAAAACAACAAAAATGGAGATACAAGGTTCTCTTCCGACAGCAGTGATACATGTCTTCAATCAACTGAACAGCAACAAAAACAGTAATTTAGCATGGTTAATACTGTAAATTCTGATCTAGAACACTGACTACCTGAGGTAGGAGTGACCCAGAGACTTGCAGAACTCTTCCAGTGCTTCTGCTTTTTGACCGCCCATGTGGGAGGCGAAGCCGGGGAGGAACACCACTCCTGGACTCTTCCCCTTCAGCTTCCTGTAAGCCAGCCTGGGTAGGTCTGGACGTGTGGCATACTGGATCGTGGTTTTATGCCTGACTCCTGCACAGAACAAACACAGTGACTCAGGGTCAGTCCATGTCTCCATGTCACTGCAGTGCTGTATTCATAATCTGTGAACAGGGTGACTATTCAGTCCACGGCTATCTTAAAAAAAGATGGTTCTTCAAGGGTTCTTTAGTAAAGAAAATGGTTCTATATGGCACCTTTTTGGAAAGCTGGTGACATCATAACAATAGAAAAACACTTTTTGGTGCTATATAGAACCCTTTTCAAAAAGGTGCTATACAGAACCATCCACAGCACATTCTCCACCACTCTGAAGAACACTATCATGATGCAAAGACCCCTTTAATCAAACAAAGGGTTCTTTGAGTGTTCACGGTTCCATATAGAACCATTTTCTTTAAGAGTGAGTGTGCATAACAGAGGATTTATTCAACCCTTTTCAGTTTTTTGCATATGCACTACGATCAAAAGTCTGGACACATTTACTCTTAGAGAGGTTTTATTTAATTTTATTCTGCACACTTTAGAATAACAAGTAATCAAGTCATAAAATAACTCTTGTGGAGACCAAAAATCTTGTTGACACACATCTGCTGAGACCTTGCTGCTGAAAGCCTTTCATTGGTGGCCATCTAAAAACTTACTTTCGTTTAGAAATAAACCATAAGATCACAGCGTGTAAGATAATTAAAAAAGGGGTTCAAATTTTTTTGACTTCAGGGATCCGTTTCACTGTGTGAGTGTAAAACAAACAAGCTCTGTGCTTTAGTTTAATTTTGATCCATTTAAAACTTAAGACAACATTGTTGATAATGTATTATATAATAAAAATTTCAGCGTTTGCGGTTTGAAAATTGCACTCTTTTTTTGCGATTTCAATAGAAAAATGATTCATCTTTCAACTCCACCTCCAACCCCCCACTAACAGGCTCATAAGTAGACTTTTTAGGCTAGCAAGAAAAAAGAGGGGGGAAATAAAAACAACTTAGACCAGTAAGACGTCAGTTTATGCTGGTCAGGTGCTGGTTTAGCAGGTCACCCAGCACAGTCATGATAGGTGACTAGCATACCAGCATCCAAAACACAGCATACAATGTTTTTCTAGCTGGGTATTAGACTAGATTTCCTATATTCTGGTCTTACATGGATGTAAACCTCCAAAATTGTGACAAAACTGTATTCTATACGGCTAAATAGTAGAGTTCACACTATGTAGCTAGTTAACCTGGCTAACCTAGCTACTTTCAGACACTTCACTGCTCCCTTACTCAACAGCTAACGGGCTAACTTGCTCCTGGCTAAGCTGAGGCCTGTCTGGGTTCACTCACCCTCCTGCACACCTGCTCTCTCACTCCTTCGAGCAGTTAGCATGTTATTTTTATTAATAAACCCACTGCAGCACTCCTCCTACCTATCTGTGTATGTAACGCTAAATGCTAGCTATCAGTGATGAACCTTTCCGCTTTCCAGTGAGTCAGATCAGTCGGCTCAGCTCACCAGTACGAGTCGACTCTTTCGGTTCCCAAACGGCAGCGCTGTTGTGTTATTCCAACCCCCCCACCCCTCATCCCACAACAAATTAGCCAAGTCAGCGATCATGTCTATCATTTATTTTTAATAAGGCATGACTTTACTAAATAATCTACAGAAATAGCATCGTGTCTTTTTGATCCACTGAATCACATCTGCAGTTTCACTGAATTAATTTCGTGAGACAGAGATCGCACGATATGCGCACAAGACAAGCAAAATGCAGGTAAATCCATCAACTAGCTATGAATAAAGGCAGGTAATAGTAAAAAAATGAAGTTTTGTTTTGGCGAACTTACAAAAAAGAGAAAAAAATCGGCTCTTCGGATGCGAGTCGACTCCCAGCGTTCATCTAAAAGAACCGGCTCAAAGAGCCGACTCGTTCGCGAACGACACACTGCTAATAGCTGATAGCTCTAGCGCGGTTCCTGATTCTGTGTGAGCCGCTGTGCGATTACACAGAAATACATACATCAGAATGGAAGGAGCAGTAAGACCTGTTAGCTCATCAGCAGCTCCTGACGAGAGCAAACCGAGAGAAAATGCCCAGAAATATAGATTTCAGCATTATAAATAATATGAATGTGTTATTGAGGCTTGCCTGTGTGGGTGGTCGTGCCCACCGAAGCGCCTTCATAGCCTTTATAATGCTATGCTGCTGTATTCTTTCCATATTTTTACTCATTTAATATAAATATTTTTTTATATTTAATATTTTGGACAACATTAACTGGGAGTAAGACTTGAGTGTGTTCACTCTATCCGGCACGCAAAACATCACTATTTACCCTTATTTCAAATGCATTTAATACTCGGCGTGTTAAACAGCCTGTAAACACAGTACACACTTACATACACAAAGGTGGTTCTTCAAGGGTTCTTTAGTAAAGGCAATGGTTCTATTTCACCATCCCTGCTGGAAAGAAACCCACAGAAACAAGTGTTCCTGTTGGTTCCTGATAGTTGTGTAATGCTTCTAATTGTCCTCTTTCAGCAGGGATGAGTTCTATATAGAGCCATTTCATACTCAAGTGTTTCTTATATGGTGAAATGGTTCTATAACACTAGAAGGGTTCTTCTATTGTACACTCGTTAGTAAAGAGAATAGAACCAGGAACACTCAGAGAACCCTTGTCATGAATGAATGCATGATGAAATGGTTCTTCAGACTGATGGAGAATGTGTTGTGTATGGTTTTATACTGAACCTTTAAAAAAAATGGTTCTATATAGCACAAATAAGGGTTCTGCTATTGTTATGATGTCAATCTTCTAATAACCGAAGAACCCCGTTTGGTGCGACACAGAACCATTTTCGAAAAGGTTCTATATAGAACCGTATAAAGCACATTCCCCATCAGTCTGAAGAACCATTTCACCATGCAAAAGCATGAAATGGTTGGCTTTACTATGAAACCATTGCCTTTACTAAAGAACCCTTGAAGAACCATCCGCAGTCAGACTCTATTGGGCTTTTTAGTTCTAAAAGAGAACCATTGCCTTTACTAAAGAACCCTTGAAGAACCATCTTTCCTAAGACTGTACCAAAGCCAGATTACGGTCTGTTTTTACAGTCTGGTTTTACTGGATGTATCAGCAGCCCAGACTGTCCAGACTGCGATGCGCCCTTGATTACTCCACCACTCCCCCCACTGGCCGAGCGGAGCCCCCCGGTCTGTCCGCGTTAGGCACCCAGCACTCACCGGCTGCAGCGCGGGGCGCGCAGGAGAGCGAGCGTGCTCTGAGCGGAAGGAGCCTGCAGGACTGTCTGAGCACCGCGGACGCCATGCTGCCGCTCCGCGCTCTGCGGAGACACCACAACACGCCGAGGACGAGCCTGCTCTCCTCTGATGGGAGACGACGGTGAGGTCAGTAGAGCTTCACCTGAGCCTGCTGCCCTCTGCTGTCGTGGAGGATTACTGCAGCCAAATCACTGACAAACAGACTGCAGTTCTCAGCTCAGTGCTTGCGTACGGAGCCCCGCTGGTGACATCCTGTATAAATAAAAATAATTCGTAGCCACGACTTAGTAAAGCATGGGAATGAGATGATTAAGTCGTGGCCACGACTCAGTAAAGCGTGGGAACGAGATTCCAATGCATGGCCACCTTACTAAGTCATGGCCACGACTTAATCATCTCATTCCCACACCTTACTAAGTCGTGGCCAGGCATTAAGATCTCATTCCTACGTGTTAATAAGGCATGGCCACGCATTATTTTTACTTGTTCCCACACCTTACTGCGTCATCACCACGCATTATTTTCATTTATACAGGATGTCACCAGCGGGGCTCGACTTAGTAAGGCATGATCTCATTCCCACACTTTACTAAGTTGTGGCCATGACTTAATTATATTGTTCCCACGTCTTACTACCTCGTGGCCATGTATTATTTTCATTTATACAGGATGTCACCAGTGGGGCTCGACTTAGTAAGGCATGATCTTGTTCCTACGCCTTACCAAGTCGGGCCACAACTTAATTATTTAATTCCTACACCATACTAAGTTGTGGCCACGCATTAGGATCTCGTTCCCACGCCTTACAGAAGTTGTTTTTTTGAGATCTCACAACTTATTTCCCTGCTGAAAATTACCATTTTAAAACTTAATTGTTTTGCCTTCTTAATTGACTTAATGGTGACCACTAGTTTCCTGTAGAACGTCTTTAGATCCCGTTAGAAAACCATCAAATGCCTTTAGAATCAGTCATTACATTGTGATATTAACCCATTAAAAAAGCCAATACACATTATAAAACCATCAGGAAACAACAGAAATACTTAATGGTTTCTAAAGGTTCGTTCAGCAGGGTTGTCTTGTGATCTCAAGATATGTTGTGATCTTGAGAAAACAACTTTAGTTATCTTGAGATCACAAGAAAAGTAAGTTTTGATATTGAGAAAAAAACATTAGTTATTTTGAGATCACAACAAAAATAAATTGTGGTACTGAGAAAAAACTTTCGTTATCTTGAAATCACAATAAAAATAAGTTGTGGTACTGAGAAAAAAACTTTGTTATCTTGAAATCACAACAAAAATAAGTTGTGGTACTGAGAAAAAACTTTTGTTATCTTGAAATCACAATAAAAATAAGTTGTGGTACTGAGAAAAAACTTTTGTTATCTTGAGATCACAACAAAAATAAGTTGTGGTACTGAGAAAAAACTTTTGTTATATTGAGATCATAACAAAAATAAGTTGTGGTACTGAGAAAAAAACTTTGTTATCTTGAAATCACAACAAAAATAAGTTGTGGTACTGAGAAAAAACTTTGTTATCTTGAAATCACAACAAAAATAAGTTGTGGTACTGAAAAAAAAAAACTTTGTTATCTTGAAATCACAACAAAAATAAGTTTTGGTACTGGGAAAAAAATTTGTTATCTTGAGATCACAACAAAAATAAGCTGTGGTACCGGGGAAAAAAAAACAAAACTTTTGTTTTCTTGAGATCACAACAAAAATAAGTTGTGGTACTGAGAAAAAACTTTTGTTATCTTGAAATCACAACAAAAATAAGTTGTGCTACTGAGAAAAAAACTTGTTTTCTTGAAATCACAACAAAAATAAGTTTTAGTACTGAGAAAAAACTTTTGTTACATTGAGATCATAACAAAAATAAGTTGTGGTACTGTATCTTATTGTCTCAACATTTGACCCACAGATGGATGATAAATGTCCAGAGAGGCTATGAGGCATCTATAATTTACTGGACTGTTATCTTGAGATCATGACTTTAAGCATGACTTTAAGCATGCAAATGGTCCTATATAGAGCTCTTGGTTCTAAATAGAACCATTGCCTTTAGTAAAGAACCCTCTTCTTTTAACCAGGATTGTTTTACTGTTTTAAAAAGTCCCAAAGTATAACGTGGTTGGTCAGCAGATGGCGCTACAAGCCCAGTGGCGGGTCAGTGGGACCCTGTCGCCTGAATCAGGAGGGCATGTAGGCGGACTATGGAGCCTATTATTGTGGCAGGAGACAGCAGAGAGCGATCCACAGACCATCTCCAGGTAACTGCTTCACTTTGATGACCTTTGGAGTTGACCGCTGCTGAGTGGACGAGTCTTTGTGTGCGGTCTGGTGACTGGATGATTGATAGACTTGCAAATTGGTATATGGGCAACACTGAAGTGCTGCTGATTTGGTGGCATGGCAGTGACAGGTGGCACCTTATTGAGACCAGCTCTGAAATGGAGGTTGAGCAACTTAAAGCTGGCATCTTTCCTCTGAAAGTGGCGTCTGGGTACCACAACAAGACCTGGCTTCTGAAGGGTTTAAGAGTGGTTTAAAAGGAGTTTATTAATGGTCATTAATAAGTGGTTATAAGGGGCAGTGACCTGTTGCTTGCCAGATAGTGAGCCCACATTCATCTATAGTGTTACACCTCAGATGTTGCTGGTTGCTGATGTTATTTGTCCTCTCCATCAGGCAGCATTAGACCTGTTACAGTCTTGAGATATTCATATTCATCTGATATAAAAGCTGTTTGTAACTGTGTGTTGCAACTGAGTCATTCTATGAAAACGTCCATTTTTGTGTCCCTAGCGTTTACAGATATATTACACTTGAAAAACATGTTAGGGTTACAATTTATTATTGTTTTAAAATAAAACAAGTTATTTTAACAATTACACCTTCTTGAGCCTCAATTTAGCAATATTGTTTTTAAATCAATTATATAGAATTCCAAGCACCACAGAAGAGCTTGTCCCCACAGTCATGTGTAAAGGCTGAGGCCATATTTTGAAGGGAAAAAAAACCATCTTTTTATGCAATTTTAAATGCAATAATCTAAACATGACTATAAAATCTATGATTTAAATGACTCTAAGAAAACAAATAAATATTATAAAATATATAATGAAAGTTGTTGTCCCCAGGAGTCGTGTCACTGGTGTTACTGCGTCACAAAAAATCTCCTATTTTGAAATAAAAATCACACTGATGACGTCACTTGACTTCCTTTTACCTATTTTCTGAGGATCTGTGAAGAAAAGCACATGGTGAGTCCACTGTGTCTTTCAGTTATCAGAAATGTTCTCATTTAGCTCATGATTTCCTATGAAGCTTTTAGTCGAAGTCACTGGTGTGACCTACTTTATTCTTAGGTAATTGTGAAAAATTAGAGTACAAATGGATTAAATTATGTATTTTCGCGGACATCCCATGATTGACAACATGTGGTTTGATACTCTGTAGCAGCTATTACTGTCACTGGTGTTACCTTTCTTATGCGTAACTCCAATGACGATCGGTATCACCAGTGACTCCTATGGATAGACTAAAAAAGTGGACATTTCTGTAGAATGACCCAACTGCTCGTTAATGTATTTAAGGTGTATGTGACCTAATTAATAACCATTAATAGACTTATTTCAAACCATTAATAAACTCTTTGTTAGTGTAGTCTTATTGTAAAGTGGCAACCCTGCTGAAAAAAATCATAGAAACCGTTAAAAGTGATGGTTCCTGATTATGTCGAATAGTCAGTAATGGTATTCTGTGTTTTCCTGAAGGGTTGAAGGACTCTAATGGTTTAACAGCTGTTCTAGGACTGATTCCAGATGTATTTAGTGGTTTCGTAATGGGTTCTAAACGTGTTTTACACAAAACTTGTGGTCACTAATGCTAACTATAAAGCCAATTTCTATTAGAAAGTAAAACTATCAGGTGTTAATCCTAATAGTCTTTCTTCAGCAGGGATTGTAACCTGTACACACTTAAAAAAGATGGTTCTTCAATGGTTCTTTAGTAAGAAAATGGTTCTACATAGAACCATGAACACTTAATGAACCCTTTGCATGATTAAAGGGTTTTTGCAGCATGAAATGGTTCTTCAGGTTGATGGAGAATGTGCTGTAGATGGTGCTATATAGAAAAAGGGTTCTATGTAGCACCAAAAAAGATTTTTCTCTTGTTACAGGTGATATACAGAACCCTTTTCAAAAAGATTCTATATAGAACCATCTACAGCACGTTCTTCATGAATCAGAAGAATCATTTAATGATGCAAAGAGTGCTTGAGTCATGCAGAAGGTTCCTTGAATGTTCATGATTCTATAGAGAACCATTTTCTTGACTAAAGAACCCTTAAAGAACCATCATTTTTAAGAGTGTGTACATTGCGACGATGAAACATTTGACAGTTGCATGTTTCAGCGCACAGGTGCTCACCTAAAAAGATGGTTCTTCAAGGGTTCTTCAGTCCTATTTAGAACCATGAGCTCCACATAGACGCATTTGCATGATGAAAGGGTTCTTTGCATGGTGAAATGGTTCTTAAGATTGGCTGAGAATGTGTTGTATATGGTTCTACATAGAATGTTTTTGAAAATGGGTTCATATAGCACCAAAAAGGGCTGTCAAGAGAACCCTTTTTGGTGCTATATAGAACCACATGCAACACACTCTCCATCAACATTGACCAGGGGAACCATTTCACCATGCAAAGAACCAATTAAGTTTCCATATAGGGCTCATCTTGAAGAACATTCTTGTTCTAAGTGTGTGGTGTTGAGGTGGCACCGAGCGCAGAAGGATTTAGTGATAAAACTTTTCAGTAAAAGTCAGAGATGCGTGTGCTGAGGGGTGGTCCCCTCTAGGGGGCGCACGGCACTGATCAGAAGGTTTAAAAAGCGCACAAGGTGCACGTTTGCGTCCTCTTTCCAGAACCTGCACCTCCAATAGGCTAATGCAGATCCTGGAGCACAACGTGAACGTGTGACCATACTTTGGTTGGTGGTCGCTGCGTCATAAGAGAAATTAACCATATTAAAAACTCAACGTCTCACACTGTTGTGCAGCCACGTCGTGAGCTGAGAGCTGAGAGCTGCGCTGCTCCTCCTCATTTCCAG